AACGGTGTGGGACAAGGTAGCCGGGTACCAGAGAGGGCAGCTTGGACTTGAGCGAGTCAATGACCTTGTTCAGCTCGCTGACATCGGACTTCTCCTCCTTAGGGGCGAGGTAGACTTCAAAGCCGCCGGATTGAGGGTTCTGATGGACGCGGTGGACAATTCCCAGGGGCAAGAGAGCGGCTATGCTGCGATAAATGGTCGTTTCGTCGATGCTACAAAGGGTCGAGGAGATGCTAACCGACAGGGGAGTGTTGAGAGGTGGACAGGTAGCTTCGTAGTGGACGTCGCAGTAGCGAGAACAGTCCGTCAGCTCGGGAATGTCCAAGCGGTCCGCCAACTTAATGCGCAGTACCTTGTTGTTACTCTTGGGCACGTCCTCCATGTAGACAATCAGGCTAGGCCACTTTGCCTGCTGCAGCGACTTCTTCAGGGCTTGATGGAGTTGCCTGGTATCAACACGCTGAGCGCCAGGAGGCGTGACGAGCACAGCACCAACAACTTCTTGGAGGACATCGTGACGGACAGAGAAAGAAAGGGCTTGCGAAACCCGGTTGAAGATGGGCGACTCGGGGTCCTGTGCGGCAGCAATGATGGCGTTTTCAACCTCGAAGGGTGAGATAATTTCGCCACCGCGGTTGATGACTTCCTTGCTGCGACCAGTGATGAAGAGGTAGCCGTCCGAGGAGAGGCGGCCAAGGTCACCGGTATCGAACCACCCATCCGGGGTGAAGGTGCTGCTGTCGTACTGACCCTCTGCAGTGAGGTAGCCGGGGAAGACGGGCTCGCCGCGGACACAGATACGACCAACGGTTTCGGAGGGTTGCTGGATGTTGTTCCAGTCGAGAATGGCAAGTTCAGGGCCGACGGCGATACCTGAAGTGCCGGGTTTGTCAAGTTTGTAGTTTGTTGGCGGGGTTGAGATGGGCATGCATTCAGTCATTCCATAACTCGGCAGCACGATCGCCCCATTAAAGGTCTCTTTTAGCTTAACAGCCAAGGCAGGTAGCAATCCACCAGCGGCATTACACACCAGTCGGACTCTGCTCTTAGCAAGCGCTTCGGGGCGGTCCTCCGCTTGATCCAGAATCATCTGATGCATCGACGGCGAAGCATAGTACCATGTTGCCCCATGGTCCTGCACAACATCCCAGAAGAGGGTCGGATCAAAGGCCGAACAGCAGATAACGGACCCACCCGAGAAGATGGGCGAGAAGATGTTTCTAACCAAGCCACCAATGTGGAACAAGGGCATCATGTTGAGGCAGACATCATCCGGTGTCAACTCCCATGAGTCGATGACAAAGGCTACACCAGCAACAATGTTCTGGATTGTAATGGGAACAAGCTTCTTGGTACCTGAAGTACCGCTCGTGAACAAGATGATAGCTACATCATCCGTCCCGTTTGGCGCTGGCTGGGAGCAGCCTGCTGCTTGGGGCGTGACTAGCTGTCCGGTCAAGTCTCTGATGGAAATTTGCGTAGACTGGCCACGCTGGGCGAGGTCACTCTCAACCAGCAACACCGTCAGTCCTTCTAGGGCTGTCCATGATGAAGGACCTGTAAGTCCCAACCGCTCGGCATCCTTCGCGGTGGTCAAGATGACTGAAGCACCCGCCTGCCGTACATCAGCGCGGAACTGTTCAGCCCCAACGGCTTTATCGCAGTTGACTGGTGAGGCAATGCATGTGTTTGCTACTGCCAGACAGACTGCAGCGAGGACAGGGCCGTTGGGCAGAGCGATACAAACAATGGGCTTGGCAAGCCTGCCCCTTTGTTGCACGTCAAGAGCCTTGGTCGGGAGAGAGAATTTGCTGACAAAATCCCGGAGGGAGCCATGGGTGAGGACTGTGCTTAGGTCCGGCGTACTGAGAGCCGGCTTGGAGGTGGGCTGAATAAAGGCTGATAGGCTGGTGTAGGAAGCTTTGAAAGAGTCGAGAACCTGTTGTTGCTGGGAGCAGTCAAGCCCGGATGCCGTCTTTGACCGAAGCTGGCTCGTGGCTTGTGCGTAAGAGAGGAGGGTGTCGTATGGAGACGCCATGATGATGTGTAGTGATTGGTGACTGATAATCACCCAGGTAGTCGTTATCTCGTCTGATAAGATCTATAATGAGCAGCACGTCTGACCTGCGGATGCTGTTGATGGCTCGTCGACCAGAGATAGGATGTTCACGGTGAGTTCCTGATGGACGACTGTAGGGCAGCGGTGAAGAGAATATCACCAGGTGGATAGGTGATCAAAGAGAATGTTTGGCGAAAGGAGTGGAGTGTTAGACAACTCTAACAAGTCGTGGAGTGATCTGGACTCTGAACACGAGATATCGAGACCGAAATTGCCAACGAAGAAGCGGTGATGGAGTAGATATACCCAAGTTTACGCGAGAGAACATTGTCTTTCGCGCCTTCTTCTTTTCCATATTCCACCGTCAAACTGTGACTGTACTCCATGGCCTGGGGGAGATTGTCCAATCTTGGCGAGTAAGCATCATGTCTTCATCCCAAGACCGCTGGCGAGCCCGAGTAGAGTGGAACCAACAACCGCTCATCACCATTATATCACCATCTTGGCTTTGGCTCTTGGCTGGCGTTTTGCCCAGTTGCTGGGGTTTGGCAAAGGGGATCTAGTTACAGCTTGTGGGGAAACTGCGCATGTTTGCCATCATTGACTCGGGACTGGGCCATCAAGGTACGGCCTCAGGAGAACTCATGAGGTAATAGATACGATGATGAAGTCTTGGTGTTCTCCCTCAGCTGGAAACCGCTCTTGGCATTGTTGATCCTCTTCGGTTGTGCGTTTCAAGCCTTGTTGAAGTGGTGTGACTGGCAAAGGGAAGAGTACCCAGACCCATTCGAAATCGGCGATGGCAGCAGCGTTGGTCCATAAGAGCCGACATCAAACACAGTAGGAAACCCGAAGAAGGACCATGTGAGCTTTGAGTGTTTTGCGTTTGTGGAGTTATCGTGAACAAGCCACTTGAGGCAAAGCTCTCTCTCTCATTGTTCGTTTTCCAACCCATCAGCTCGCAATTCTGCTCAGTGCACGAGTTGCCTCATTTCCAGCGAACATCCAGTCAGAAAAGGAAAAGGGGTTGTTTTTGACCCTTCCCAGAATAGGTTATAAAGAGCAGCCCCCCTTAGTCGTCAGGGATTCAAAATCTCCCGTGACTAGTGGTGGTCCCTGAATGAGAAGATCCAAGAAGATCTTGAGCATACGTGGATGCTCAAAAAGAGCATTCAAAAGAAGATCTCACCGGTCTGGGGCAGATCCCTGTCGATCATTGACGGGTTCGTGCATAGAGTTGCACCTGTCAGCGGGTAGTTCGCCGGTGTCAAAACTGTTGATCTGCAAAACGGGCTTGGCCGATGATCGTCAAATCGTTCCTGCATGTGGAGGAGCCCGACTCCAAAGGGTTGTGGGAGGACCCCAAAGTTCTCAAATTGGGAGTAGAGGTTCCAATTTGGGAGCCTGAGAATAAGGGACTCGCTTATTTAGGCGACGCCATTACAAGGCTGGCGGGATTGGCCTTTTAAGCATAAGCCATTTAAGCTTATCAGCCTTCCCCATTCCCCAGCTTTTGCTCATTTGGGCCGAGTGGGCGGTTTCGGACGGATTGTGGGCTGCGAAATGCCTTTCCCAGTTACTGGAAGTCGTGATCATGAGGACGAAGGACTCGGAAAAGTTATCACCAAGAAAACACCGCGCTCTTGTGATAGTCAATCTTTAAAGACGCGCATCAGCCATAGAGGTCCTCGAGGAGAGATAGTTCAATCACATACCAGCGTTGTAATGACAGCCAACGATAGCGATTGCGTACCTGAGTGGCAAGCTCGGGATTATGCCCGCTCTCCGAAGGATCTCAGATAAGATGACGATCCTCCAACCCCTTATCACGTCTTTATCCCGTGTGGCGGCCGTACCGTGATGTTCGCTCCCGCGTTCCAGTTTGAAGCTGCCATCCCCACAGCAGTCCGCAATCATATGCTCAAACACTGCTGCCAGTGAGCATTGACATTGCTCTTCTTTGCTCCACGGGGGCTGTCAAATAAGTACCTGTCGATTCCTCCCCTTTGTTTCTTCCTCACCACTCCTGAATCCTAATCACTTTCAAACCCCACATCCAGTCACTCCGGTGGCACCCGGATGAGCTCGCCTTGTCAACTCGGCGGTTGATTCGCCGTCCCGGCCGCAGAGCCATAACCATTGACCGGGCACCATGACGAATCGTTGAAGGGGAAAGGTGGATAGAACTGCGGACTGCCCGCAAAAAAATAAGTTGAAGCCCAGATTTGACAGGGGAGACTCAACGAGCGTGCTGAGGGTTGTTGGCTGGGAGATGGCCGAGCTGATGTTGATTACTGAGATCTTCCCGCTCAGACTTTGACCTGCTCTCTCTCTCTCGATGTGTTTAAGAGGACCCCCGCTTTTACCCGTGCCGTGTCGGGATATCCACCACGGATATGTGGACCAACCCTCCGGCTGATACCTGTGGTCACCGGAAGGCACAAAATAGCCTTGAACCCAACGCAAGGTCGGACCCCTCTCCATAGTCGAAACGGTACTCACAATGATACAGTTGCCAAGGGAGTGGCTGTTGCTCTCCGGATTCTGTGGGGGTCAGAGTGCATTCTGTATCTGAAGCCCACGTAACCTGTAGGTGTCACCGGATCCAGAGTTGTACAAGTCAAAGGTTCCATATACGCTCTTGGACCTGCTGGGTTTCAGAATCGTTATAGTTCTGATCTCGTATCCACGAACGATAAGGGACGAAGTATTGGTGATGGAGCCGACGGTGCAGCTTCTCGTGTAGGGTGTGTGAGGCATGATGGGCAACTGGCCGGCCTCGTAGCCTGTAAAGTGGATTGCGGGCATGATGCATCGGAATGTGTTGGAGGTTTTCGGTCTATCCGTTAGCAGTTGACATGGCGGTTAGCCTACGGGCCTCCCATACGGCTCGATACCTTTTATGCCGTCCAAACAGTTCCATTCCTGTCCGACACCCATGATGCCGCTTTGTACTGCAAGCATAACGCTGAGCTTTTCGTTCGGGTCGCTTGTCTGACAAGGAACCCATGGTGTAGAACCATCTGCGCTAGTGAACTTCCCAGGACTGGTGATGCGACACTGTGACTTTTTCTCATTCGAGATGTTAGTCATCTCAAATGTTAGTTCCTGAGTTTCCTTTGTGCTGTTCCCGCTGGTGGTGGATGAATAGTTCTGGTAGACGAGCTTCTCAACGAGCCACTGAGGATCCCAGGATCTGTCAACACAGCGTTCAGGCAGCTCAGATGGAGTATAAAGGCGTATGGGAAGCTGAGGTTGGATCTGGACTGGTGTCGTCAGGGTCCCCCAGACTTGTGAGTTTCCCATGATGCACAGGGTCTCCTGTCCTCTTGGGGCTTGCCAGTCGTCAAGACATCCTTGGATCAGTGGCTGTTCCCAGGTTCCGTGTGCAGTGAAGGTGAAGCCAGTCGTGTTGTCACAAAGCCAGGACCCTCGTAACCGCATATAAAAGCTGGTGAGATTGAACTGGAACTTGAGATTGGGGATGTCGCAGTCATGCCAGATATCGAGGGCGTCTGGTCCTTTTGGGTCCAGATCGATGTTTCGTGCAATGCAGGCGGCAGAGACGTTGGTTGCAAAGTTGACGGTCAAGAAGCGAATGTCGCCTTGTGAGCCACCGCTGGAACCAATGACCATACCCTCGGAAGAAAGACACCAAGACCAAGGAGAAGCAAGCTGAGGGATGCCATTGCAGCGGATGTGATGAAAATGAGGCAAGATTATGAGTGATCATGGTATTCTGTAACCCTAACCCTTATAAGAAGGGACATAAGGACATGACTTGATGTTATGATGAGTCGGTGAGGGTGTGGGTGACGATACAGGTTAATGTAGCCATTGATTCCATATTGGACGAGCGCTGATTGCTGACTGGGTTCGGGCATTGATTGAGAACCGAACCAGAAGCCGGGCCGCCAGGATGCTCTGGCAGTTGGCGCTATGACTGTGATCTTCCGTTGCCGGCCCGCCAGTGCTGCTATCCGCAGATTATCGCGTTATCGATAAGGCCCGGTAATCGGGCCGGTGGCCGGTTGCATCGAGCGGCTCTGCGGGAGCTCTGTTCCTTCCCGCCTCGGCGCCCGGCATCACTGGAAACCTGGAAGCTGTCCAGCCGAGGTCGTTCCTCCCCGCGCGCCATCTTTCCCCAGCTTTTTGCACCTGCCTTCTATTTTGATGATTTCTCTCTTTAGCCTTGCGGGCTCTCGTAACGAGCATTTGTAGTTTCATTTCTTTCTTTAGCTTCTCGGGCTCTGCAACTCAAAATGCCCACCACGTCATCAACATCGCGATCGAGTCGCACCGCGCCGAGTTCATTCAGCGATGCCGGCTCTGTAAATGCTGATGCCGGCTCTACCACCAACACCAAAACAAAAGTCAAGGCTACCGTTCTCTACGATGACGCCGACGCCGACGAACTCGAGCCACTTGTCGACCTCACACAAACCATTCCACTGCACTCGAAAAAGACGGACCGAAAGCAAAAGAGACGCGAAAAGAAAGAAGCGAAACGGGCGTCGACGGTGCCGCCCAGAGGCATGCTCGACCTCCCCTACGAGCTCCTCTACGATATTATAACCCTCCTCGAACCCAGAGAACTCTTTGTCCTCTGCCGCGTGAACAAGTCGCTTCGAAACTTCATCCTGTCCCAAGAACACCTCATCACCCGCGATATCATAGCATGGCGCTACCCCTCCCTCTCCAAATGCTTCCGCCTTCCTGTCTTGGCCACGGATCTCGACGAAAACGCCCACCGCGCACTCAACGAAGCCTATGGCGATGCGCTCAGCCCTAGACGAGTCAATGCGAACTATAAACACGTTCAATCCCCTGACCCGTCCCTCGTCTGCTTCTGCTACACCTGTCGTCTTCGCTGGATCTTTCTTTGCATTATTGTCGACTTCGCCCACTGGCAAGATGATCTGGACAATGGCGTACAAATTCCCATGATCCCTCGTGGTGCCGACCCAGATTGGAACAAGAAACTGGTCGCAGAGCACGCCCAAGTGGTTGTCAAGGCCCTTCACAGTCAGCTGTGGTATGGGAGGCTGCTGCAAGCGCATTTGACGTCCATCACCCGGTCCATTCGCCGAAACACTGCCAATCAAGGCAACAGACGATCTCGCTTCCGCATGACGCCCTCCGATGTCGCCAGCGGTACCGACGCCTTTCTCGACCGAAGCGGTCCTCCCACGGTCGACTTCCCCTACAATCGCGACAACTATGATATGCTCGAGGCATTCATGCCATCGCGAAGTTGGATCAAGGATGACCAGAAATGGGTCTATGTTCCTGCTGATCAACACGAACGAGAACTTCGCCTGCTTGAGCGTCAGAGACAAGAGGCGCCGCCACCGACTGCGGCCGTGTCCCAAACACCTGGCGCATCTGTGCCGAGGTCAATGATCTTCTAAATAGACGTTGTTATCTTGGATCGGACATTGTCAGAGGCCAGGGGATCCACTGGGCGTGCACGTGCCCAGCTGGACTGGGATATGCGGGATTTTTACCCAGATGCCAGAACTTCAAGTCTGCAGAGCCAGTCTTACACACATACACACAATGAAGCCACATTGAACCCCCCATCGATTATTACCCATAATATCACAGACATAGGCCGGCCAGGCCGGCCAGGGTACGTACGATGATCGTCTTCCGGACCCTCTTCAGCCGCCATTTCATTAATAATACAGTAGCAGAACCCTAGAAGAACAGACCCGCTCTGGCCGCCGTATCGCAGGCTTACCCATGCGCCGCGTGGCTCAGTGTCTCGGCAGTTTAGCCAAGTGCCGCCCCCATCCTTGCACCTTTGACGACGTCACCTCCTTACAAACAGTTCGAGTATCAACGACACCAACAACAACAATGTTCCGTGCCTCTCAGCGCCACGTGCTGTGATCATGATGTTCAAAGTTGCATATGAAACAACCCATCTCACCAGATGTGACTCGAACACTGATACGTTATCATCCGCGCTGTTCCGGTGCAGAATGGCAGATTCGTTATCAGCAGATTTTGCGATTCAGAGATCCGAGTTTCCGAAGACGAGATTCAATGTCAAATGTCCCCACAAAGGCGAGGCGTTATCCCGTAGGGCCATTGGTCAACGGCCGCTATGATACGAAGGGTTAGACGTTGATCAGGACGAAAGTTGTGCCTGAACACCGGAGGTTCGGGTTTCAGTCAGAGCCGCCTCTCGAAAAAAGATGCCGACCGGAATCTGCTATCAACTCTTTGAAACAAGCTTATCGCATAACAAGGTTTCAACTCGTCAACGCAACAACCTTTTACCGCTTCTTTGCCCTAGCGTTCTGTTGCTTATCAAGCACAGCGGGTAACCACCGACACTTCACGGGGTGGAATCGGTGGATCCCTAGGATTCCCCTGCTCTCCGAACGCTTCTCGCAGTTGTGGGCCCCATCAAAACTTCCGGCGAAACTTCCATGAGGCAAAGTCATGGATGGTCAGTGAACCGGTCCCGAGGTGGATCTAAAACAGATCAAGTTATATAAAGATGTGACTGGGCCCTCTTGTGGACGCTTCTAAATTCCTGCAACAACCTGTCTCTCAACACCTCTCTCAACACTCTCTCTCAACCACAGATTCAGCAACACCATTCACAATGTCTGGCACCGATTACAAGTTCGAAGGCTGGCTCGGCTTTGACAAGAGCTCTGCCCAAGGCAACATGGTGTGGGGCGAGTTCGAGCCCAAGCCCTGGGAGGAGACCGATATTGATATCAAGATCGAGTGCTGCGGCGTCTGCGGTTCCGACATTCACACCCTGAGGAGCGGTTGGGTATGTTTTTTTCCCCAAATCACAACAGTTATCAAGTTCTTGTACTAATAATACCTCTTAGGGCCCTACCAACTACCCTTGCTGCGTCGGTCACGAGGTTGTCGGTACCGTCGTCCGTGCTGGTTCTCAGGTCGAGGGCGACATCAAGGTCGGCGACCGTGTTGGTGTCGGTGCTCAGAGTGACTCCTGCCGCAACCGTACCGCCAAGGAGTGCAAGATCTGCGCCGACGGCAAATACAACTACTGCCGCGTCCACTACGTTGGCACCTACAACGGTGTCTACCTCAACGGCGGCAAGTCTTATGGCGGTTACGCTACCTACCAGCGTGTCCCCTCTTTCTTCGCCGTCAAGATTCCCGATGAGATCCCCTCTTCTCACGCCGCCCCCATGCTTTGCGGCGGTGTCACCACCTACGTTCCCCTCAAGTTCCACGGTGTCGGCCCTGGCAAGCGCGTCGGCATCATCGGTCTCGGTGGTCTAGGCCACTTCGGTGTCATGTGGGCCAAGGCCCTCGGCGCCGAGCAGGTCGTCGTCATCTCCCGCAGCTCCAGCAAGAAGGCGGATGCCATGGCCATGGGTGCTACCGGCTTCATCGCCACCGGTGAGGACCCCGACTGGCTCGCCAAGAACAGGTCCTCTCTGGACGTCGTTCTCTGCACCGCCTCCTCCGCCGATATGCCCTTCAACGAGTACCTCCTCCTCCTCGATCTCGATGGCACCTTCATCCAGGTTGGCGCCCCCGACGATGATCTCCCTCCCATCCAGCAGATGGCCCTTATCTTCAACCGCATCAAGCTCACCGGTTCCCTCATCGGCTCGCCCCAAGATATCCGGGAGATGTTCCAGCTCGTGGTCGAGAAGAACGTCCAGCCCTGGGTCAAGGAGATCCCCATGAAGGACGCCAACCAGGCCATTCTCGATTTGGAGGCTGGCAAGCCCAGGTACCGTTTTGTCCTCAAGAACTAGATTTCTTATGCCTTCAACGTTTATACCCATATGTAATAAAAAAACGCTTTTTAGTTCTTGGTCTACTATCTCTTTCCGATGATTTGGCATGTGATTGTGATCTTTGTAGTTGATATGCGGGAAGCGGCTGTCAGCCTCATCCCATGTTTCGTTCGGCTTGTCTAACATGCAGGTACGGTAACACCCGCGGCTGTTACACAACGGACCTGCATGTATAGGTAGCGGTAGAAATCCGCCATGTTTGTCAGGGACTGCAAAAAGAGCCACTGACAGTCAGAGCGAGGATGCCTGATCCATAGCAGGGACTTTGACGTCCATCAACCTCTTCCTTAGTTACCATGATGTATGTAGTGTTTGCCTAGGAGGTTGCTTACGTCACTACCAGGGGCCTCCTTTTGGATTTCGGTTTTGCTATCGGATCTCGGAATTTTCAATGGTTTCGATCATCAATCAGCCCCTGTCCCGGCTGTCCAGCGGAATCTCCCCGGCGATCACCCCTACCTTAATCCCCTGTCACTCCACCATCAGGAACAACTTCCACTACCCACTACCCACTGCCTACGATTAACTACTCCCTGTTATTCCGATTGGTCAATCACTCACCGTCTTGTTTCAAAATCTCAGAATCGACATCCTCGTTTCTTTCTTCCTTCCTTTTCCCAGCTTCCGGATCCTATTGCCATGAACCCATCCCACGCACGACCTCTGTCACCTCCCTCCCTAGCCTCCCAACTCCCTCCCACCTCCCTCCTACGACTTATCACAACTAACACAACTAACACAACTAACACACCTCTCATGCCTACACTTCCCCCTCCTCGTCACCAATTTCCCTCTTCCATTATTCCTCTCCAGCCAAGTGATCCATGCCTCACACCTACTTTTTTCTTTCTTTCACTCACTCTTGCAATAACAGCATTTCCACCTCTATTCCCCATGCGTACCTCTATAGTAGATCGCAAAATCCTCGTGCTGAGAATGCAATTACCCAGAAGGGAGAAATTACGAACATTATTGCCATAAATCTCGACCTACAAGGGAATCAATAACAGATCGTATGTGCTACCAGCAATTTGGGAGGTTTCGTGGACGGTGGTGGAAATTTATTTGCTAGTGTCTTCCAGTCTCATAGAAAAAAGGAAGGTGCGTGTAGATTTGGGGATGGTGCGGGTTGTGCCTCCCTTGGACGACAACGACGACAGGCTTTTGAGAGACATCACCAACCGACCGACTGATGTCAATCTTGATGAAAACACAAAGGCAAGTGCGAATCTCTAGGAGAGAAAGGATGCTGCGGATTTATTGTGTGCCAAGTTCGCTCTTTGAGGCAAGAGCTCCCGTCATGGAGTGCCCAAAGAGCGAGAACGGGTACCTTATATAGATGTCTCTGTCTGGCCGTTGAAAAAGTCGGATCTGGTCGAAACACATCAATCCCTGGGCATTCATCATCTCTTCCATTCACATAGCCAACACTCAGTAATTCTCCGGCATTAACACAACATTTACGCACCAAAATCAACCACATATTCTTGGGCACATAAACGCCCTCAATTTCCCCAGCCGTTCACATCAACACAGCCTGCTCCCGAGACTCACTCATCATGTGCAAATACGAATACTGGTCGTGGGCATGCGGATACGCCGTCGCGCGGGACCTCGAAGACGATGATGGAAACCCACGTATCCTGGAAGAACGCTTTTGCCCGTATGCGATGCAGCAAAATAACATCAAGGAGCCAGCCCGAGGACTGTCCCAAAAAGATGCTCCCCAGCAAGCGTGTCACTTTCACGACATACCCACTGCTACCAGTGCGAACTTGGATCTCTCTTTCAACCATCCTGGATATGCGAGAAGTGCGGCCACATGAACCCGACAGACGCAGACCACTGTAATCGACCTGTTGGAACCGTCCTCCGTGTCGACATCAACCCACGTCCGGAGGAGGAAGTTGGGCACTCCGAGTCCCCGGAGGAGAACAGAGGATACATTAACAACTGGGAGTCTGGAACATACGAGAAATGTGGTCAGAGAGTGGAATACTAGGCAGTGGCTCGTCAACATGGTCGTGGGTGATCATTTGCGTGGGCGTCTTGTGAGAAATTGCCGGTGTCAGCAGGAGAACCTGAGTCGGAGAAGGGGATGTCTTGTTGCACCACCACCCGAAAATGTTTGATGGAAATATGGAAGATTGAGCATGGCTCATTTGGGGGCCGGGCCTGTCTTCTACTGTAGCTGGCAGGCGACTGCGGCTTCTTTGGAAGACCACGAGGCAATGAGAATGGACTATAGGCCCTCCCAGGAATGGGGTTGGCGATTGCTGATTTATTTATTCATCGGTTGTTCTGTGTGCGCGCCATTATCTTCCTTTTCACGCTCGGTTATTGGATTGTAGTTGTTTAGTAGGTTGCGGAACTCAAACTGGTTCGGAGGACGGTGTTGCCAAGTCGGTCATTCTTTTTTGTTGTTGTTGGGTGCTGGGATCATTCCTTTTCAAGTCGAAGCGCAGGTCGCAGGAGCAAACACCTCGCTGGTGAAGAAAAGGGTAGTAGAGATAGCTGCAGTTGCAAACATTCTTGTGCCCACCATCCCCATCCAACCAGATTCAGCATTGCGGAGAGAACTACCCGAAAGACTAAAACGAAGGTGTCCAAATTCAACAGGCAAAGAATCGGTGTGTCAGTGCTAACGGGCATTTCGGACAGAAATTGAAGAAAAAGAGGATACAGGCTGTTGGACCATCCAACACCGCTCAGCCAACGAGCAACTGACGCACAGCAAAGACAATCGACTGCCGTGACGAATGTGCTTGCTGGAAGACTGCTGGGAGTTAAAGGCCGAGATTGTATAGATAGACCTGTTTGGTTCGGAGACCATGGTCTTGCTCCAGTTCACCATCGCTCAATGCCTTCATTTATCTGGCCAACAACCCTTTAATGCTGCTTTCTGACAACAAGACATGTTCCCATACCTACCAAGTAACGCCAGCAAATACTGACAGTTTACTACTCTTCAACAAGGCCTTTGTCGGCGCAACAACTCCATCAATCTCTTCAACCACCGAGCCACGAGTCATCCTTTCTTCCCCAGCAGTCCAGTCATTTCCAACCACGCTGTCATCATGTGTGAATACACCTTATGGGTATGGAAATGCCACTTCAGCATCCAACGGCCCTTCGCTATGAGAAGAGATAATGGGGGACCAGATCGAGCTAGTATGCGAAGATTATCCCTCCGGCCGGGGCACCCCTTGGCCTTCCTTCGGGATGTCCCAACGCAACCTGCGTCAAGCGATACATCATCGACGACCACTGCCTCGAATGCAAGATCAGACTCCGGAGGCGTGACTGGTTGTGCTGTCTTTGCGGTAAAGTCAACAAAGCGGGAGGACGAGCAGTGCTAGCGCGGACGGCTTGTTTGCGAAGTCAACGTTTAACGCGGACCTTGCCCAGGGTATAGTCTAGTAGTTTCGAGGTACGATGATGTTAACGCTCTATAGGTGCCTCAGAACGAGGACGAAATTTGTCCCGGTTTCAACGCGTGGACGGAGATTGAAGAGGAGTGTTTGCCGGCTATGACAGAGAAGTATGTTGTTACCGAATGCGAATGTGTCAGGGCTATGCATAGGTGTCGAATTTGCTTGCCTTGACGAGCAAACGCTTCGGGAGGCAGCAGAGAGGCGGAGGAGATCTTCCAGGTGAACTAAGTTGAGGAAGGGAAGCAAAAACTGCGGTGTCTTTATGGAATCTCTGAAGTATGAGGTGCTTCTCGAACAAGTGCCGTGGTTGCCGTTGCGGTGAAGGATGCAATAATGCAATCTCCAATTCACTAGTCGGAGACCGGACTGCTTTCGTTCGTTTTCGTGATGCCGTGCAGTAGGCCATCAAAGACATTTGTAAACAGCAGAAGAAAAGAAAACCCAACGGAAAATGTTAATACAACACTGCAATTATCCCAGACTATGGAAGCCAAGCATCCACGAAATGAGAATGGCAGCGCACAGACAGACGCGTCCCCTCAATGCAGCAAGTTGCAGTAAAGTTGCAGTTACATCCGCCGGCGCACCACGAGTTCATGCATCGTCTAAACCTCATCGAGCACTCGAGTGGTAAGCTGACCTCGTCGCGATTGGCACACCACGCCCGCCGGGGCGGGAATCCTCCCGAACCTTGTGGTCTTGGAAGCGGATAATGGGCGGGCTAGGCGGGCATCGGAGGGGGGCTGAATTCCGGAACCCGGGTTGGAGTTGAACTGGAGAACGGGAAAAGTTGGGACTGGGTTGAGGAGGAAGGCAGGATGGATATAAACCCAGAGCATGTCCCTCCTTCCCGGAAGATTGGAACCGAGACGGCACGCCCCTTCATTCTACCTCCCGTCCCTTCCTTCCCTTTCAGCCATCATGATGTGGCAAACTTCCCTTAGGGCAACTGCCACCGTGCTTGCCCTCCTCACTTCTCAAGTGCTTGGGCAAAAAGACGTCCAGACAGAGACTCAAACGGCCCAGATCGTGTCGACCAAGGGAGTCATCCTCGACACCATCCTGGATTGGATCGACGCCGCGAGACTCGACCAGACCACCTACAACGGCCAGAAGTACGGATGCAAATGCTATCCTGGCCGTCCATGCTGGCCCTCTGCCAACAAGTGGAACAACCTGAACAGGACGGTCGACGGCACTCTTCGTGTCAACGTCCCTGCGGGTGCTGTCTGCCACAACACCTTCGATGGACCCTTTGGCACCATCCAGACCTACGATGAGACGGCCTGCGCTGATGCCAAGGAGAACTTTGTCTCATACAACGAGCAGTGGACGTAAATTGCCCCATCCATATCCCATCCCCGACTTTATACCAACGAACACAACTGACAAAATCGACAGCGTCGAAAAACCCGCCGACGGCCTCTGGACCTACTTCACCAACGACACCTGCCGTCCCACCTCCAACCCCTCCGACCCCTGCACCCTCGGCAGCTACGGCGTGTACGTGATCATGGCCACCAAGGCCTCTCACATCCAAGCCGGCGTCAACTTCGCGCGCCAAAACAACCTGCGCCTGATCGTCCGCAACACGGGGCACGACTTCGTCGGCCGCTCCGTCGGCTACGGCTCGCTGATCATCAACACGCACAGCTTCCAATCCATCAAGTGGACCGACAAGTACACCGGTCCCGGCTCCTACCGTGGTCCGGCCGTGACCATGGGCGCCGGCGTGCAAGGCGGCACCATTCTCAAGTCGGGCCACGCTTTGAACCCGCCCATGGCCCTGGTAACAGGCGAATGCGCCACCGTCGGTCTCTCTGGCGGTTTCATCCAAGGCGGCGGCCACGGACCCTGGACCACTCTCAAGGGCCTGGCCGTCGACAACGTGCTCAACTTCGAGGTCATCACCGCCTCGGGTCTGATCGTCAACGCCAATGAGTGGCAAAACCATGACCTCTTCTTCGCTTTGCGCGGAGGCGGCCCAGCTTCGTATGGTGTCATCCTCTCCACCACCGTCAAGACCTTCCCCGACTTGCCGGCCACGGGCGCCACGCTTTACTTGAACACCACGCACACGTCTGACAACGAGGTCATTTGGGCAGGGACAAAGATCTTCCACAAGTATGCGAATCACTTTGTTGACAACGGGCTGTACGTCTACTTTGAGATCTTCCCTTACCAGTTCCGCGTCCGCCCGTTCGTGGCTATCGGCAAGACTCAGACTGAGCTGCAGGCCATCGTCAAGCCCATGCTCGATGAGTTTGCTGCTGCCGGTATTCCGCACGAGTTCGGTATCAAGGAGTTCCCCACTTTCTATGATCTCTACATCGACCTGTTCGAGGCCGAGCAAGCTGGTCAAACGGCGTTGACGGGCGGGTGGATGTTCAACCACGATGATGTGGCCAACCGTAATGACGAGATCATCACGGCTATGAAGAACGTGGTCAGCCCGGCTGGCAGACCGGATCTTTTTGGTGGTATGGTTGGACATTTGTTTAACCCGGGTCATAACGTGCCGGTTTCGACCTCGGCGGCGCACCCGGCGTGGAGGAACGCGACGGACTTTGTGATTGTTGTTCTTCCAAGCCCGGAGCACCCCAGCCTGGCGGTGAAGAACGATTTGCAGAATGTTTTGACGAATAATATGGATGAGGGGTTTAGGAATGTGTCGAGGAGTGGGGCTACTTATGTTAATGAGGTGAGTTCTCCTGGCTTCTGTGAATACGATGAGGGAGCTGGTTGACTAAGGATCGTGAACGCAGGCCGACCCCTTTCAACCTAATTGGCAGAGCCACTTCTGGGGCTCCAATTACCCCAGGCTCAAGCAGCTTCGCAAGAAGTGGGATCCCTTGGGTGTCTTCTATGCCGTGTCTACCCCCGGCACGGAGGACTGGGAGGAGATTGAGTTCAACACCAGGCTTTGCAAGAAGCTGTAGACGTTGATAAGCCTTGTAATTATGGACTGATGTTGTCTATGTAATGACGTCAGTTAATATGTATATACGATAACTGAACTTTTTGAACAAAGGTCGGCAAAGTTGCCGTGACCCAAACGCCGTGCATGCAACTCACTTGAGCTTTCCATCTCATCCCTTTCATGTACACCAAGCCCCTTTAACCGAGTATCATCCCCCAATCAACACTTTATCCAACCTTAAACTTGATCCCATCAAACAACCTCCCCATCCCGCTTCACCACCACCACCTTCACGGTCTTCGTCTCGCCCTCCTCCTGTTGCTCCCCCTCCTTCATCCCATACTTATCAATCCACTCCCCCACCAACCCCCTATAATCCTCACTCCCATACGAACTAACCAACTCCCTCCACACACTCCCCTTCCTCCTAACCTCCAACCCCATATCACCAACCAACCAATCCCAATACGGCAACTGATCAAAGTTCAAATCCGGATACTGCCCGCCATGTCCCAACGGGCTCCGATGCTGACACCACCGCTGAAACAGCGCCGTATCCCGAAAAATCTTGACACAAGCCGGGTCGTACGCAAGGTTTTGCATCCCAGAACTAGGAGCACTAGGAGCGCAATTGGTGCAGTCCGACCGATGGGGGATGGCGCGCACGAGAGGCAAGGAGACTTTGTCGTGAAAGTAGGCTAGGGACCAGAGACATTGCAGCTCGATGCGTGGGATGTTGGTGATGTTGCTGTGCATGGAGAGGAAGACGAGGGAGTGGGTGCCGGAGACTGTCAGGCCGGGAGGGGCGATGCCGCGGTGGAGGCGCCAGGGGGTGTAGGTTGTTGATGATGGATTTGTGTTGGACTCGGGGGGATTGGGAAGACCAGAGGTGGGTGTGGGTGGTGAAAGAAGGAGCTGGGGAAAGCGCTTGGCTATTGATTCATCTGCTTTTTTGTTGTACTTGGCCCAGGCTGCTTTTTCTTCGTCAGACAGCGAGTCAGTCGGTATGCCGAGAGCGAAGTGCAGTTCAGGCGGGAAGAAGTCGACGGGTGGTTTGGCGGAGTAGCCGGTTGCGCAGATGAGGGCGTCGACGATCAGGGCACGGGCTCGTCCAGCGTCAGCGTCATCGGCGAAGTGGATCGTATGTGGACTGAGATGGGAGATGTCTTTTCGATGGACGGTCACCTGTCCACTGGTCACCAAGGTCTTGAAGTCCTGCTCGTAGTTGAGTGTTCCCGAGCTGGTTCCGTACCAAAAGGGACTATGTTCCGGTTCTAGCACACTGAACCGCTCGTCCTCCTTTCCTTCACGGTAACGACAGTCTTTGATGGTATCGGCGTGCATGGCCTTCCAAAAGCTGTTCGTCACGGCTTTGCCGACCTTGTTCGTGTGCAAGAAGTCGCGGATCCAACTGAGTTGTCTGCCGGAGTGGTCGGGTAGGATGCAAGGGGACATGAAGGTGGAAATCCGGCGAGTGACGAGCTTCTCGCGCCACGCTTTGAAGGGACCGATCTGGGTGTGGGAGGGAAAGACCCATGACGGGCCACGGCCGGACTTGCGGATGATCCAGTCGACTTTGTGGCCGGTCGTGGCGGCGAGGTAGACGGTGTCGTAGGCTGATTTGGACCCGCCGAGGACGGCGACACGGTTGATGTTGGGGTTTTGGAGGACGTCTTGGTAGACAGGGCCGAGGGTGGAGGAGTGAAGAAGAGGGGCGTCGAAGGTTTCGCTGCCTTTGAGGAATGGCATGTTAGGGACGCCGAGGATGCCGGTGGCCATGACGAGTTTCTTGGTCTCTAGTTCTAGTGTGGTTGTGGTGTTGGAGTCGCCTAGTTCTTGAACCTCTACCTTCCATCCATCATCACTTGTATGAGCCTGAACTCGAATAGCGCGGGTGTTGAATCGGATTCGCTTCATGAGGTCGAAGTGTTGGGCGTATGCGGTCAAGTAATCGTGCATCTCTTCACCAGTGATGTGATGTCCTGGGCGGCCGATGCCAACGTCTTTCATGGGGAAGTCACTGAAGTCCATTGTTGGGTACAAGTTGTTTGTTCGGAGGGTTGGATAGAGTCTCTCCTTGGACCAGACTCCTCCTACGGTCGAGTGACTATCGAGGATGACGATGTTGCTGTTCGGGTTGTGTTGAAGGAAAGTTTTGGCTGCGCAGAGGCCACTAGGACCGGCGCCGATGATGAGGATGTCGATCATAATGTTGACTGATCTGTTGTTAGTAGGTCTTGAGAACATAATAGTTTCTGAGACGAGGGCTACTGGGAGACTACCTTAAGTAGTCAGCCCCCATGGGATGTGATATATGATATCTGGCGCATCACTAGTCAAGTGCCGTCTTCGGTGTATAATGACCCCCTTCACACCTCACCCAATGCGTTGGCTGATACGGGCGGGCTGATTCCGCTAATGTCGGTGGCCCGGGATCCCGGGAAAGCAAACGACTGGACTCCTCGTTGACCGCAGTCGTGTCAATGAAGGGTGTGTGAACAAGGTTCATTCAGCTCTCCATTTTTTGCGTTCCCCCATTGGGTCAGTCGCTTTCCAGGCAGTCACTCGGTCTGTTTGGTAACGGTTCGGGATCGTACCCAGATCCAGCACGTTGGGAAAGAAAGCTGGCACATCACATAAGCTGGTAACCAGTCAGCTCAGCTCCCAGCATCGTGGTGATGATATCCAACCATCGTCGTACCACATGACACTGAGATCATGTTGTTGGCCGTCGATGATCATTCATTGTTTCGCTTTCGCTTGTACTGTATATGTTGTCGAAGTGTTTTCCTGCTGTTTTCCTGTTGGCCGATGTTTGTTACTCGTATGGGTATCACGACAGTCCGGGGACGTAGCCGATTAATTATCCCCTCCATACCATCTGTCCCAGCGATTTCTTGATTAATTCCGTGTCGGTCCTGCCGGATTATTGATGTTGAGACGATGCAATTCACAGTTTTGGACATGGTTTGACATGTTTAAACCCCTGGATTCTTGTCAGAGTAACAGCCAGGTGGAGTTTTTCGGAGGCTCGGGCACGTTCTCATCAGCCAAACGGAGAACTTTGACGTCGAGACACCGAAGCTAACGGCGGGAGAAGCAAGGCCGGTGACTGCTCCAATCGGTTGAATATGCGAGAACGCCTTGTTGACGGATGCACGTGGGAGGACTGCATTGAGCACAGTGACGGACGAGTCAAGAGAATCAGAACGGGCGAACGGGATGGACGTTGAGAAAAGGCGTTGAAAAAGTCGAGATGAAGATCAAGTTCGTTGCAAGAAGAAAGTTATGGATGTCGGTCATTTTTGACGGATAAGAGGACGTTAGGGCGTATTCTTTGACTCGGAAATGGGCCTTCTGAAAGGTTCAGAACCCACATATCCCAGAATCATAACTTTAACTTTCTGAACAGTTCAGAAGGTGGGACCCCCTAAAAATCCACTTTTTAAACTGTTCAGACCCTATAACCCCGATTTTAATCGATCTGACCAATTAGAAGTCGTAGATCACTTTCTAAACTTTTCAAAACCTTTTTACTTAATGAAAAGTCCAAAAATCTACTTTTTGACCATATACGTAATTCTAAACAACTATTTCACTTAGCTTACAGTGCGTTGTAGTACGTTGTAGTGTAATAGTAGTCTTTGTAGTAGTATATTATATATAGATTAATAATAATACTATAGATTTGGCGATTGATAGACGTAAATCAAGGAAGGTAAAGAATAGTCGGGCTATTAAGGTATTAATTATTTTATTTTTAGCCGACCTTATAGTTCGTCGATAAATTATTACTATAAATTTTAATCCCTTTAAATGGAAGTTTGCTACTTTAGAGCTATTAATTAGTTATAGGGGTTATATATTATCTATCCTTCGTATACGCGTGAATACATTCTATAGTCTAATTATATAATTATAAAAGTATAGTGGTTTGAAAGCTATTAAGTTTTTAACCGTTGACTAAAAGTTATTAATATTCTTTATTATAATAATTTAAAGCCTTACTTATTGTATAGTAAGATAAGTATTTAGGTATAATATTAATATAATTGTCAAAATCGTAAAGGAAGGTAGGTTAAAGTGCCTACGGACAGCGCAAATACGTAGGGGACGTTAAAGTAGGAGGAGGACTAAAAATGCATTAATAGCTAACCCCGATAATTCTAGAAGCGAGTCCGAGTAGTTATTTATATTATTATAAATTTTATCCTATAGTAACTAAATCTACGACGGCTCCGAATTATTCCGACGCTATACTACGGCACTATATTATATAGATATTAGCGTTCCTTAGTATTAGTATAGGTCTAACGCCTAATAGATCCCTAGCGACTTAATATAACCCCCCCTCTCTTAAGTTTCTATCCTAAAAACTTATAAATATCCTATATTAATAGCTTCCCTACCAGCGCTCCTCTACTATTATTCTTCTATAATTTACTTTTATAATTGAATATATTATTACCGAAACGCCGCTCTCTCTAGCTCTTCTTACTCCTATACCGGTACTAACCCGCTGCCTAATACCTATTAATCCCGTTTTTCCGCCGGCTTCAATTGCCTTCTACTTACCGTCTATTATTTCCCTATCTTCTACCGGCCGCCGTCCTAAGCTTAAATTAACTACCCTCCGTCTTATTATATTTTACCCTTCTATTACCGTTTCAATGCTTATTAGCCGTCTTTTCGTCCTAAATTATCTTCCTTATTTTTCTTTTATTCCTTTTTACTATTTTCTCCTACCGCCTTTTTTATACTGTATTATTCAAAATTAACCTATTTAAAAAACTTTTAATAACGCCCGTATTTTCGTTTTTTAATTATTTACTCCGATTCTATTCTATTTTGTATTCCTAATTGCAATTATAAAAACCCTTCCTCTTTTCCTTCTTTTCCTCCTCTTTTTCTTCCTCCTTCTTCATATAATTTATATACTTACTTATATTACTATTATAACCGCCTTCTTAAACCCTATTAATTAATATACCCTTTATAATCTAATCCTCCTTATTAAGCCCAACCGCTTTTAATTTTAGTAAATACTTTTCCTTTCCGCCCTATATTTTTTATATTAATTATTTAATAATATTATCCGTAATCCGCTTTATACTATCTTTTCTTAGAAAATTACGAATAATATTACTAATTTACCTCCCGGCGCTATTGGTACCGCTATAATTTTAATTATAAACTATTTCGTTTATATTTAATAAAATTTATTAAATTTCTATTCTTTTTCCTATTAATATTAGTATTAATAAAATTTATTCTTTTAAGTATTAATATATATTTAACGTATCCTAAAACGTTAAATTAACGTTTTCATAATTTTGTTCCAATTTTCTATAATCGCGTAGTCGTATTTTAAAAGAATGTAATCGTTACATACGTAGGAAGTATAAATAACGTTACACTTACCCTTACTATTATTCTCTATAATTCCGCCGATACTTTAGTAATTAGAATTTATATCCTTTACGAACGCTTTTATATTTTTCTTCTAATACTTTCCGAATTTTATAACCGTTACTTTAATAAATAAATAGAGTGCTATAACTTCTGCTATCCTATTAACAGTCGCCCTACTAATTAAATTACCCCCTATTATTATTCGTACTTTTAATAATAAATAATTTAACGTTATAGTTCCTACTTTCTTAATAGCTCCTGCTACCCCCGTAGGTACAATCGGTCTAGTAGATATCTTCTAAGCTATAAATTCAATATATACTAATATTCGCTGTTTACCACCTATCGAAGCATCCCTTTAACCTTATAATAAGAATACGCTAATATTAGCAGCTAATAATATAATAATAAATGAAAGTAAAATTTAAATTTAAATTATCTATTAATAATTGTAGTGGTCACGCGTAAAAATTTAATTCTTAAGAAAATAAGTTTAATTCCTATATTAATATACAATTTGAATTTAAATTTAAGGCTTAAATTAAATAATTATTATAATATTTAGCCTTTTACTTTTATAATTTTCTAATTTTATTTTATTAATAATATCGTTGTTTAAGGAAAAGAATATTAACTAAATAAATAATTAATAATTAAATATCGGCGCGCTACTACGTTTCCTAGTTTATTGTCTTTTATAATTCTTTAATTAACTCTTCCTCCCTCTATTTATACGCTATTACCCGCTTTTTTAATATAATTCCTCTAATTTTAATTTAATATATTATATATTATAATCGTTTAATATAATTCCTCTAATTCTAATTTAATATATTATACGTTATAATTATTTAATATTCTATATATTATAATTGTTTGATACTCTATATATTATAATCGTTTAATATTTTAAATATATTATAATTACTAATACTCTATAATTATTAATACGTTACAATTGCTAATTATTTCAATTTCTTCTTATTAATTTATTTAATTTATTTTTATTAACCTAATTACTAGGCCCCTTTTGGCTTTCTTCTTTTATAATTCTTTTGCTTTTTATTTTTTTTTATAATTTCAAATAATTTAAATTCTTTTATAATATTTATTCGTTATTATTATCCGAATACCCCTTCTACTTTACTTAATATTATTAATTTACTTCCGACCTTCGATATTTTATAATCGTCTTTATTTTATACTATATAAAATTATCCTTAATATTTACTATTTTTCTTCGCGGCGTTATTACTTTAGGATCGCTGTAGTATAATTCTAATAAAATAATAAGGAATACCGAATAAATATAATAATATTCCGGAAGGGTAAAATAGTAAGCTATTTTTTTATTATTAACGATTTTAATAATCTAGAAAAGCCTTAAGAATTTATTCATTAATTTAATGCTAAACCTTCGTTATTTAATATTCTTTATATTAAAGAAAACCTAATTACTAATTTTGAATTCTTTAAATTTACGTAATTTATTATACTATTTCGTATAATCTTTATTAAAATTCTCCAAGGCTTCAACGATAATAGTTCGTCCCTTAATTAATTCTATAACCTTTTCGGTAACCGCTGTAAGGAATACGTTTCTATAACCCCAATTTAGATTAGCTAGACCGCGTAAATAATAGCCATAGAGTAACTCGGATAATAATTTACTAATAATAATATAAAAGTAATTATTATAAATCTATTTTACTATTATTAAATTTTCGGCCCAATTTACCTATTCTAAATTATAAAAGATCTATAAATATAATTTTAAATTCTAATTTTATCACTTTATTTATCCGTCCGTTTACGAGTATTAGGCAATATTTAAACGGTACTAAATATTTAATAATTTACAATAGGTTTTTTAAAAATTGTTTGTAAAAAAGCTCCCTCTATTAAATATAATAGAATTTAGGAGCCTAAACGGCTCCGTTTGTACGGTCGGAAACGTCATGTTCCATTCTTTCCAATGGAGTTACGTATGACTTCGTTCGACTGACGTTGAGGCCGGAATTTAGCTTCGAAGTTCAGACTCTGGATTTTTCTTCCGGATTCTATTCAGGGTTGATCCCTATTGTTGGCCGGAGGTTTTCTCCGGACCGGAATTTTTCTCCGGTTATAAAAATAGTATTTATATATAAAATATAAATTTTATTTTTATACTTATATATTATTATATAAGCCTGTAAATCCGTTATGAATCTATTATTATTATTATATATATATTAAGTCTATAATAACTAACATTAATAATAAATTAATAAGCTATTAGGACTTTTATAGTATTTATATCGACGATATTTTTATTTTCTTTAATAATTTCGAAGAGTATAAAATATACATGAAGAAAGTACTCTAAAAATTGCGAATAATTGGATTGTAAATTAATATTTGCAAATGCGAATTTTATATAATTAAAATAAAATTCTTAAGCTTAATTATTAATATAGAAAGAATTTCGGTAGACCCGGAGAAGATTTTAATAGTTAAAGATTAATTACGGCCTTTGAATTTGAAGGGGTATAGGGTGTTTTAGAGTTTTATAATTTCTATTATAAATTTATAAGATAATTCGGGAGGTTAGTATAATTATTTAATAATTTAATAAAAAAGGACAAAGTATTTTAGTAGATAGAGAAATATTAAAAGGGATTTAATAATTTGAAAGAAGCGTTATTAAAAGCCTTAGTATTAATATATTTCGAATTTAGAAGGGAAATACGAGTAGAGATTAACGCCTTTAATAGAGTATGTGTTGGAGTACTCCCCCAAAAGCTAGACGACAATTACTAGTACCTATTAACCTTCTATTTAGAAACTATAGTATTAGTAGAATTTAATTACTCTATTTCCGATAAAGAATTGTTGGCGGTTATTAAAATTATTAAAATTTGGAGATTAGAATTAAAAGGTAGGCCTTCGACGTTCAAAGTAATTATAGATTATTAAACATTAGAATATTTCGTAACGAAATACTTATTTAATTTATAATAGGCGGGATAGTTAAAACTGCTTTTTGAATATAATTTTAAGATAATTTACCAGCCGGGAAAAGATAATATAGCCGCTAATATATTATTATGTAAAGTGAGAATTTTAAAACAATTTTATAAAAATAGGATAATTAAAGAATTTTATAATTGCTAAAGCCTTGTAGGGCATATTTTATCTACGCGGGCGATAAAGAAGAGACCTTTATTATAAAATTAAACGTTATATTTTAGATCGATAAGGAGAGCCCTATCTTATTAATAAATAGGCTATTAAAGGCTAATTAAAACAAAGAGTCTTTATCTATATATTAGATAAAGGCGGAAGGAGGGGATAAATACCTAACCCTATATAAGGGCTTATTCTTTTACAATAATAAGTTGGTTGTACTGGAAAAGGAGATTTTAAAGATAGAAGTAATACGGATTTACTACGAAATATTATTAACAGTTTATTTAGAAAAAAATAAACCTTAAAAATTTATTATTAAATAATATTAATAGCTAAGGATAATCGGAAACGTAGATTACTATATAAATAATTGCTAGATATATAAATTATTTAAGGTACCTCGGGATAAAATACTAGGCTTATTATACCTTCAAATAATAGAAGCCGACTATTAGGTAGAGGGATCTATTATAATCAATTTTAAAATATAATTAGAAGAAAAAATACGAGGGTATAATAATTTAATAGTAATAGTAGATTGTTTATTAAAAGTATTATAGTGTGTACTTTGCTTTATACTTGTAACAGTACGAGAGGTAGTTCAATTATATTATAAAGGCTCCTATTGGGTATACAGCCTATTAAAGGATAATATAAGCAATAGAGGCCTATAATTCGTATTAGAATTCATATAAGAGCTGGCTACTATATTGAATATCGATTCGAAATTGAATTCTTTAAGATATTTATCAACGGCCGGTTAAATAGAAATTATAAATTAATACGTCGATTAATAATTAAGGCTATATTTTAATTATAATTAAAACGATTAGTTGAAAGTTATTTTAGTATTGGATATAGTTAAGGCGGTATTACCCTATAATAATTTGGATAGTTTTTTACCGTACGAAGTAAGTTTTGAATACCCTATATATATACTTTTCGATTGGAATAAAAAGACGGTTACAATTAAAAAGTAATTGTAGCGGTCGGAAGCCTAGAAAATAATATAAATATTAAAAAGATACTATAATTGGGTATAAAAAACGATAAGCAGAATTTAAAAATAATGGGTTAAGTAAATTAATAAGTACCGTAGAGAATTAAATTTCAGAGTAGGTAATAGGGTATTTATTATAAAAAAAGGTTAGTCGATAGATTGACGAAACGATAAATTTAATTATTTATAAATACGTCTCCTATATAAGATTAAAGCTATAAAAAGCGTTTTATACGAATTAGAATTATTTAACGGATAGTAGGGAGCCTGGGTATATTATGTAGATAGATTGAGGAAGGACTTAAATAATCTACTCTTAGGGTAAGCGAAGGAAAATCCTAGTAGAATTTTAATAAAAAGAAACAAAGACGAAGCGGAAGAATTCAAAGTAGAAGAAATCCTAACGTTTAAATTAGTAGGAGATAAATTGAAGTATTAAATTTAATAGAAAGAATAGGACCTAGACTCTGAATAGTATTCAGTAGAAGATTTTAAGAACGTAGCTAGGAAATTAAAGGAATTCTATAACGATAACCTAAATAAGCCGGGACCTCCGAAGAGATTGGGGATATAAAAGAAAGCGATAGATAGTAGAGTAATTATTAAAAAGTATAAAGATAATAATGAACCGGAGAATAATTTAAAAAGAGGGAAGATAAGACGGGCGAAGAAGTAAAGAAACGAATGAAAACGAATAAGTAGAAACGAAGCCTAAATTCGGGTTTATAAAATTGTAGAATAGGTAGAGATATTAACGAGCCGTAGAATAGTATATAGTATAATGGTGTAGTATAATAGCCTATAATATTATATTATATTAGTGTAATATATTTATCCTTTGCTTAGGATATGGTCCGTTTTAATCTAATTAGGCGAAGTTTTTTTTTTAAGGTTTTAGCGTTGTTTGGGGCCTTGGCACGCGATAACCAGATTGAATACAGGTCGCGATACTTAGTATAGAGTTCTAGCTTTCGAACTTTCATTGTAATACAATAGATTGGATAAAACGTTACGATAGGTTTACATGTTTAATTATTCCTATTATCTTATATTTTCTTTCCGGCTCTAAGGCTAAGCCTTTCTTCCAAGGGGGGGCAAATATTATAGTATAGCTGGACAAGTTACCAGAGCATTAGCTACTGAGTAATAGGGTGCCGGGTGTAGGGCACTATGATACATCGGATGGAATGAGGCTTATGTTCTTATCGATAAGCTATACAGATTAGGAAGGCAGCGACGATTGGCAGTTCTGATTTATATGTCCAGAACCATAATGCCTTCGTTTAACTGCTTTCTTTTCCTCCTTACACTTAATATTACTTTAATTTGTGGCTTCTAGTCTTGCAGTCGTATCTCTGGTAGAATCACGCTTTCACAATTGTTATAAGAGACTACCCGCTCCTATATGAAAGCCGGCCTTATGGAAGCTCAATCTCCCTTATCGTTCTCAATCCCTCTAGGGACTTAATTATTTTGGGGCCTTAGTTATTTTGAGAATTAATACTCCCAATACTTCCAATATCTCTTAATACTTCTTAATATTTTTTAATACTTCATAATATTCCTAACGAATACTACTAATATTCTATCTTTCTAAGGGATTCAATTATTTTTAGGGACTAATATTTCTAATACTCCCAATATTTCTCAATACCTCCCAATACTCCCAATATCTCCCAATACTTCCAATGCCTCTATTACTCCGTCTCTCTAAAGAATTTAATTATTTTAGAAACTTAGTCATTTTTGGGGACTTAATAGGACTTGGTCATTTAGGAACTTAGTTATTTTAGGGACTTAGTTATTTTTAAGAACTTAGTTATTTTTAGGGACTTAATTATTTTTAGGGACTTAGTTATTTAAGGACTTAGTTATTTTGGGGACTTGGTCATTTTTGGGGACTTGGTCATTTCAAACGACGGTCACATTTGACTAAAACTACTAAAAAGCTATTTTTCTCAACTACTATTCGAGTGTACGAATAACTAAAGACACCAAAATGATTAGAAAAAAGAGGCGAAACTTTTATATACATTTTCATTTTAATGCACGCAATGGTTGAGAAGAAATCCCAACTGCAAGCTATTTCGTAGATGATTTCCCGCTGCTATTGAAATTGTATCCTGAGACCTGCAAAATTTCCTTTTTAGGTCTACCAAAACGGGTATTTTTTTTGCATTCCAGCTGGTAATAGACAGAATCGCCGCTCCTTCTAGTTTCGCTTCGATGTGAGCCTATAGATTATAACCTTTGGTACAGTTCTTCCATAATACCTTTGGGCCCACGATCGAATCCCAACTTTGAAGGATGGGCGCTTCAATAATATATAATTTTATATTAGGGTCCTGTCTGAAATTAGATGTGTTCTTAAGAATTTTCTAAGCGCGCTATTTCTTTTTAAAATAATTAATTTTATTACGGATTTAAAAAGTTTCGAATTATATATGATATTCAATATATAATTCGGTAGCGGTTTACATATATATAACCTCTTTAAAACTATTTTAGTTAGTTTACCTTACGTTAATTATACGTTTAAAAGCTTCGAAAAGCTTCTTCTCCTTAATTTTAATCTATTTTACTAGATTATTCCTAGTGGCGGTAGAAGCTAATATATTGTTGGGCGGCTGCGATTTGCTAGTACTAATAGTCGGAGTAATAGTAGCTAGGGTCGATAAAAGACGAGGAGGGTATAGTATAAAAAGTAGGTAAGTCGTTTAATTATATATATTAAACGAGCTACCCGGAATAGGATTAGCCGCTATTTTAGTACAAAATAATACGTTTCTAATTCTAAATTGGGTTTGAGCGATGTTACGTTATAATAAAGAGGAGGAAGAGATTATGATAGCTATAAAAAGTGTATAGAGGAGGTTCTTAGAAGGTTCGAAAGGGTGTATAGCGGCGTTGGGTTAACTTCTATACCGACTAGAATATTATAAGAATCCCGAAATTTCAAAAAGTGTACAAAAGAATAGCGTTTGAAAAGAGAGTCTTTTTCATCAAAGGAGGTAGATACCAATAATCCACCCCTTACTGCTTGGCAAGGGATTCAGAGCTGGCCAGTGCACGGCCAGGGAAAAAGTAGGTTTCTGAACCTTTCAGAAGGCCCATTTCCGAGTCAAAGAACAGGCCCTTATACGGAACACAGGCCCCTACACGGCACCCGCCCGGGCCGTTGTGTTACGGCGTCGACTCACCACGGGCGGTTGTGGGTGACGAGTTACCGAACACTAACAGCGTCCCCCGGCAGTGTCCCGCAGTCACACCGGCGGCCCGGGTTTCGTTACCCCAGCGCCCACGGTAATACACTAACAAAGCTGGGGCTACCATCCACAAAGAAGTTGTTAGTGATACCGTCTGCAACCTCTTATCACAGGTACACCTCCCTTAACACCTGCCGATGTCGGTTTGGCGTCAATTCCAGCTGTTCGCGATAACATTGTTCCAGCGCATTTGCCCCTCACTGTCTGACCTCCATCCTCCCGGCGATAATCCTCCCGGGCGGGCTTATGTCAGTCTCGGGTTCACTGTGCCACTGACGTGATCGGATCCCCGACCCGGATAAGCGCCCAGCGATGATCCCCTCTCGGCTTCGGCGGCATTGAATTTGTTAGTGCAGTCATCGCATGGGCGCAATCCCATTCAGATCCGATAAAACCTTGCAACCCTCTCATCTCTCTTTTTTCTTGAATCCTAAAAGCAAACATCTCACCTCTTCCGTCGGGACCGAAAGCACCTTGAACCCAAGCCATTGACCGATTTCTCGGTGAACTGGCATCCCAATGGCCGCCGACGAGACAACGCCACTGCTCCCAAATGGGACTGGGACAGCGACAACGTCTGGGAATAATGTCGACACTAACAATTCTCAACTATCATCACCAAACACCGATAGCGAAAACACAACCAACAACCATCACGACGTCAACAACAACAACACCAAAGCAAAATGGACACTCAACCCCCTCACCCTCCTCACCCGCGTCCACGTCGAAACCCGCATCCTCCTCGCCGCCTTCCTGATAACCACCTCCTTCTCCTTCACCCAAGTCCCCATCTTCTACGCCTTCCACCTCATGGAATGCGACGACTTCTACACCCACCACCCTCCCTACACCGGGCTCGGCGACCGCTGCAGCCGCAACGAGATCGCGGCCGGCACCGCCACCGATTTCTCTTTTCTCGCCATGAGCACCACCATCTGCGGCACCGTCAACCTCTTCTTCGCCGGCTGGCTCGTCAAGAAAATCGGTCTCCGCTTGGCGCTGATGGCGCAGGTTCTGGTCCCCGCCATCCGCGTGCTGACGCAGATCCTGGGTGTCCTGGCTGGAGGCAGGTCCGGGATAGTGATTTTTCAGGCTACGCAGTTGATCACCGTCCTGGGCGGGCCGGTGGGGTATATCCTCATCATCAACATCATGGTCGGCGAGGTGGTTTCGCCAGCGAGACGGACGCCCGTCTTTGGCATGTTGCAGGGCTGTTTTATGCTGGGCCAGGCGGTCGGCTATCTGACGGGCGGCATGATTGGGGATGCGTGGGGGATCCGGAGGCCGTTCGAGGTGGCGTTTGTTGCGTTTCTGGTTTCGACGGCGTATGTGCAGTTGGCGCTGCCGTACGTCAGCCCGGAGAGCATGGCGGGCGGCGGCAAGAAGGCCGGCGGGCCGAAGGCGGAGGGGGTGGCGGCGGGGTTTTTTGCGCCGTTGAGGGTGTTGGCGCCGCAGAGGGTGCGGCTGAGGAGTGGGAAGGTGATCAAGCATCTGGGTGTGCTGGTTCTGTGCACGGGTGTGTTTTTGGGTGTGCTCGCAACCGACTTTGCGGCTATGCTTATCCAGATGTACGCCACTGCCGTTTTCGAGTTCCGCCAAAGCGACAACGGCTGGCTCATGTCCGAGTTTGCGCTCATGCGCGCTGTCTTCTTGATCGTCCTCTTCCCGCGCATCATCTCCTCCGGTCGGAAATGGTACGCGAAGCGGCAGTCGAAGCGCCAGCCGCGCCGTGAATCCATGTCCGATCAAAGGGATCCTGCTACCCAAGGCTTGCTCATCCAGCCCGATCAATTGGAGGCTCCGATGGGTACTCTCGCCGAAGAAGAGCCCATGGTGACGCAGCCGCCGACCGAGACGGAAGATACGCACTTTGATCTCTTTTTCCTCCGTTGGAGCTTGGTGGCTGATGGCTTGTTGACTTCTTGCACCGCGCTGGCGACCAAGAAGTGGCATATCTATCTGGCTGCGGCCATGCTTCCGTTTGCCAGCGGTACTGCGCCGGCGGCAAAGGGGGTGATGACGGAGATGTGCTCGCCTGAACAAAGGGCTGATGCGTTGAATGCGTTGACGCTGGTTGAGAACATTGGCAGGTTGGCGACGCAGGGCTTCTTTGGGTTTGTCTTTGCTGCGTTGGCAGAAGCCGGGAAGCCCCATTTGACGTTTTATTGCAATGCGGTGAGTTTACTACATGGTCCTTCCTTCTTGCTACTTGTGACCTGGAACTGACATCGACCACAGATTCTTGCAATGATCGCTGCTAGTGTCCTGATCTTCTCCCGCTTCCCGCCGAATGGGAGTGAGTTGATCGAAGCAGACGATGCAGAAGAGCACGTCAACGGAAGCAATTCAAGCGAATGATCGGATTGCAGGGGACAGCTTTCATGTCAGGATTCTGGAAAAGTTTTGCATTTTAGGATACCACTTTGGCGTTTTCGGTCTTGGATATACAATTCTGAGTCATTTCTTGCTTCCTTCCTTTCATCATTATCACAGTCGGTGTCATATCCAGGCCCGTCCCATCCACGCATTAACCAAATCAAACCATCTCAACACCGCCACTGTTGTAAGCCTCGAGGTAACCATCAGCACGCGCCCTCCATCTCCCCTCCCCCTCAAGACCAAAACACCCACCACAACCACCAACATCCTCATCTCCCTCACCCACCAGTCCCCCACCCGTTACGGTGCCTCCCCCAAAACCTCAGCATCAACCCAAACCCACCCCCCTTCCTCCCCCCAACACCACCTCGGACTCGCCTCAAAATCACAACCAAGATAAACCTCCGCCATCCCACCCACACTCACACTTCTCGTCTCCTGTCCTTGTCCTTCCCCCCGCATTCCCATTCCCAATCCCCGTCCCATTCCCAATCCCCGTCCCATTCCCGTCCCCATTCCCGGTCCCAGGTCCGTCCTTGCAAGTAACCGTCTCAACAACAGTAACATACGCCACTTCAATCAGAACCTGTAGATGGATATCCAACACCCCAGTGACCCCACTCTTTTCATTCTCTTGACTGCCCAGACCACTCAATTTGACATCGCAAAGACTATCAAACCTCAACCCACACTCGATCTTGTTCGTGACATTCGTAAACGAGTTGGTAACGGAGAAGGAGGCGTTGCTACCGGGGGAGTCGTAGTTACCCGGGATGCTGTAGTTTATGGAGTGGATTTGGACGGACCAGAGGTGGGGAATGATAGTGCTGGTGGTGTTTGCGCAGAGGTCTGTTGGGTATAACCGGGGGGTGTGGATGAGCTTTGAAGATGAAGATGATTTGGAGACCGGTGAGGCGGAGGCGGAGGCGGGGAAGACGAGGGAGAGGGAGAGGAAGAGGAAGAGGTAGGCGAAAAGGGGGGTGAGGAGGTGGTGCATCTTGGGTTGGTTGAGGTGTTGAGATGGGGTCTGGTTTGGGGTTGTGGTGTCGTCAACCACCTAGCCTCGAGGTGGACCGTCGTGAAGGGCAGGTTTGTCTGTTACCCCACCCAACTCTGCTTCACAGAATAGGTAGAGACTGATGAGACAGGATCGATCGCCCTTCCAGTTGTTGTGCATCCTGTAACAAGGAGGAGGCTTTGGCCTTTTTCATTACCTATGCTTGACCTTCTTTTATCTACTGCAGAATTCAGCAGGATGGACGTTGAGACAAGGACATTCAACCCCGCCAGAAAACGGGATGACATTATCCAAAGATATTGTGAACAGATGAAAGACATCATATCAGCCACTTTATCCGTGTCTGCCAGATGGATGAAATCTCTTGGTATCTCGGCAATGGAGAGCATGCACTTGCGGGCCGCACTTAATGTTCATAAAAGGCTTCTGTATACCCATCAGCGTGGTGTGTAACCGTGAGATAAGAACGGCACGGTTACCGATATGTGCTAACTTCCGAAGTCTCTCGGCGTTTAAATCAACATCATCTCCATGGCCAGTCATTATTGCTGCACATGCAGCAATTCTCAACGCCCACGGTGCCCACCATGTTTTGCATCGGTTACACGAAGCTCCACCGGTTACGCGATTCTCTGAACTATGGGAGCAATGAGTTGGGAAAATGCTTGATTGGCGGCTTGGTTGATGAAGAGGAGATGGCTTGCCAGGACCACCTTAAATACACTGAGAATAGAAAACCATGGTGGGGCACGACTTCCACACGTTACATCTCTCCTCCCGGCCTGCAGAATTCTATGCACTGTAACCACCGCTGTCGATCACGGCACCATCAGAGAAAGGTGCATCTTGGAGGGTTTTCATGACTTATGAGGGGCGCAGTAAGCACTACTACCCAAAGGGCCAAAAAGGTCAAGGACTCCGCGATCCCATCCCTGCTCGCTTCTGAATCAGGTATGAACTTCGTGATGGGTACGGTCTGACGTGAGGTCGTGATGGATACGGTCTGACGTGAGGTTACTATGTGGAGAGATGAGTGGAGTTTTGCAGAGGGAAAGGTGACCAGATTAGCTTGTGCCAGCGGGTATGGGAAATATTTAACTGCTCTGAGACACTCTGCGATGAGCTCAGGAACTGGTGTCATGCTCAGTCTTTGTACCCTCTCCCTCCTCGACTCAAGATGGTTCTCAAGTCCTTCGCTTCGCCTGAATGGCGGTTAGACAAGCCCATCCATACAGAGCGTCCCGTAAAGGTCATCTGTATCGGTGCCGGAGCTTCAGGCCTGCAGCTGGCGTACAAGCTTCAAAAGCATGTTAGCGGCTTTAGCTTGACGGTGTATGAGAAGAACCCCGAGGTATCGGGAACGTGGTACGAGAACAAATATCCTGGGTATGTCACCAAGCTTGCTCTATTACTTGCCACACACGCTGACAACGGTGATGACAGCTGCGCTTGTGATGTCCTCTCGCACAACTACACGTGGTCCTTTGAACCCAAGACAGACTGGTCAGGTCTGTATCCCGCTAGCCAGGAGATATACACCTATTTCAACGATTTTGCCGACAAGTATGGCCTTCGTCAGTACATCAAGACACAACACCAGGTGGTGGGAGCCAGGTGGACTGGATCCGGCTGGAACGTTTCCATCAAGGACCTCACAACGGGAGAAACCGTGAACGATACGTGCGACGTTCTCGTCAATGCTGGAGGAGTCCTCAACAACTGGAAGTGGCCAGACGTTTCAGGACTGGACAAGTACAAGGGCACTCTTCTCCATACGGCCAACTGGGATGAGGCGGTAGACTTGAAGGGGAAGACTGTTGGACTTATCGGTAACGGATCATCTGGTATCCAAATCCTTCCAGCCATCCAGCCGCTCGCTGAGAAGATCACTGTTTTCATGCGCCGACCAACCTGGGTCTCGCCGTTGCCTGGGTTCGAAGGCCGTCAGTATACAGATGAGGAAAAGCGACGGTTCGCAGAGGAGCCTGGTCATTTGCTTGCCTATCGCAGAAACGCCGAACGTGGAAACAGCAGTATCCTTCCTGTCTTCATCAAGGGTACGGATGCCAACAACAACATCCGCGATTACATGCTCAAGGCCATGGAAGAGAAGCTAGCAGGAAACAAGGAGCTGGAGGAGAAACTGATACCGACCTTTGCCCTTGGCTGCCGTCGACTCACTCCCGGCACTGGATATCTGGAAGCCTTGGGAGAGCCAAACGTCCAAGTCGTGTTTTCCGGAGTGACCGAGGTGACGGAACAAGGGTGTAAGTGTGAGGATGGGACCGAGCATCAAGTCCCTGATGTGCTTATCTGTGCCACTGGTTTTGATGCCTCGTATCGGCCACGGTTCCCCATTGTTGCCGGCAACAAGAACCTGCAAGACGTCTGGGCACAGGACCCGGAATCGTATCTGGGACTTGCTGCTGCCGACTTCCCCAACTATCTCATGATGCTTGGCCCCAACTCTCCGGTTGGGACTGGGGCCCTGTTGATCCCGATCGAGGCGCAGGTGGACTACATCGTCAAGATGATCGACCACTGGCAGACACACAACATCCGGTCCTTTACGCCCGACGCGGCGGCCGTCCGGGATTTTGTTGCACACAAGGACCAATTCATGACCAAGACTGTATGGGCGGATCCCTGTAAGTCTTGGTACAAGTCCGGTTCGTCGAAAGACAAGATCACGGCGTTATGGCCCGGGTCGAACTTGCATTACCTGGAGACGATCAGGCAGGTCAGATTCGAGGACTGGAAGTTTGAGTACGAGGGCAATCGCTTCACTTATCTTGGAAATGGCAAGAGCCAGACAGAGACGAACCCGGACGCGGATTTTGCGTATTACGTTCGAGAGGAGGACGACGACCTGCCGCTGGCGAGGAACAAGATGACCAGGATCATCAACAAGACCGGGTCCGTCATCGTGGCCGAAGGGACCGGTGAGGGCGTGTTACTTGCTGGGATCTGATGTTTCTGTAGTCACTCAACATGAAGCTTTGGTTAGGTTGTAGAAGCACCTCTCTGGTTGAATGGTGATTGACGTGACTTGTCGATTGTTTCGGTGGAGGTTGATGTTGTCGAGGAGGAAAGAGGAGGAAGTTTCAATGGGGAGGTCGGTGTTTACTGAGGGCGACGAGTGCGCTGTAACATCCACATGGGCAGGCGCAACCCACTGTAAGGATGATCCATTAACAGTGACTCCGCACAGGCCATCTTTCAGCGACTTCCACTTTTGATATCAACTCCCCGCCCAGTTTCCATCCCGTTTCCACTCCTTCCACTCTGTCTTCACGCAACAACATAGACACGGGATGCATCGAGCAACTCACTCTCTACTTCCACAAGCATTAAGGCGGGCGCGCTGTTTTTACTGTTGACTCCCGTCTACATCCTTTAAGGTCTTTTAGTTTCGTTCTGCAATCACATCGAGGTGCGGGTGAGTGGGAGGGCATCCCACCCACGCCGGGCTGTCCCGTCATTCGTCCGATGCTGCTGATAATTTATAGTTAGTACACTAACAGTTATCAGATTAACTTCTCACCCTGAGAGTTAGACCCTCATCTCATTGACACGACTAGTATCTGATAGCGACAACGCAATGTATAAACCGTGGAACATTGAACCTCCAACAGTATTTGACCGCGCATGCAATTCATCCCACAGCTGAACATGAAAATATTCTATATACAAGACCTCCATCCCTAGTATAGACAGAGAAGTGGTGCTGACACCATTGTCCTCCAGCATCCAGATCCTTTCATCCTTTCAGACTCGACAAGCTTACAACCGGACACCCCGATATCCTGCACCCGCTTCCCTACCTATACTCTCAAGAGCAACAGCCTACCTCCACGACGAAGCAGCAGTCACCGAGTCAGAGCAGCTCTGAGGAACAGTGTACGACCTGTTGGGATCGCTCTCCCAAGTCACGGCGCCGCTGCTGGACACCTTGACGAACTTATACTCAAACTTGGTGCCCGCGGGGAGCTTAACCGTGGTAGTCCAGAGCGGGTTGCTGGTGGTGTACTGAGAAGCGGACAATGCAATACCGGACGAGGCGCTCCAGCTGCCGAGCTGCGAAATGGATCCAACAAGCTTGACGGACTCGCCGTAGCTGGTGCTGACCAGGTGGTTGAAGGTCACAGCGACGGTGGCAACGGGTGTGCAAGAGGCGCTGGCTGTCTTGCTGCTGGTTACAAGAGTCGTGGCGGTGGCGGTGGTTTTGGTGGTGGAGGGCTTGGTCTCGCCGCCGCTGCCGACAATGGCGATGTCGGCACACGAGAGGTAGACCTGAGCAGTCTGGAACGAGTTCCAGCGGAAGGAGAGCAGGGTATGACCGGAGACGTAGTTGGGGATCTTGATCTTCTTGGTGACAGTGTAGCCGCCAGCAATGGTGGTGAAGCAAGATCCGAGAGCAGCGTTGTCGACGCCCTGGCAACCGCGGCGGTTGTCGGCTTGAAAGGCGTTGCAGGCTAAGTCACACGATTAGCGGACGCTTTTTTTTGTTTAATGATACGGACTAACTTACTGAACCAGTCGTTCCTCCAGCAAGCCTGGCCCTGCTGGCAGTCAGGGCTGAAGTTGCAAGATTGGCCATTCACATCCGTGCAGGGGAGGGTGCCCTTCTCGAAGCAATCCTCAGCAGCCTGCTTCTCCGCATCGGTCGGGAGATAGCCAGGAGTGAGGAACTTGTTGACAAGCTCCTGGTCTTGGCAGATACGGTAGGAGAACATGCCGCCGTGGTCGCCGTTGTGGTCAACGCACCACTGGACGTCAACAGTGTCGCCAGCAGTGTACGTCACAACAGGAGAGTTACCCCAGTTGGTCGCAGGCTGGTTGTAGTCGATGCTGACACGGGCATTGTAGCCGCAAGGGCCACTCCTGCCGACCTTGGCTTCCGTAACGTTGGGCCATGCGGTCACGGGCTCCAGGATGGAGCACTCGGGGCAAGTGTCCAAGCCGGCCTAGAGACCACGGATCAGCACGATCGATCTTCCAACGATCGTCAGGGCATTGCTTACCTCCGCGCCAAGTCTGGTACGACTAAACGGAATGGTAAGATATCCATGGGCATTGACCGTTGCGGCCGACGCAAGGGCAGCCGAGATGATGGAGAACTTCATAATGACAAGTTGAAGGCGAAGACCGGAAGCTGGGGAGGATGACCGAGGAAGTGTGCCGAAGTGTCCAAACGAAGATGCATTCTCGGCGGTTTGGCTAATTCTTTAAATAGTTGTCAACAGGACGACGACATCGCTACCTCCAAAGACCCTTTCACGATGCATACATTTCCGGCAGAGTTTACCTCGACGATCTCTCTAATACGGCCGAAGTACTGCCATCAAAAATGACGTTAGGTGCTTTCGATACCCCCCTCAGCGGCCGGGACGGTACAATATTCCGAGGCCATCGACACATGTGATTTTGGTACCAAATACCGCCATACCACCCTTGGCGGACTTGCCCATATGACTTGCATGAACGCCAGATGTGTTTATGCCAAGAGGCAGTCAGAAATCCGGGGCCCCGGGCTCACCCAGGGTGCCAGTCGTTGGAGATTATGGGGATGCAGCCATGCAAACCGTTGAGTCTAGGTTGGTTCGGTTAGTATGTAGGTGCTTTGTTGGCTTCTGTTACTCTTCTGGGCCTTCCTTCCGGGGTAGCAACCGGCTTCACAGCGTTGCAAACGGCCCGAATCCTTGCCTCCGATACCCCAGAATCCCCACGTTTTCCATCTCTGTTGCTACCCCTATTACACCGAGGCAGGTACGCGGCCTTGATATAGGGAGCATTTGGGCTCGAGGTGAAATGGAACACTGGCTGAGAATGGTCGGGCTTTGGGCAATGCCCAGATTTCCGGTTGGAGAGATGACATGGTTTCAGCTCAAGCGAGAACGAACTGCCAAGTGATTTGTGACATCTGTCTCGAAAGATCATTTTTGCCCTCGAAGGTTTGAAGTTTTCTCTCTCTTTCAACCTAAACACCATCCTCGGCACCCTCATCATTAAGCTTTGCTCGGTGTCATTCCGGATTACCACTTGGGGTACATCCACATTCGCTGCAGCTACCTAAAATTCCTCCCCTTAGCTGATGACGAGGAAGCTCACTGCGACTTCTTCGCTCTCCACATCTCATACTATTTCATCCGTCGCTTCCTCCTCCTCTTGTGATGGCGGCGGTGCCTCAACAATGGCCCCATCAAGCTCCATCATCCCCTCGGCTGGTCCGACACAAGTCACGTCCTCCGTAATCACCTCGGGACAGGCCATATGGAATTCGCCGTATCCGATGGCGTACTGCGACCTAGTGGTTCACCGTTTACTCCCGTCAGCATGTGTCACCAGGCCGTAGCCGCTTAAGCGCCAGTGTCAAGTCTGTTGCACCAGGACCAGGACATACCTCGGCGTTTCTGGCGTCCCAGCCCCTCCTTGGCCACTACCACACTCCCACGTCTTGTTGAAGGTGATCCGCGCCAGCTCAATGCTGATGTAAAACGTCATCAGAACCTCTCTGTCGCTTGGCAATCGCGTCTCGTCGGGCAGACAGATGCTATTGAACTGCAAGTCGCAGGTGAAGACGTCGGTTCCGTTCGTACTCGAGCTCAGCACCTCCAGAGAGACGACGCCTGGAGTGTAGGTCTCGTTGCTGTAGGTTACGTTGACGGAGAGGAGGGTCCAGTTGGGGATGGGTGGGCATTTCGTTCGAGAGAGGGCAAAGGAAAGAGTGAATAGAAACAGAAGAAGGGCAAAGACGAGGCGACTTGGTCGATGCATACTAGGTCCGATGGGGTCTGGAGTAACACTAACTGCCACAAGTTGATCACCAAGCTATGAGGGAATTCAAAGAGTTGTCGGTGGAGATTACGTTTCTGCAAGACTGCAAGTCACTGACACTTGGAGAAGCATGGTCAATACGTCGTTGTCAACAACACTTTATCTTGGCTATTCGACAGTTGGGCCAACGCAATTATCTGTTATCTCATCCCTTCATGGCCAGCTAGGATTGAATGAGTAATGGCTCGCATGGTAGCTTGCGTCCGGCTGAATGCATTAATTTATATCGATCCGAGGAACTGCAACGGCGGGTTGAAACCGGTGTTTGCCCCTCTCTTCCCCACGTCACCATGAACCTCACAGACGGTTGAAGCGGCATCTCCTGCACGCAAGCAAACGACACTGCCGGCACTCATAAATGTATCGTGGTAGCCAGTCGTAACACTCTTCGCATTGGAACCGCCCTCCTCGCCCTGTCCATCTGGCATGAGCACACTCATGATTCTCGAGCAAGTGCTGCGCAGCTGCCGCTACTCGCTGCTGCCTCACTGGCCCGGGGAGTTGTCCAGCTCCCGCATCTCGATTGACGTGCCTGTTGGCTTGAGCCATGAGAGCTTCCTCACTATAGAATTCGCAGCGACATGTTTTCCAAATATCTCCACATGCATAGCAGAAGTGGGCACCACACGGGCAGGCTACAGGCTATGGTTAGTCTTCCCTTCAAAATGTTGGAACGTTCCAAAAAATCAACTCACTGATGTGATTGCAGCCATACTTGAGCTCCACCATCCTCTTACAGGAGTGACACCTCTTCCATCCTTCTCTCTCCGCCATAGCGAGCACTTCTTGCGCCGCTGGATCTCCAGGGCAATCTGTGCCAGTGTGAGCCTGGCCTCTGCAAAGCCCACAGGTCTTGTGTCCACACTTGACACATGTAGCAACATCCTGGCGAATAAAGAGCGGCGGTATGAAGAAGGAGCATGTTGGTTGGGAGCAGTATGTTCTGTTGGGAGTCTCGAACTCCAGCTTCTTGGCCAGAAACCTCCCGACCAGCTGTGGCCCCAAAAGAAAACGGCACTGGTCGAGATTGATTGGCTTGCTGCAGCATCTGGGTGGAAACAACGACTCGTCTGTCATGGCAGCGGTGAATAGCGACACCAAGCAGGGCCTGCAGTAGTCATGGTGGCATGGAACAGTAGCCACTTCATCGGAGCGGAAGTGGTCTCTGCATATCACGCATTCTCTCTCTGGCGTAGGTTACGGGCATGGTGTTGTTGAATGCTGGCGGCTAGCGGCCGCATCACTGGAAGCGGAATTGGTTATGTTGGCACACAATGCACGATCGGACAACACTTGGTTGATGGTGTTGAGCTCTGCCCTGTATGTAGCAGTGGCGGTCTCGAAGTCTGTTGTCTCGCCCTCGCTGTGTTTCCGTTTCCGGCTGCTTTCTTTCTGAAGGTCATCGATGTCTCGGAGTTGAAGCTCAATCACCAGTCTGTGTGTATCAAGGTCTTCGGTGCTGACATCTGGTGAGAGATCCATAGTATGCGTATTTGGGAGTGACTGGAGGGAGTTTCGATGCCAAGCTCTGATTCCCGATGATGCGTGGAGAGAGGTGAGTGACAAGCGGAGAAGATCAAGACCATGAGCAAGGAAGGGCAACAGAAGAGGTCCGGGGGAAATGTAAGGAGAGGGCCTGGAACCTATTTATCACCCCCAGGGTTGTCGGACATGGTTGCTTGGGTCTGGGTGCAAGGGAGGTGACGGCAAGGTGAGCGGGAAGCGACAGACGAGAAAAGAGGGAAAGAGGAGGAAGTTTGGGAAGGGGGGAGGCCCCCTTCTTAACCCCCATGGGGAGGACCCACCCTGATTGTTGTTTGCTCGGTTGGAGAGTTGGGATGGAAAGGAAAGCGAAGCGCTCACGACGCGGGAGGAGGAATCTGGCTCGCAACCACTTCGGCACAGCAGCGGGTGACATGATGGGAGTGTACAATGTACTGGAGGCGTAGGATGGGAAAGACCATACGACTCCAGGTATAGAGAAGGTGCGTGGGAACCAAGTCACGGCCTGAGCGAGGGAACCAACTCAAGAACGGCAATTGTGTTGAGACCTTGATGATAAGACTCAACGGGGAAGAGGTTTTCATTTTCAAGGAAGGTTCTGGCCTGCACGTATTGAATCGTGGTGGTGTCCCCACTGATGATTGTGGGTGGTCTCCGGTCAAAGATAATCGGTGTATCGCGCCAGAGAGAAAGGCGGATGGACATCGAGGTTGCTTGCCCTCAGATACCGGACCGCTGCCACACGGAAGGAAGATGGGCGTGACGGGGAACCACCTACTACACCCAACATCGTTCCTTTCTCTCACTTGGCACGCAACCATCTGGATGTAATTGGCGACGAACAGAAGTGCGCTTTCCACCTACATACACTTTGTTGGAAAGGGCAGCCACTGCAGTTCCATGAAAGACTTCTACTTGCCTAGAGGTGTAGGTACTTTCCCACCTCGCTTTCCCGTCTTTCTGACCTGGTACTCTATTATGTAATCTTTCCATCAATCGCCTCTGCGAGCAGGGAAGTCACAGCGCTTTTCATCCTCTTTCAGGGCGGGTGCCACTGAAGCCTCCCTGAGCCTCCCTCGTCTGGCGACTGCCCCGGGCGAAGCCTCTGCGCACGCTCCAGTTGCCCTTTTGGTCCGACTCTGCCGCTGTGTAATCTTCCCCTGCCCTGCTTCCGTCTCCCCGTTCGTTGTCTTTCATTCCTTCACTCTTTCCACGCAAAAATCACACTGACCCTCCTGTTGCCTCCTTTCTCGCACACGAGCACACTTACATGTCTAGAGGGAACAACAGTTCCCCAACTGTCAGGTCCTTCACACCGGTTCGTGTTTTCATCATGATCAGGTATAGCTGTTTGCCCTCATCCCTCGTGGCCCACGGCACCCTCGGGACTTATATACACGGCAGACACTTGATCAAGGCAAGGTGGGCATATCTGACAGCCATACTGAAAGACCAGACGTGAAGCGGCCAAATATTGATGTCTGCACAGTTTGAGAGCGTTGGTGAAAGGACGGTCACAGATGCGGGATACCCCAGCCGACCTTTCATCAGTCCCCGACATACCTAGACACTCTCCCCTTCTCCCTAGCAACCTCAAGCGCTGGCTGCTTTGCCCTTTACACCTTTTTCTATTTTCTCTCAAGTTAGTCTTTCAAAGTCCAACGTTTCTAACATGGCCACTGCCAGCAAAGATCCTTCCAAGTTCAAGGTGACTCCTGAAAACCAAGCGAGTCTGCCTCACTTCGCCTACCAACAGCTCACATGCAGGCCCAAGCCCATCACCGGCGTCAACCTGAGTAGCAAAACAGCCATTGTAACCGGATCCAACACCGGTGTTGGCCTCGAGACGGCACGACAGCTGCTTGATCTGGGTGTCAACAGGTTGATTTTGGCCGTTCGCAACGAGGCCAAGGGCGCTGCCGCTGCCGCCAACCTGACCAAAGGTCGAGACGTCAAGCAGGCTACCATTGAGGTTTGGAACCTGGACCTCTCTGTCTACGACTCCATTCTTACCTTTTCTGCCAGGGCCGAGAAGGAACTCACCACGCTTGACATCGCCGTCCTCAATGCCGGCATCGGTCCTGTCACGCGCTGTTTCAACCCCCACACCGGCCATGACGAGGTTATCCAGGTCAATTATCTCTCCACTGCGCTGCTGGCCATCCTTCTCTTGCCCGTCATTCAGTCCAAGCGCCAGCATCAATCCGGTCCCAGCCGTATGACCATTGTCAACTCCGAGGTATCGGGGTGGACAAACTTCACCGAGGTCACGGGAAAGAAGCCAACACCATCCTCGATTCTAGCCGCTTTGGACGACAAAGATGGGAAAGTCGACATGGTAGATCGGATGTATGTGTCCAAGTTGCTGGGCCAGTTCTTCCTGTCCGAAATCGCAAAGGTGGTCTCCCCTTCGCTGGCAATCATCAACGCCACATCCCCTTCCTTGGTCCTTGAGACCGAGTTCAACCGCGATCGCGACGGTACACTAATCTACACGATTGGAAAGCTCGCAATGAAGAAGGTGGCCAACACGGCGGCCGTCGGGGCGCGAATGATTACGGATGCCGCTGTCAACCACGGCGACGAGACGCATGGGCAGATGCTGAGCTTTCAACAGCTTGTTCCGTGAGTTTAACTTCGGGCCTATGAACGTTAAAAGATATTTGACTGACATGATGCAGCCTGGCACCCATCATCTATACGGAGGAAGGAACCAAGATCTCAAAGCAATTGTGGGAGGAAACTTTGTCTGAGCTCGAGTTTGCGGGTGTGAGGGATATTTTGGAGAGAGTGAAGAGTTCCTGAGGCACAAGTTCCAGTTCAGACATGTTGTTTCTCTCTCATCGGTACTAGCTACACCTACCTCTAGCCAAGGTAATACCTACCTGTCCTTGCCGACTTCTTGTATTCAGGTGATAATCAACCCAATTACACCCAGTATGCAATCCTAGATCTTTCTTTCCAGAAACTACAACAACTCATTCGCACTTGCTAGGTAGCTCTACAAACATAACCATACGGTGCCCAAGCCCCCTTTCCCTTTCCCTTCCAATAGCTCTAATTACCTAAGGTAGTCTTGGATCGATCCGCAAACCGCCTCTGGAAAATAGAGTTTTCCATCTTTTGACAAGCCAGCTCCCAATCGGTCGTCCACTTCCTGTAAAAGGGCTGGTATCCAAGCAACCCACTTCCAATCCATCTGCCCAAAACCACGCCCAAGGCGATTGAGATGCTCTGGCCGAACGGCACCCACCCGGGGAAGGACACATACGTTCCACCAGCATCGAATGTCTGTACACCATACGCCCTCCTCGTCAAGTAAGCCATGACTGCCCTGAGGTGATAAAAGAGTGGAGGTCAGTAGGTAAGGTAAGGTAATGTTGTTTGTACTCACGCAAAACAACTGGAACAAATCAATGTGGCCCGCTCCACGCACCACCACCTCATCCTGATACCCGTACCAATTCTCAAAAAACACGTCGTTGAGCTCACCAAACACGCTATCGGTCTTGGCTCCACTCAGCAGAAACTTGACTATGTGCTGCTGCTGCTCCTCCAGCGGAGCCGGATACAAGCGATGGTTCACATACGGTCGGATGCAGAACCGACCATCCTCGGGCGTCAAGAAATGGTACTCGTGCTTTTTCTGTCGGAGGGGGCCAGGGCCAGGGCCATTCGTCTTCGTCTTCGTCTCAACGACCAGCTTGCCCTGCAGGCACTCAACGTATTCCTCTTGCGCCACGTGGAAGTGCATCGGAGGCTTGTTCTTTTCGGAGAAGAAGAATTCGGCGCCCTTGTGCAGGTTGAAGGTGGCTTCGATGGCGAAGGAGCGCGAGGGGTCGTGGGAGAGCAGACGGGCGGTGACTGCGCCTTTGAGGCTGGGATGGGAGTAGGGGAAAGAGTGCCCGGTCTGGTTAGTTACCTAGGTATCTATGTTCAGGTGCCCTCTGCCTTTGAGCTTCGTGCTTGCCCTTTTTTCTTATAGCTTGTGCTGAGAGGATTTCGATATAACATGGCAGGTGGAATAGAGGCAGGCACTCACACTTCTACGATGGTGTCATTCTCGCTGTATTTTACAACCGTTCTGTCCGTGGCGGGCGACATTGGGACGGAATTGGACTGGTGGGAAACCTAAAGCTGGATGAACGAGGAGCGAGACGACCAGAATAACTGAAGACAAACGGAAGTTAAGAGAAGCCGTGTGAGAGGTAGAGGGAGGGAGTATCTACGCAGAGGGCAAGCTTTTGTTCTACATTCAACCTGTTTACCACTGGAGTACTCAGCGAAAAGACAAACTTACCTCGTAGCTATTTCCTCACGGTCTACTGTAGTAGGTAGTATGTAAGTTGGTCACAGATAGAGCTCCGTTTGGATACGCAAACAGCGAGAAGCACCCGTAGGCTTGCGTCTCGCCTCATTGCCCGGATTTCTACCTCTACTAATAGTATAGGTAGCACAATTTGCATTCTCTCTGTAGTTTGAGGGCTGAATGCAAATATTCGGAATGATTCCTCTTTTAGGAAGTATTTTGCGAGGATGGGAATGTCCCGTATATGTAGGCTTGCATCTCGACTTACTGCCCGGATTTCTACCAATAATGTAGGTAGCACAACTTGTATGAGTAACCCTCCGTGCACCCACCCCTTTGCCTACCTCTACACGCACCCAAATTTTGGAAGCCCTTCCAAGTTTTTTTCAAATCTCGACCACTTCGACGACAAAAACCACCTCCTCCTATATTCTATAGCTTATTCCTGAGCCCCTTACCATTTCAAGGAATTCCCGAAGATGACGGTTGGTTATATTTTCAGTACGTTGCAAAATATGGGCGCTGCAAATGCAATCACCGAAATGACAGAACTCCCACTGATTAATTTTCTCTAGAAGCCTCTTCCCCTAGTGTTTTAGCTCAAGACTATTTCCATTAACGATTTATAGAAAGGTTGTAACGGCTTTGGTCAAGATGTTAGGCAGTGTCTCCTGTGCCCTGGAAATTTTTGAGTGCGTGTAAGCAAAGGGTTGGGTGCACGGAGGGTTACTCCAAGGTATTGTGATCTCAAAGTAAACCCGAGACACTCAGGCCAGACCAACCATCTGCTGCCACCCGTACTCTACCAGTAACCCAGCAGCAATGGCCGCGCCCGTAGGCCAGAACCCCCGCGAGAACCAGGTCCAGCAACTAGCCGGATCCTTCAAGTCCACCAAGGCAACCATGGCGCCGACCGAGACCACACAGCCGCCGACCGTGACTGCGTAATACGGCACTCACATGCCGCCCCAGTACCCGCTCGCGACAAGAAGTGCGCTCATGGTCAGGTACAGGCCAAACAAGATGGGTCTCGCCCAGCTACCAAACAGCACCGCCGTGCTCTTGACTCCCACCCTCAGGTCGTCCGCCAGATCCTGGTCCGCGTAGATGGTGTCAAAGATGACCATCCACACGACGCTGGCGGCCACCAAGGTAGCCGTGCTGGGATCCCGCCAGGGAGCGGGGACGCCCATGCCGGCCGACCCGACCATGACGCCCCATTTCAGACAGAGGCCGAGGACGAACTGGGCAAAGTGCGTGTGGCGCTTGGCAAACGGGTAGTAGGTGGTGCCGACGATGGTGGCGACTGCCGCGAGCGTGGCGTCCCAGGGCAGCGGGAGCAGAAACACGGCCGCGCAGGCGGCCTGGACGCAGGTGAAGAGGAAGGCGGCTTTCGGGGAGATGGCGCCCCGCGGAATGGGACGCGTCTTTGTGCGGGCGATCTGGGCGTCAATGGGGGCGTCGACGAGGTCGTTCCAGGCGTGGGCGGCGTTGCTGAAGAAGAAGGAGCCGGATAGGAGGTAGGACCCGACACGGGCGACGGAGGAGAGCGGGAGGTGGTGGGTGGCAGCGGCGTGAATGGCGCCGAAGAGGTGCGGAGCGAAGACCATGAAGAAGGCCGTGGGCGGGGAAAGACGCGAGAGCTGGATGTAAGGGAACCCAGGAAGTCGGGAACAAGTCAACCCAACCGCCGGCGTGGTGACCGCCGTATTGTTGAGAGAGTTGTGATTTTGGGAGAGGCTGTTTCTCCTTATTGCTGGCACTGTCGTTGTTGCCACGAGCCAGGAGGGCTGTCTTGGTGGTTGATATGGTTTGGCTCATCTTTGCTGATGTTTTAGGTAGAGGTAGTCTTTCGCAGCTGAAAGATCCAGTCTTAAAGAGGAAACGGAACGAGTGTCGATGGCTTCATTCCCAGGTTGAGAGGACCTTATATATCTCTGCTTGCCAGGGCGTCTAACGCCACATTATGCTCGGTGTTTCTTTCGGGCTGGGGTTTCAGGGGCTGTCCGCGCATCACGCATCGCTTATGTATCAAAATCCACGGAATGCGCACGGAATCGTCAACAAGCGAAGCATCGACAACGTGGAACGTCTCATAGAGTGCATATGTAGGCGGCACTGATGCACGGTCAAAGCACATCGTTCGCTTGAAGGTGTTTACTGGTTTATAAGAAGGACGAACATCCTTCTATAAGCCATCTTATATCGGAAGAGCATAGGAGAGAATAAGAGATGAGCGGAAGGACGAATCCCAAACTTATAGGTAGTATAAGGTATGAACATTTGAGGTCTGTAGCCGCTGATAGGCCATGGGTCCGGTCCGAATGGCCACAAATCAACAAGCAAGGAAGGTCTAACAGCCTCGCCTCTTGTTTGCATTGAAGCCAGGGACAGAAGAAGACGACCGGGTCACTGTTCTGCGTTACGTTTGATCAGCTCGTTGCTGTGACATGCTCGGACTTTGGCCTGTTTTGAGATAGACACTCAGGTCGAGACTGTGGCAGCCAGCAGGTCGAGGGGGCGAACTACTACTACCTACTCCTTCCAGTTGGTCAGGTATGATTCTGACTGCGAGTCAACATCGCAAATGGTGCTCAAGGTGGTGGAAGTGGGGCGGAGAAGGGGTCGTTGTGCGTGAGCTCGGTTGGAACCTGCGTTGGAACATGTGCGCGAACTGGCTGTTAGGTACTGTTATCACTGTAAGCAATGCACAAAGTAGCCTAGGTGTGTAGGACTGTAGGTAGGTACGCTACACTTATGCAATATGCAGTTAGGCGTGTTATCCTTGGTAGGCTCGATTGCAGACAGAGGCTCAGAGGCTCAGAGCAGGTGTGAATGAAATTTCACGAAACACTTCTACTTTTCTCCTGGGAATTTGACGCCTTCCTTCCCCAGCCGAATCCCCCCATTCACCTTCTTGCTGACTTGAGCATCTGCGATCTGGGAAGCCATAGCGGTGTTCATCCTCTTTTAGGGCGGGGCCCACTGAAGCCTACCTTCTCCGCACGCTCCAGTTGCCCTTTTGGTCAAGAGGGTCAATTGTGATTGGGTGAATTGTCCTTTGTAGTCAAGGAAGGTGAAGGTACACTACAGTGCCGGAAAAAAAAACGCCCAACTCGAAATTTCCCCGCAAGAAAGATCCAAAAGTCAGGCTCGACACTCTTCAATTTAACAACTTGATTAACGTCCAAATGCCGATACACTCTTCGAGAAAGCTCTTCTCTCTTTTCTTCCCACACAAATTCTTGTAGCTGGCAGTTTTTATTCGTTGATAGTAGTAAAAGAGAGTAGCAGAGAAAGGTGCAAGGGAGGCGTGGGAGGTAAGTTAGTTATAGTGGACTTATCGGGGCTTTCAGTGGGTCAAAGCCAAGGTAGCGTCCTCCAGGAGTTCCAAGTGGAAGTTTACCACCCTTTTTTGTTGAGTTTTTCATTACACCAGCTGCTGAGCGCTGTTGTTTCTTTGATACGTCAATGCGATCGGTTTTCGTGGGAAATGACGGATTGGGCGTTTTTTTCACGGCTTCCAGTGCGGCGAACTATGTCTACGACCAGAACTTGTCAATTTTCTGCTCGGTATCTCACCAAATGTATACGCGTTGTCCATAGCTTCCTCGTTGCTTTGAAGCTGTATGTTGGATGAGGTCGAGGTCGGGGCTTGGGCTTGGAAGTTGGCGCTGGCTTTGGCGTTTCTTTCTCCGCTCCCTTCTCTCTACCACGAGCATTTTGTTATCCTTCTTCTCCCCTTCCGACATCTATGGGGCGCAGTATGATCCTCTTGAAGGCGGTACTGTAATGTGAGAAGCAAACTAGGGCGTCAGTGGTGGCTATGGTATCGAGATCGACTTGAACTGAAGAAGCGGCCGGAGCTGAGGAGTTGACGGAAGGAAGCATCGTCTTCGTTTGAGGCGATGAGTTTTGAGACACAAACAGCCAGCCCCCTTGAATCCTCTGGTCTCAAGCTCCTTAATGGACGGCCTCTACCGGCTCGACTGTTGACATGAATGATGTTTTTCATCCCATGATTCCATGATCCCATGAGTCCAGTCTCACGTTCTCTTCCAACACGCGGTGCCTGCCGCTCCTGCCCGGGCCTCAACTGCCTGCCGCCTCCGCCGCTTTTCATCATGCCCCTCTTCGTCCCAACTCCCACCGGTGACCGGCCTATGGGTCTGGGGTATATAAGATCCTTTTTCTGCGCACCTTCCCGTGGCCCCGGTTAACACTACATAATCTGGCGTATTGTCGTGCAGTCCGCGGCCGTACGGTAGCGTGGAAGTTACCGGTTCGAATCCGGTACGGGCCACACTTTTCTTTTTCCTTTTTTTACTTTTCTTTTTGTTTACGCTCATTTGGTCGGTCATTCTGTGCTGTCTGTTCCTGGGTTATCACCTCACATCGAGATGCGTGTCGAAGACTCTTTCTTCTCTTGTACCGGGCAATAAGCTCGGTTTTTCTTTCGAGTTCTGTAACCAGTTCCTCGTTTCTGCTACAGAGAGCAATCTGTATCACGGAAATGGCGAAATTGAATGAAAGCCAAAGAGACAACAAGGAAAAGGAGCTGTGCCTGGGGAGCTTCGTTTGCGGCACTAAAATATCTGACTTGAAATGGGAGAAGCAAAAGTTTATTGTTCGCCATGGTTAGGTAGCAATGTGCTAAAGTGTCTTTATTACGTGTTAGACAATTTTTATACCGGGTGTTGAGCGTGATCAATGCGATTAGGTACCGGCATAGACACAAAACATCTATAGACGTCGTCGGGTTCAAGGAGTTGATGTCAGGAACGATATCTCTAATGCTGGGGGGCTTTACACAACAACGCTGACTACATGTATCTGTTCTGTTGTCGTCCACTACAGATGATACTTGAAATCCAGCTCCCCATCGCCCGTCTTGACCTTCCTCGTATCCTCGACCTCCCCCCTACTGATCCTCTCCTTCTTCCTGTTACACGACCGGATATACAACCACAACCCAGCAATCAGAAACTCGGCCACGACCAGCGACCCGAGCGAGAACGCGTTCCCCAGCAAATAAGGCTTCTCCCGATAGATCTGCCCGGCCACAATGCCCGCCGTATTGGCCATCGTCTGCTGGAACCCAATCGCCGCCGCCCTCCGATAGTGCGGGGCAACATTGACATTGAGCCAAGTCAAGTTCAGTCCCGGACCGCTGTACACCGCCACGGAGCAAAAGAACGTCCCCAAAAACTTGACCCCGTTGCTCGTCGGGCAGATGATCAAGATATATCCCAAGATCCCAAAGACATTGGCAAACGCCACCAGCGGTCCCCTAACAGAAAGCTTGTCCGACAAGAACGCCAGCGCCATGAAGCACAGCCCGCCCGTGATGTACACCGGAATAGTCAGGTACTGCGCCTGCACGCTATCGTGGCCCATACTCTGGATAATGCTCGGCAAGAACGTGCTGAACCCGAACAGCAGGATATCCTGACAGAACTGAATCGCGCCACTCATCCACACCTTCATATCCTTGAGAGCAAACCGGATCTCCTCCCAGCTGAACTCCTCGCTGCCCATGTACTGCGCCCTCTGCCTCGCTCTGACCCTCATCATCCTCTTCTCATCCTCGCTCAGGAAATACGCCTCGGTCGGATCATTCGGCAGCGCGAACCATACCAGCGCACCGATGAAGATACTAAAGATTCCCTCGATGATATACACCCACCTCCACCCCGCCTGCCCCCCGATCCCGTCCATCTTGAGAATCAGGTACGCCAACAACCCCCCAAACGCGCCCGCAATAGCTGTGCACACAAACAGGTAACTCACCCGCCTCGCTTGCTCCTCGCGCTTATAAACCATCGTCAGATACAGATTCAGTCCCGGGAACAAACCCCCCTCGCACGCCCCCAACACCAGCCGCGCAGCATACAATCCCCCAATATTCGTGATAAACCCCGAGAAAATGGTCGTCAACGACCAGATCACACATAAAGTGGTAAGCGTGACGCGGGGCGTCAACCGCTTGAGCAAGATGGCCCAGGGCGCTTCGAAGGCGACGTAGGTGGCGTAGAAGATGGAGACGGCGGTGGAGAACTCGGAGGCGGAGGCGCCGATGTCTTCGGGCATGCCGGCGACTTTGACGTTGCCGATGTTGGAGCGGTCGAGGAAGCAGGAGAGGTAGACGAGCATGATGATGGGGACGAAGACCGAGTCGAGCTTGAGGAGGAGGGCGGCTTCGGCTTTGGGGTCGAGGACTTCGACTGTTTCTGTCACCGTCTCGGCGGTGGGTATATCGGTTGTAAACAACTCATTTTGGCGTTCGGGATCTGACTTCTTTTCGGAGGGAGAGGTAGATCGTGGTGGTGAGGAGGCCATGGTACTATCTGGTAACAGCCGTGGAAGATGGCGCGAACATCGTTGGTGAAATGACGGGGGAGTGTCCTCTTTTTGTTCTCCTCATGGCCCCGACATAGCTTCTATTAAGTGGCGGCGATCTCAAATCGATAATCTGGCACCTTCCGCTATCGGCCTAACGATTACCTATCGTCGCTCTTGTCTCAGAGTATCTCCGATAAGACGCAGGCAAAGTGTTTATCAAGCGTTGGACATGACGTTACAATGCATCGACTAGCTCAAGCGGTCGGTATCTCCCATGTGGGGAGCGAATCACAGCCAAGCCTGTCGCAGATCGTCAACGAAAATGTCCTAGACCGTTCCGTTATCAGTCCCGGTACTTCAAGACAGCCGTTTAAACATTTCCGCTCTGAATTTGCTATGCGAATTGTCGTATAACGACAACACAACATAGCATCGATGGGGACATCAGGAACGGGCGGGCATCTCTCCTAAGCACAACATGTTCACAATCAGTCCGCTCCGACGCCTTCTATCCAATGAGTTGTTTTTCATTACCCAACCCCACCCAAACTCCAAGCCATAATAAACATTACAAGACATTATCCTTTTCCAAGCCATCATAGAACAATACAACCGCACCCTTACAGCTTGGTCTTGCTGGAGGGGGCGTTAAAGTTGGGGTATCCCTTCTCCTTCCACTCATAAAAGCTCATGCCGTTCGCCGACGAGGGCATGCGGACGACCAAGGGAACAACGATATCCTCCTCGACGCCGAGGGTCTCGGCCTTGTGGACAATGGTCTCCTTGAGGATCTCGTAACCGGCCTTCTCGTAGAGGCCAATGGACGAAGGGGAAGACTCGAAGTAGATGGGAAGCTGGCAGCGCTCGGAGAGGTCGAGACCGAACTTGGCGAGGGCCATACCACCCTTGCGGCCCTGGCACCTGGGGTCAACGCCAATGACGTGGGCATCTGTTATCGCGTCTATCAGCAGATGTCACACTATAAAAAGGGAACATGATAAAACAAAGATGACCCACAGATATAAGGCTTGCCACCAAACAACTGCTCCCTCATGTCGTGCAAAGGGTTGAGCACTTTCTCGGCCCTCTCCCTCTGCTCGCCCTCGAGCCAGGGGACGCCGTGGTTCTTGCGCTCCTCCTCGGACCGCTCACGGACAAAGATGTCGACCAGGCCCATGCCCAGGATCTCGCCGTCGGCCATGTCGACCGCCTTGAAGGTGTACTGCGAGTCCGAGGTGTGCCAGTACTCGAGGGTGCCCTTGGCGTGGGCCTCGCGGAATTCGGCCGCGGTGGTGTCGACGCCGGGGAAGAGGATCTTGAGCATGATCTCGCCCATGCGCTCGCCCTTGAAGGCGGCGAAGTAGGACTCGTACACGCGACGGATGTCAGGGATGAGGGCGGGGAGGACGGCGACGACCATTTTGGCGGTGTTTCGGGGCGTTTTGGATGAGAAACGGCTGGTTAGGTAGATGGAAGGAGGAAGTCCACTGTTTTCGCGGGCGGCTGAAGTCGGACGATTCGGATCTGATAAGATCTTTTGGGCTTGATGAAACAAGACGAGAAGGGAGTAAGCCAGTTCGAGACAAAGATCAGAGATCTCGTGCCTCTTTATCTGATGATCTGATCAGATAAATGACTGCCGATCCACTCCGACAGCTGCAGCCAAGGAGACCATGACTAGAAAAGTGAACGAGTTGCTGGGTTCCCCCCAACAAACCGAAGCGCCCAGAAGGACGAGAACACGCCGCACGCGAGATGGTGAACCGTGGCATCGTGGGATGGCGCTGGCTTCGGTGGCCTAGGTAACCTGGGCGACGCCGGCCAGCATGAGCCAGCATGGCGCCATACTCGCAAGCGATGAGGAGGGGGGGGAGGACCTGGTCTCGAACTCTCTCCACATCGTGACTTTGACCAACCAACTCATGCGGTGTACGAGGAGTGTCTCCGGGACACCGCCGCGGCGAGCTACTGAGCTCGGTTAGAGCGTGGTTCAGATGTAGCTGAAGTTTGGAATACAAGCTGCTGTCCACCGAGCCAAGAAAGGTTCAAGTTGAAAAGAAGAGGTATCTGGGCCATCAAGGTTGATGATCACTATGGACCATTCATGGTCACGATCCGGGAGCGTGGCACCCACGTGTTACCCATCGCCGATGGGTGCTGGATTTGGTGATGAAAATGTCGATCGGTTGTCCACACGACACGACAGTTTGATGGATCCGAGGGGGTGGGACTCACACTCGCGATCAAAACAACGCACTGTCTTGGCCATCATCCGATCTGGGATGATTCATGTCATGGTACCATTCCTGTGGGCCAGATCTTATCAGTCGCTCTTCGCATTCGCTCGATACGAGATTTCCGGATGTGGTGTGGATGCTTGGTGGGAAAACTTTGTCCAACGATGTCCCTTGTTGGTGTTTTGGTCTTGGGAGGTCTTGGGACTAGAAGACCCGGCCGTTTGCCCTTCCCCGTTTAGAGTTATCAGATCCGTTTTCGAACCCACCGGGGGAAGCTCGCTTCGTTACTTTGTAACTTAATTCATGATATGGTCGGATTGTTTGTGGGGGCTGGATACAAAAATGGGAGAATACAGGTTTGACAGGCAGGAAATCGCATGAAACAAATACCGAGTCCAATCTTCCCCAACGACTGATCTCAAACACTCTCTTGGTCCCTGGCCATCACTCCTTCCTCAGACTCGCGGTCAGAGTGTGTACAAGAAAGGAGCGCAATGGAGGGCGAGTGGGAAAGAGCCACCAGCTCAACGAACTCGTCGCCGACCGTCCTGAACATCTGTCATTCAATCAGCGCCTTCCAAAATTACACAAAGATGACTGGCTTCAGACTCACCGGTAAGAAGTACCTTGCCAAATCCACTAGGCGTAACTACACGTACACCCCTCTCTCTTTGCGGGATCGAACGAAGGCCAAGGGACGCACAGGTATCCTCTCGGGCACGCTACCCCGGAGGCTCCGCATTGGTTTACGGAACAGGGGCCGGTGTAAGCCGCCATTGCTGGCGAGAGTGCTGTGATGCCGAAGAGGATGAGGATCTTGGTGAGTTGCATATTGCCGAGTGAAGGTATGATGTTTTCGAGCTGTACGGTGTCGTTTGATGTTGATACAAATTGATCGGAAAGCACCTGGCTACCAAGACCAGCTTCCACTTCTTATAGTTGCCTATTCATGGTCATGTCTATGTCTTTGGACTGCCGATCTCAGTTCAATATAGCATGAGCAGGTTTAAAAAAATACCTCAGGACTGGATGCCGGCCAACGGGCCAAGACCGCCGCGAGGTTGAGTTAAACAAAGTCCGATACTCAGCCGCAATGACAAGTGATCTCCCGCGTTGGAAGATTGTACAAACACCTTATTTGTAACCTCTTGGCTTCTTGGTGTTGATGGATTTGCGCTTATTCCGACGCCAGCGGATTGATCGTCGCCAACCACACGTCGTCAGCCTGGGCTTGGCTTCATGTACACCGCGTTCCTTCCCAGGCATGACCGCTCAACACATATTGTGAATGCAACTGCGATAAGGGATGAAGTGAAAAAGAAACGGAAGGATCATTCCTCCCAGAGATTGGAACTACTCCTCATCTCAATCATCCACCTAGTGCCTCCACTCATTCAACTTCTGCACCACCTTGGCATGCTTATACACCAGCTCCTTGGCCTCGTCATCCTCCAAGTAGATGGTGAACGAATCATCATGATTGCGTCCATACGAGTACCCGCCATAGCCAAACTGCCAGTACATGTCGCCCGCCAGCTTCTCCTGGACGGCAATCTTCTGCCAGCCGCCAATGACCTCGAGCCTGGTCTCGTTCTTGACCTGGCCGAGCTGGTCTAGACGGCCCTTGTCGGTCATCCACCCGTACTCCTCGAGCACGACGGGCTTCTTGACGGCGCGGCCCGAGGCGGCGTGGTCGCGGATCCATTGGTTGGACCACTCGACGCTCTTGGACCACCACTGTCGACATTGTCAGTTCCAGTTCAGGGTAATAATGCCTTTAAAGGGTGGGGAGAGAAACTTACATCAGGATACAAATGCAGCGTCCCAAAGTCCACATTCCTCAACCCCAACTCCTTATCGAAATCCCCTCCATCCCACCCATTATAAAACCCATCATCATCACTCTGCCTGTTAAACCCACCTTCACCACCCCACGTAACCAAGTGATTCCCATCCAAACTCTTCACGTACATGCTCATCTCATCAATCCACTTCGTCAACGTCTCCGTCGTACAATTCTCGCTCCTGGGCAAATTCCTCGTCCCATCGGCGCCACATCTCGGCTCATTCGCCAACTCCCACCCCATAATCGCCGGCGAGTCGCGATACCTCGTCACCATGGCTTTCACGTACTTCTTAAACGCGGCCTTGATCTTGGGCTGCGTGTAAAAGTCGTCGTGGTACTTGCCGCCCAGGTTGACGGTGTAGACGTCCATGCCGCCGTAATCGGCCCAGTTGTTGGTCAGAGCGACGATGAGCTTGATGCCGGTTTTGGAGGCGGAGTCAACGACATTGTCGAAGGGCGAGACGTCGATGGTTTGCTTGCCGTTGTCCCACCACTGGAAAACGGTCTCGGTGGCGCCGGCGCCTTCGCCGCCGTATTGAGGCAGACCGGAGGGGATGTAAGTGCGGTTTTTGTCGTTGAAGCCCCAGGTGCGGAAGACGGTGAGGCCGGCGGCGCGGGCGGCTTTCATGCCTGCTTCGACGTCGGATTTGTCCTACACAGATTGGTAAGGTAAGTTAGCATCGGGGCTTTGTGGGATAGGACAACATGGGATGGATGATGGCGGTACTAACGTTGAAAGGGAAGTAGTAGGCATTGCTACCAGCAAAGTAGAAGTCCTTTCCGTCGAGCTTGAAGTGGTCACCCTCAGCAGTGACAAAGCCCTTGGGGACCTTGCCTTTGCCGGGGGCTGCCGACACGCCGGTGGCGAGCAGGGAGAGGATGGAGAGGAAGTGGCCTTGACGCATCTTGACAGTTGCCTTTGTAGGAGGAGAGAAGACCGAAAGAGTCAACTGGGGAGCCCAAATCCTACTTCATTTCAACAAAGGCATGTCGAACTTATATACACGAACTCGCCCATCACGTCACTTACATTGATCGAACGTCTTTGGGACATTTCCTATTTGGGAGGGCGGTGGTTGCTTCCCCGGATTTGAGGGGATCAAGAGGTGTTAGTCGAGCCGAGGCTTGGCATCCAATTGTTAACGGGCGACGGACATCGTTCACCCGCCCTCGCCGCCGCTATACCCCAAGTTTTCTCCAGGTTTCCCCGCCGGTCGGTTCCTGGCAGGTAGGGTTACTCTCTCATCAATCGGTGAGGCCATGATCGATCAAGTTGGCCAATCATGAGGCATCATGAAGGAAACCAGTTGGTGGTTGCGTGTTGGGCGAAATCTAATTCTAGAACTGCTAGGATCGCTGCACTCGCGCCGATGCCCCCGGTTCCTGGCTCAAGACCCTCGTGACTGTCACGGACGACTGGTATACGCGTCGCAAGGGCTGGAGGAACCGGGGAGCTTAAACTTCCCATACCCCCCTTTTTACAAAAGAGAAGCCAGGAGCAGTTTTATACGCCTTCTCTGTCCCTACTGTCCAACATCCATCTTCGAACGATAGTCCGCCGACACCTCACACCTTCCCCGTTCTCAGCCACTGTCTTTCCCACAAAAGACTTAGGCCTTGGTGACACACTGCTCGCAGATGGCATTCGCAACCTGGCCAACAACGGGAGCAAGAGCAGCACCGCGAGCCTGAGCAACACAAGGCATCACAGCAGCCTGCATCGCCGCGGCATTCTTGCACTGGCACTCAAAGTCCATGTACTTGGTGCAGCCGATTTCGATAGCAGCTGCGGAAATGCAAGGGACCTGGGTATCTATCTGTTAGTCGGCCTGTGCCAGCTAAGGTAAGTGGTGAGTGTCTGTCCTGACTTACACCGCACTCGGGCATCTGAGCAGTGACGGGGCAAGAGGCGACTGGAGGACCAGTTTGTGGGCGCGCCGAGGTGAAGGCGATGGAGGAGAGGAGGGTGATGGGGATGGTGGTGCACTGCATGTTGGCTGGCCTTGACTTGTGAATAACAAGGGAGCAGGCAAGTCACTGTGTAAGTGGAATGTGTCTGATGTTGCCATCTTCATTGACGTTGACTACATTGAGCCTTTATACTCGGCCAACAGCCCTCTTCTTCTTCCATTTCTCACAGACTGTGTTCAAAGTGTTTTCAGTTTTGATGAAGTCCGTTTTCCCACGACGGAAGTCCGTTAGGCATTCATGCACTTGACATGATAGCCATATTGCCCGTAAAGGTCAGCCAGGAACGATGAGGTAGGAAATATAGTACCGAGATTTAACCGCGGGATTCTGACTTGTGTAGATGCTCGGCAAGGTGAGTCCGAGGTGGTATTCGAGCTCGCCGATGAAGAGACAAGTCCGTCGACAGCAGTGTGCAGTTGGAGAAGTCCGGCCGGTAAAGCTCACACGGGAATATGATGGAGTTGCTTCATCCTTCATCATCCATTGCCTGTCAAGCTTATAAGATCAACAGCTGTGCCGACCATCGGAGCTCAGCCACGAGTCATAGACGCCGTTCATCGCATTCAGCCTCGTCGATGGTGATTCAATCCAATTCATCATCACCGGTTTGCATCATCAATCCCAACATGACGCTGTTACATTGGGATGGCTGGGAGTTGGCCTGTGGTCGAGCGGGAATCGCGGGATCGGGACGGAAAACGATTCCGAGATGCCGTTGGTGAGAACAAGTTGGTGAGGGGAAGCTTGAGCTTGGGAGGTTGTGAGCTGATCGTTGTCGTTGACTGTGAGGGGTCTTGGGGGTCTGCCGAGGGGAGCTGTGAGGGGATTGAGGGGGTCGAGAAAAGCCTGCCCAGCCATCCATTTCTGTCAATCCGACAGCGCCTGCCATTTGCGCCAGCATACACACATGCCGGTGGAATGACATGACGCCTGGGCCGGCCCGCCGTCAAAGCTCCACATGTGGCGCCAAATGAGCGGATTGGATTGGGGCCATTTTGAGGCCATTGGGCCCTGGACTTGGCGACTGGACGGTGGACAGTGGACTGTGGGGGACGCTGTAACGTCGCCGGAGCTAAACATCATCGAGATTGGCCTGTCGTCCTGTGTGAATCATCCGACGAATTCGACACCAAGTCCGACCTAGGCTCTAAAGACGGGAGCTGTCCCCTTCTTGATCGAAAGTCTGTCTCTCCTCTCTCTCCTCCTCCTCTCCTTCCTCTCACCACCACCCGACAACGATCCTTCTCTGTCGACAGAAATCGCCCACGATGCTTTCCTCGGTCAGACTTGTTACGCGCAGAGCTGCTGTCAGAAGCGCTTTCGCTTCCCCTGGTCGCAGCTTGGTTGCTGTCCGCGCCGCCTCGTTCTGGGCTAACGTCCCTCAAGGTCCTCCTGTAAGTTTCCATGTCATGGCATTGCAGCAAGGGAAATGCGTTATGCTAACCACTATGCGCGCAACAGGATGTATGTCATTCCCCAGATTTCAAACCTCAATAGCTTCAGTTCGAGCCCGAGCTATCTCCGTCTTCGCGCTGTGTCCGTCTTCGGTGTTGCTAACCCCGCGCTCGTTGTCGCGTCTGACAGGCCATTCTCGGTACGTAATGCGACATTAACACCACGAGTTACAAACTGACATCGTCCAGGTATCACGGAAGCTTTCAAGGCCGACCCCTTCGACAAGAAGATCAACCTCGGTATGTCAACACCCCGAGCACATGCTATTTGCCCCTCATCCTACGCGACTCCACCACGATCTACCACTGTTCGGAGACTAGCTTCAACAATAGCTAACCGATTCGGACAGGTGTCGGTGCCTACCGCGATGACAAGGGCAAGCCTTACGTCCTCCCCTCCGTTCGCAAGGCCGAGGACAAGGTCATCCACTCCCGCCTGAACAAGGAGTACGCCGGCATCACCGGTGTCCCCGAGTTCACCAAGGCCGCCGCCGTTCTCGCCTACGGCAAGGACAGCTCCGCCCTTGACCGTCTCGTCATCACCCAGTCCATCTCGGGTACCGGTGCCCTCCGCATCGGCGGTGAATTCCTCGCCCGCTTCTTCCCCGGAGCCAAGAAGATCTACATCCCCACCCCTTCGTGGGCCAACCACGGCGCCGTCTTCCGTGACTCCGGTCTCGAGGTCGCCCAGTATGCCTACTACGACAAGAACACCATCGGCCTCGACTTCGAGGGTCTTATCCGCGACCTCAAGGCTGCCCCCAACAACTCCATCTTCCTCTTCCACGCCTGCGCCCACAACCCCACCGGTGTCGACCCCACCCCCGAGCAGTGGAAGGAGATCGAGGCCGTCGTCAAGGACAAGGGCCACTACTCCTTCTTCGACATGGCCTACCAGGGTTTCGCTTCCGGCGACATCCACAAGGACGCTTTCGCCGTTCGCTACTTCGTCGAGCAGGGCCACAACATCGCCCTTGCCCAGTCCTTCGCCAAGAACATGGGTCTCTACGGCGAGCGTGTCGGTGCTTTCTCCATCGTCTGCGCTGACGCCGACGAGAAGAAGCGCGTTGACTCGCAGGTCAAGATTCTTGTCCGCCCTCTCTACTCCAACCCCCCTATCCACGGTGCCCGCATCGCCGCCGAGATCCTCAACACCACCGAGCTTTACGAGCAGTGGCTTACCGAGGTCAAGGAGATGGCCGACCGCATCATCAAGATGCGCGCCCTCCTCAAGGAGAACCTCGAGAAGCTCGGCAGCAAGCACGACTGGAGCCACATCACCAAGCAGATCGGCATGTTCGCCTACACCGGTCTGACCCCCGAGCAGATGGACAAGCTGGCCAAGGAGCACAGCGTGTATGCCACCAAGGACGGCCGTATCTCTGTTGCTGGTATCACTAGCGAGAACGTTGGTCGTCTTGCTGAGGCCATCTTCAAAGTCAAGGGTTAGATGTGTTGACGACAAAAGATTTAGACTTGTAAAAAGTTATAAAAGGCAGTTTGGAGTTGGTTGGTTGTGGCGGGACTTTATGATGGTTTCTTTTTTTCTGTTTTCTTGAATGATACACAAAAAGGGGGCGGTTTTGGCTTTTCACGTAGCCTTGTATGATGAATAATGGTACATGACGAATCAGATATCTACGGAGCAATTCCCTTGGTCATGATTTTGCATTGTAGACTTGAATCTTTGGATAGTGTCAGTGAAAGTCGCCGGTTTTCAAGCAGGCTCATCCGCTTAGAACCTTGTTGACCACCCTCAGTAGCCCTGCACATGAACTTCGTACACATGTAGACAGTTCTCGATAAGATACCGCGAATTTTGTAGGACAATTCACTGACAGCACGAGGTCTAATCGTCCACAATGCTTGCCTTCAACCTCTAAAATCCCATTTTTATACACACAAGATATGGTACAGCCGTCGTCCGCAACAGCGGAATAAGACGGTAATCAGACCCTCTTCAGAATTGTCCCATCTAAGCCATCTTCGGCTTCGGCTCCTCCTTCATAAACAGATCCTCCTCCTGGCCCAACTCAAACTCCTTCGACTCCGACTTAATCATCCGATCCGCCTCTTCCTTCAACTCCCCCTTGCTCTTGGGCTCCTTGCCCTCCTCAAACTTGAACCCAGCAAGCTTAAACTCCCTCAACTGCTCCTCCAGACTCTTCTCCTCCCCCTCCTTGACCCGGGGCAATCCCAGGGCCTCCCGCTCCTTCGCAAACCGCTCCCTCACCTCCGGAGTCTGCATGATCCTCCACCGCAACATCCACCCCCACGGTCCCAGCTCCTTGACTCTCGCCGCCTTGTGGCCGAGCAGGTACTCATCCAGTCCGCCCACCTTATCAATCGTGCGCAGCACGCGCGTAGTGACGCGGGTGCGCACAAACACGCCCAAGGACTTGGACCACAACCGCTTCTGCTGCACGTTCGGCCGCCACTTGCGCCGCGTCTTGATCTCGTTGCGCTTGGACACGTTGTTGCCGAAGCGGATCAGCGCCGAGCCGTACAGGCCCGTGTTGGATTGGTGGTACACGCGACGGGGCCCGTAGGGGTAGGCGGGGATCTCGATCTTGAAGTCCGAGTTCGCGGGCACGTCGGGGAGGGGGACGCGGCCGGAGACGTTGGGGATTGGGATCGAGGAGGAGGGCACGCGCGGTTGGTGGTAGGTGAGCGGGGTGGTGGTTGTGAGGGTGCGCAGTTGCAGACCGAGGGTGGTGGTGCTGCTGGCCCGGAGTGGGCGGGCGAGGAAGGACGACATTTTTGGTGGTGTGGTTGGGGGTATCTCTTGGTGTTTTTTTTTTTGTTGGCTGTCGCGGAATTTGGGAAGAGGCCGGGTCGAGACAGAAAGCGATTGCGCCGGGACCGAAAAGATCAAGATGTGCGACGGCGGCGCAATTAATGGATTTTGGACGGGCGGGCGGCTATTCGTCGCTGTCGGTCGGTCGTCGTCGTCGTCGGCGTAGTTGAGTCCGCGTCGCCGGGATTGGGAATGTCTCGGACACAGTCAAGGGTCGAGATTCGAGGTTCCAGCTCTGAGTGGGTGGCCTGGGCGGGACTCACTGGACGGGAATCGGGGGCGGCGTGACGGGGTCCGGGTCGGGTCTCGCAGCTCACAATCGGATCCGGCACGCGGGACGAATTTGATTGCCAAGCCGGGTCCGTGCTCCAATTGCTGGTGTTGTGCATTTTGTGAGCGAGCAGCGGACGAAAATTAAGTGGAGCCCACAGCAGTGCTGCTGGAGAAGCGGGGCCGATCAGCTGCTTTCGCGGGGCAGCTCGCGACTGATCCTTGTTGGGAAAGCTTATCGGAGCTTATCAGTTGTGATGGAAGAGGTACCTTGATGGGACACGACGCGCTTTCATTGACGGTTCACAATCAAAAACACATTTAAACATCCCGGATGGACTGGACACCTGAACGGAGACTCAAGTTCATCACAAGCTGATCTTCATATCAACCATGCTCCCGCCAATTGACAACTCAGTGCTTGAAAACAATCCCCAGTTCGCAAACCTCTACAAGGGCTTGACGGAGCTTCTCCTCAACGAAGATGGCTCAACCAAGCTTCATCCACAGAATCCAGTGGCCCAGGAGCGCAAGGCTATCACCGATGTAAGCCCAACTTTCTCATCCCATTATGAAACCTACGTATCCGCGTCTAACTCCCACCAAAAGGAACTAACCAAACACCGTCTCGCCGCCGCCTCCGAAACCCTCCTCATCCACGCCCTCTCAACCACCGGCCCCGATCCTGATCCCGTCCCCATTCCCGCGGAACGGCCCGACCAAAAACTCCAAACTATCCCTGGCGGTCTTATCCAACGCCGCTACGAAAGACCACGGCTCACCCAACCACCACCACCAACCTCCATCCCGCCCAACCTCAAACAACCACTAACCGACCTCCTCCTCCTTCTCCCCTCCTTCCTCTCTCTAGACTTCTCCTCTCCCGAACCCCCTCTAGACGCAGAGTCCCTCTCCCTTCTTTTAACCTCCCCACCCCTCTCCCTCCTCCCCTCCCTCCTACCGTATTTAGGTCCCCTTTTGTCAACCACCCTTCACTCCCACGCTATACACCTCACCCACCTCATCCCCTTTTCCCATCCCTCAATAACAACAACCACCACCACCACCACCTCCAACCCATTTTCTTCTACTACCACCCGCCTAATCCCCCACCTCCCCACCAAAATCTCCTCCCTCACTACCCTCACCACCCAAACTCAAACCCTCCCCCAGTTACAATCTTCCCTCCTCAACTCCCGTCTCCAAACCGCCGAAGCAGTCACCTCCCTCCTATCCAAATACACCGCTTGCTTGTCCCACCTCATCAAAACGCTCGAAGCAAAACACGGTCCCATCGCCCGCTCTCTGGAATTTAAGGCATTCGAAACGGCGTTGTTGGCGCAAAAGGCTGAGAAGGAGTGTGAATTGGCGGTTTTGGGGGTTAGGAAGGAGGTTTATACGCCGGAGGTGAGGAGGGCTTTGGGGGAGTGTCGGGGGTGGTTAGGGGGTGAACCAAAGAGGGTGGAGGAGGAGGTGAGGAGGGGAGTGGGGTTGTTGAGGGGGTATGGGATGGGTTTGGAAGGGGAGGGTGAGGGGGACCCGGAAAAGGAGAAAGTGATGAGGGAGATTGCGAGGGTTTATGGCGAGATGGAGAGGGAGGTGGAGGTTGTTAGGAGGGATTTGGAACGACTGGGAGGGGTGTGAGGGTGAAGGTCAGGGTGATGGTTGGGGTGGATGCTACATACGAGTTACAATGGGGGTTATGAGTTATGAGGCATGATAGGGCGTTTGGGCATTGTTAATTATGATACCAGGGTTTGCGAACTACAAGGGGACAGACAGAGGAGTATGGTTTAATGGAACTAGGTGAGTCTACGCCATTGCCAATTACCTTTTATGGAATGCAATGTAGACTGACATGACAAATCACAGAGGATTTCATGGAAACAATCAAGCACCTGTAACAGGGAATCTATTGATAATCCATTCAACCGGTCTCACCCGGTGAACAGGATGTGGTTTAAATGGTGTGACGAATCGAAGCTATATAGCATCAGATGCTCAAACTTTTTAGTGCTTTTTCCAAAACACAACCCAAGACCGCACTTTAAAAGCGCAAGTCCCAGCCAATCTTGGGTCCGATAATAGGAAGCTCATCAGCAACGCTCTGAACATCCTTGTCACCACGACCAGACAAGCAGATGACAACATCCTCATCCGGCTTCATGGTCTTGGCCAATTCCAGAGCGCCCCAGATACCGTGAGAAGACTCCAACGCGGGGATGATACCCTCCAGCTGGCTCATCAGACGGAAACCCTCAAAGGCCTGGGCGTCCGTGGCAGCCACGAACTTGGCGCGCTCGGTATCCTTCCAGTTGGACAGCTCGGGGCCGACACCGGGGTAATCGAGACCGGCAGAGACGGAGTGGGTGTCCTGGATCTGGCCGTACTGGTTCTGCAAGATGTAGGTACGGACACCGTGCAAGACACCCTTGCTACCGCCGGTAAGGGTGGCACTGTGGCGGTCAGTGTCGACACCGTCACCACCGGCCTCAACACCGAGGAGCTTGACGCTGGGGTCGTTGGAGAAGGGGTAGAACATGCCGACGGCATTGCTACCGCCACCAACACAGGCGACGACGGCATCGGGGAGCTTGCCGCGCTTCTCCAGCATCTGCTGCTTGGTCTCGTTACCGATGACGGACTGGAAGGTGCGCACAATGGTGGGGAAGGGGTGAGGACCAATGGCGGAGCCGATGATGTAGTGGGTATCGGCAAGGTGGACGACCCAGTGGCGGAGAGCCTCGTTGACGGCATCGCGGAGGGTGCGGGTACCGGCCTCGACGGCGACGACCTTGGCTCCGAGAAGCTTCATGCGGAAGACGTTGAGAGCCTGGCGACGGACATCCTCGGCACCCATGAAAACGGTGCACTCCATGCCGAACTTGGCGCACACGGTGGCAGTGGCGACACCGTGCTGACCGGCGCCGGTCTCGGCGATAATCTTCTTCTTGCCGAGTCTGCGGGCAAGCAGCAGCTGGCCAAGAGCGTTGTTGATCTTGTGGGAACCAGTGTGGTTGAGATCTTCACGCTTCAACCAGATGTTGGCACCGCCAGCATACTCGGTGAGACGCTCGGCCTTGTGAAGCTGACCAGGACGACCCATCCAGGGGTAGTAAGAGCGGTACTCTTCCCAGAAAGCGGGATCGTCCTTGATCTTGTTGAAACCGTCCTCAAGCTCGGTAAGGCAGTCCATGAGCGCCTCAGGGACGTACTGACCACCGAACTCACCGAAACGCTTGGGAATGGTGCCGTGGAGAGCGGCGAGCTGAGAGTCAATGTCGGCCTCGGTGATGACGCTGTCGACGGTGGCGGTGCCCGAGGGTTCCTTGGCGGCTTCGAGAGCCTCACCCATGTTGAGCTCATGAGCGGACTCGTCAAAGGTGCGGCCGCAGAGGTAAGAGCAGTACTCCTGGACAGCCTGGGGCTCCTCACCCTTGGCGGCCTTCTGGAGAGTGGTGATGATCTGGCTACCAACGACGACACCGTCGGCAATGGCGCCAACAGAGGTGAAATGCTCATGGGTGCTGACACCGAAACCGACGGCAGCAGGCTTGTTGCCGCTGTACTTCTTGACGCGGGCGAGGAGCTCGGGAAGGTTGGCGTTGAGAGTGCCGGAAGCGCCGGTGACGCCCTGGCGGGAGACGACGTAGATGAAGGAGTCGGCGAGCTGGCAGAGAACGCGCATACGAGCGTCCGAGGTGGCGGGCGCAATCAGAGGGACGTAGGAGAGTCCACCACGGCTGCAGAGCTGGCGGAAAGAGACGGCCTCCTCAGGGGGCAAGTCAACAATGATGAAGCCGTTGACACCGGCCTCCTTGCAGTCGTTGAGGAGGCGCTCCTCGCCGTAGCTGAGCATAGGGTTGTAGTAGCCCATGAGCAGGACGGGGGCCTTGAGGCCGCGCTGGCGAGCGTCGCGGACCATCTGCAGGGTCGAGTGGACGGTGACGCCATGCTGGAGAGCGATCTATAGGGGACAGGGAGTGTCAGAGAGGTATTGCGCGCCATGATGATGCGGCGCTTCTTCTTACAGTGTTGGCAGTCTGGATGGTCGGGCCATCGGCAATGGGGTCGGTAAAGGGGACACCGAGCTCGATCACGTCGGCGCCGCCCTTCTCCATGGCCAGGAGAATATCGGGGGTCTGCTCGGGCGTGGGGAAACCGGCCGTGACATAGGTGACGAGCGCGGGCTGTTGAGGAGGGATGTTAGCATGATGTCGAACAAAGACCGGAGTGCAGATGGAAGAACATACCCTGTTCTGGGCCTTGCAGCGCTGGAAAGTCTGCTTGATACCCTCCATGGTGTAGCGGTGGTGGATGACTGCAGCTGGATGGATAATGACTTGTGCACAATGCTAAGCGGGAGAAGTGGTTGAAGCAGTCCGTGAAGAAAAAGGCGATGCAGGAACCAAGTGTTGTTGGTTAACAAGGAACAAAGAATAAAAGGCAAGATAAAAGTGGATGACTCCGGTGGATGACAGTGTACAATTGCCCGAAGACGACCTGTTCGCCCCGCAAATCCCGATGTCGCCTTTGACTCACCCGATTTTTCTGACTCTCTCTCGATCCGGCCGCCGTGTTTCAATTGACCACTGGCGGCACGTCTGCCCCGCCATCCCGCCCAGGGGCACTGTGCCGTCTTCCCTTGCCACCGATCCCGGACCCTGGCAGGGTCCGCTGCTAGTGTCTTGGCATTTTCCTCGCCCCCAATTTGCCTGCTTGCCTGCCACGGAGCTCCAGCTTTTGCATTTGATGTGAGCTCTTGTTTTTGGTGTTGATGAGCATCGCCAGAATCACAATGAAGATTCAGCTGTTTAGAAAAAAGTGGCACTGAGTTGTTGATCAAGTTGTCACTGGATGTGGTCATCAATTGCCACACCCTGACAGTGTCAAGGTACATCATGTTCATTTGCCAAATGCTTGTAGCATCCAGATTGGAAGCTCTACGAGTCTGGGAGAGGGAGGGTTAGGGTTAGATGTATAGCCACTACCGGCAGGCAAATGGACAACAAATGGCAGGCAGGCATCCCTTTCCTTCCGTAGCACAACAGCACCGACTCCAGCACACGTCGTCATCATCACCGTCGTCAACCTCCAAACAACCTCCTCCAATTCTCCAACTGCATCGATCCCCTCCATTGCCCCCCGCGAGAAGCATGCGATAGTTACGATGAACAGGTCGCCTTCCTCCTCCGGGTTGCTCCCCTTGCCTGGTGCCCCTTCGTCATCGTGGGCCCTCTACCGTGCCCGTCTCTCGAGTCTTCTCCAGAGTGTAGACACTGCTGTCTTTGTCGCATTCTGGTTGTTTGGTGCGTCCTTGTTTTCCTTCATCTGCCCTGGTCCTCGCGATATGTGCTAACACCCCCTATCAGGCCTCATCAACAATGTCCTCTACGTCATCATCCTCTCTGCCGCCCAAGACCTTGTCGGAAACGGCATCCCCAAGGGCGTCGTCCTCCTCGCCGATGTCATGCCTAGCTTCCTGACCAAGCTTGTTGCTCCCTACTTCATCCATCGCATACCTTATGCCACCCGCATCTTCATTTTCGTCGCCCTCTCCTCCGCCGGCATGCTGCTTATCGCCTTCACACCGCCGTCCCAATCGGTGGCCGTCAAGTTGATCGGTGTCGGCTTGTCCAGCATCAGCAGTGGTGGCGGCGAGCTGAGCTTCTTGGGTCTCACACACTACTATGGTCACATGAGTCTGGCCGCTTGGGGTAGTGGTACCGGCGGTGCAGGCCTCATCGGCTCCCTTTTGTATGTGATGCTGACAGACTGGATCGGCCTCAGCGTCAAGACAAGCTTGCTCGCCTCTGCATTTCTGCCCATCATCATGCTTGTCAGCTTCTTCTTGATCCTCCCCCATGGGCCACTGCGCGCGAGTGCCCGTAAGACCTACGAACCTATTGCCAATCGTGACTCTTTCCAGGAAGAAAGAGAAGGGGTGGAGGACAACTTTGGCGATATTCCTACGAGCACGGCATCATCAAGCCTTCTAGCCCCCGGACCTGCAGTCGCTGCCACGGTATATTCATCGCACCCCACGGAAGATGCCCGGAAGGACTCACTTGCTGCCAAAATTCGACGATCCAAGTTGCTCTTCTTCCCGTACATGCTCCCACTTTTGCTGGTCTACATTGCCGAATACACCATCAACCAAGGCGTCTCCCCGACTTTGCTCTTCCCGCTCGATTCATCGCCTTTTACCGAGTTCAGGTCCTTTTACCCGTTTTACGGCTTCCTTTACCAAGTCGGTGTTTTCATCTCGCGTTCCTCGATTGCTTTCATTCGCATCCACCACTTATATCTGCCGTCTCTGCTTCAAGTCGCCAACCTCGTTCTGCTCACTTTGCACGCTCTGTTCAATTTCATCCCTTCTGTTTACATCGTTTTTGTCATTATATTCTGCGAGGGTCTGCTCGGCGGTGGTGTCTACGTCAACACCTTTGCCGAGATTATGGAGAATGTCCCGGCGGAAGATCGCGAGTTCAGCTTGAGTGCTACCTCGGTGAGCGATAGTGGCGGTATCTGTGTGGCTGGCTTCCTGAGCATGGCCATGGAGGTATGGCTATGCAATTGGCAGGTTGATCACGGGAGGGATTGGTGCAGGCGCATCAAGGCTGGCTAATTAAAGCCTAAGGCATGAAGGGGTGGGTCTCTCTCTGGGACCGCCAGCTTCATGCTGACATGGTCTGATCGAGACAAAGCCCAACATGAACCTGAACCTCTTCACCTTGGACATCGTTCAATCTCTCATCATGGACCTCACTTCCGATAAAAACGCAACCTCGCAAATCGCGTCTACTCGACCACTCCACCAACTTTGTGGCGCGTGCCTATCTAGCTTCCCTCGTCATGGCGAATGGTCTTTTGAAAGCTTCTGCCGGCAGCATCCCTGGTGTCCATATCTCATGCGACAATGCACTTTCAAAGACCTTCAAAACTCTGCGAACACGGGCTGTCACCTTTGTACCATGATGTTGCATGTCATCCTTCGTCGGCAACCTAATGGCACGGGGTTCAAGTTCGGGCTGTTTCTGTGGGATTGGAAGGTACGGCATGCTTACACTATTGGTACATTCCTGAACGGAGAAGAACTAGACACGAAGCTCGAAATTCGCCCACTATCCACCTTCCAAACTGATCGACCCTCTGTCAAGATTGAACGACTACCTTCGCTTGACTCGAACTTGGGCGTAACTCCTCTTGAAATGGCTAGGAACTGGTTGCAAGTCTGTCAGCATAACCACACGCAATGCAGGCCTCCCAAGTCGACCAGTACTCCTTGGGCACAACAATCGAAGTACATACGGCTCATTAGCATCCAATCTCAGGACAATGGTACTCAGACATACCGGCTGGTTGAACACCCTCTGGACGGAAATGTTGATTATATGACCCTGAGCTACCGCTGGACAGACGAAGTCAAAAAGAACAAACTTTTGGGAGAGAACAAGGAGAGGTTCTACGAGTCTATACCGACAGACGACTGGCCTCAGATCTACCGTGATGCTGTAATGATGACAGGCTATTTCCACGTCCAATACTTGTGGATAGATGCACTATGCATCGTACAGGACGATCCATGCGATTGGGAAGAGCAGGCCGCTTTGATGAATATCATATATGAAAGAGGGATTCTCAACCTTGCTGCTGTTATGGGCGAAGAATAGCCGGGCCTTCACGTTTCCCGTGACCCACTGAGCATGTTTGACTGCTTGCTAACCCGCGAATCTGGGGAACCATGGGTCTGCGCAAATGTCGAGGATGAACTGGACGTCCTTGCTCGCTTCCCTCTCTACCAACGAGGATGGACATTTCAAGAACGCCTCCTCTCCAACCGGACTCTGCACTTTGGCCGCCAGCTTGTATGGGAGTGTGACGCTGGTCTTGCTACAGAGGTGTGTCCAGAACTCATAACCACCAAACACGATGCTACCCGCACAATCAAACGAACATTCGCGGGGAGCCAATACAAGTTCCCGCCGCCGAGGATGTTAGTTGGGGCCTTTTCAGCTCTTTGGAAGATGGTTGTCGTGAGTTTCAGCAAAATGCAACTGACCTACTCGAGTGACAAAGTGCCGGCGCTGCAAGGGATTACAAACAGGCTCGGGTATCGTCTCAGCCTGGATCCGGCAGACTACTACGTGGCCGGGCTATGGGTGGTTGAGTGCTCCCAGTTGTCCTGGCTACGTGAGAGCCATCAGAACTGGCTTACATCAGAGGACAACGAAGTGGCATGCAAGCCTTGCAAAAAGCCCCCGTCTTGGTCATGGACGGTGTGCGCAGAGGCTGTGAAGATACCTGGTGGAGCTTTTCAACCGATAGATTTGGTGGTGCTTGGAGCAGTCCCTGTTCGCAGCCGAGATGCCGGGCTTCGACATATGGTTACAGTCCATGAATGCATTTCGACGGTATTATTCAAGGACAACGCCGCAGCACGGGAGCCTGAACCATTCACAGGGCTCACTTTACGTGGCAAGTTCATCCATTGGTTCCAAATCCATACAATCCTCCAACTCGGACAACGAACGCCAGAGTTCACTATCAAAGGCTATGTTCCAACGGATGCTAGCAAGTCCGGTTCATTCAACATCAAAATTATCCTTGACCGTCCAATTCCTGAACACAGTTCACACAAAGGCTTGAAGCTGTTGCCAATCCATTGCAATCGCTCGCAAGGCAGCAGTCCCGACGAAATGTGTGGCATTCTTTTGGCATTCTTGGGCTTTGATGAGGGAATGGCGCTCTATCGTCGGCTAGGCCAGTTTCAGGTCGTGGATTTGGAAGGCTCTCCGTCGTGCTTTTTGCGGTACTTCCATTTACCCCGTGAGCGAGGAACAGCAGAAACTCATGAAATGCCGGTTGGTTTACAACAGGAGTTGGATGAACTACCACCTTTTAAGGTTATCTAGACTCGCTGGGAACTTCCTGACGGGCTTGTGGCCTGCCTCGGGACGATCTGGATGATAAGAACAAAGGGGAGATGACTCGCTGATAAATGCATTGTCAGCGACTTTTGACCTTGAGTCTCCCAGGCAATAATGCTCTGAATTCAGCCTGTTGACAACTCTTCACATCGTCGTGTTATCTTTTCATTAGCATGGATTTACACGTTATTTCGCCTTCACATCTGTCCAGATTTTGAGTCTCCCTGTCTCAAATTACCTGCACTTCATCCTCTTCCTCATTTGATAGCCGTCATAAATACATCAATTTTCACAGTTGTCTTTCCCTTGCCATACATGTACCTCCTTGTGTGTGTCGTCAAATTTGCAGATGTTTCGATACAATATTTCGCGCTCTCTCGTCATGATCCATCCATTCTCCCAAAACACCTGCATTAATGTGCATATCCGACATAGTACTGCGGGAGAGCCGCTTATTACCCGTCTGCCGGCAGTTCAATGCATGTGCAGATGACATCCGACAGGATGGAAGCTCTCCACGCTATGATTTTGCGATGATGATCTAAAGAATAATCATAGCCGAAACATCCGGGACGGCGAGGAATCTGTGATCACCATGATAATCCTCGAGCACCCCCCATCAGTAAGTTCTTGTCCCTTGACCTTCACCATGAACTTGAACAGCTAGCAAACATGCGATACCCAACGACGCAATCATCAACCTCTCTCTCCCTTCTCATGCTACTCCAACAACAGAATGCCGCAGCAGCAGCGCTCTCAATTTCTTCTCCACATCTCCAGCTGCTGTCCGGATCACCACCATCCTCTCTCAGCCTACTACCCGAAACCCAGACACCACCAAACCAAAACCTCCTAACCTACCTCTCCACCACCACTACATATACTGACACCTCAATACCAATCTCCTCCTCCTCCCTCTGCACCAGCTTCATCTCCCGCGACAAATCCGCCCTCCTCCTACCGAACGCGCGCATCCCGCTGTCTCCGGCAGGATTCATCGATTGCTTCCTCGAGCCTCAAGGGTCGCAAGCAGAAGACAACCAGCACCAAAAGCAACAACTAGTCTTCAAAGGGATTCCTGCGGGATGGCAGTTTAGTATTACAAAGATTACGCTCGCTGGGTGGTTGGATTTGGAAAGAGGGGCTTTTGTCGAGAGGGTTTCGCTTTCTGTTGGCTATCCCGAGGGTGAGAAGGGGTGGAAATGGAAATGGGGTCTTAAAAAACCGAGAAGAGCAGCCCCCCAAAAAAGTCATTATGCTCTAATCGACACAGCAACATCCCTCACCCCCTACGGCCGTTTCGGCACCGGATACCAGGGGACTTTCAACCTCTCTATGCCCGTCAAACCCCCCCAACCCAAAGCCAGTGTCCGCAGTTCAAGCAGCACAGACAAAGGAAGGAGAGACCAACTAGCCCTCTCGCCGTGCTCAACGGGTCCCGAGATGGAGATCGCTCTGGGCGCTGAGCTGTGGTTTTCACTTTCTCATGAACAGATTGATTTTGATGATACGATTGTTCATTGGGGGAGGCTGGGTGGGGAGGGTAAGGGTGAGGAAGAAGGGGATGAGAAGACGTTGAGGGTTGGGGTAACTGGGAGGTGGACGAGGTGTTGAGGGTAATGTGGTTGGTTGGTGCAATGGGTGTGATTGAGATGCGGGGGTCGGGTGGTTGGAAAGAAGGTGTGTGTGGAAAGGAGGTGAGGGAGGGAAGTGAGAGAAGCAGTCAAGATAGATAGATACAAATGGAAATTTCGGGGCAAGTGGGTGGAGCTGAGGATAATCATGGGTTTCATGAAGCTGCTGGTATCAACGTAAATGAGCACCAAACCAAAGAAGCAGCGAGGTGCTGCTGGGTATCAATTTTCGTAATAGTGAGGGCGATGAAGCCAGGCGTCAATTCCTCTCCTCTCTATCTCACCAATCTCCTCCCAACAACTACCCGTCTGCTGCAAGGTACCAGGCCTTCCACTTCGCCATGGCGACAGCAGCTTTATCCCTTGGAGCCTTTGACAGACCATAGTGACCGCCATCATCTTGTATCAATCCCTAAATTCCGTCAGCAAAAGCTTTGTTTCCACCACTGGTAAGGACTCACCTCCTGATCCCGCGGTGCTTCCATGGGAAGCACATACCCCTCACGGGACCATGCGCCATTCGTTCCATCCCATCCATAACCATCTATCGCCCCAGCCATGTACGGTTGATCATGCTGATAGTACGGTGTCTCGGTGAGATACTCATTCTCCTCTTGCTCCTCGAATCCCATCCCCTCATTCCACTGCAGTCCCATCCCAGCAAACCTAGCCTCCATCTCCTCCATCTCCTCCAACTCCTCCAACTCAGCCTCTTCCTCCAAAATCTCCAACTGCTCCCCCGCCGACGGCCTCCTCCCCGGATCAAAGCACGCCATCCTCCTAACAGCCTTATACCCCCCCTGCCCTTTTCCCGCGATCCTATTCAGCCACACATGCACCAAATGCGGTCCCAGCAGCTCACACCCCTTCCGAAACCGGTGATCGCGCACCCACACGACCGTGGCGAAGAGCGACCAGATGTCCACCTTGGACGTCTGTTTTTGTTTGTGTCGGTTGTAGACCTCGGGAGCCATGAAGGGTGTTGTACCAGCTACTTCGGCTCGGGAGAAGGCACGCTTGGAGTCGTTGGAGAGGGTGGAAGTGGAGAGACCGAAATCGGCTAGGGTGAAGTGGTAGGTTCCTGAGCCTGAGCCTGAGCCTGAGGAGGAGTCAAGTTCCCAGAGGATGTTTTCGGGGTTGAGGTCTCGGTGGATGATTTTGTGTTGTTCGAGGTGGTGGAGGGCGAGGAGCATTTGGTGGAGGACGATATTGGAGACTTCGAAATGGGAAGAGGGAGGGAGGATCTTTTGGACAAGGGTTTTGAGGTTGCCGAGTTTGAGGGGGAGGAAGATTTCGGCCCAGTCGGAGGAGGTGGTGTAGTCGAGGATTTGGATGATGTGGTCCTGTAGGTATGTGTTAATGGGGGTTGGGGGATGTAGAGAGGGACGGAGGGACTTACACATCGTGTTGATTCATCGCTGTTGATTTTGATCAGGTTGGCGATTTCCCTCGAGGCAAAGTCGAGGCGTTTGCTGGATAGACGATGGAACTTTTTGACTGCCATGACACTCCCAGTTGTCACATCCATAGCGCGGTAGACGTTTCCGAATGTGCCGCCGCCTACTTTCCCCCCTAGCACATAGCTCTTTGTCTTGACACGGCTCGGACCCAAAGCGTAGAGCACTGGTGGTTCCATGCGAAACTGATCGAGGCCATCATTCTCCCACCGCAGCTCAAACTGATAGAACCGGCCATGACCAAAAGCTACCAGTGAGTTGATCCCTTGGGCCACCAAGACTGATCGTTCGCCTTCCCGTCGAAAGTTCACGGTGTATGAACGACTGCCATGGGAGAAGGGCTCCGTAGAAAGATATTCGGACTCGTCACAAAGGAGGATGGGACCTGTCTCTGTGACAGCTCTAAAGGAGGCGTGCCGTTCTGATATCCCTGATGAACCTGTCGAGTTCCAGACTTGTGGGAGATAGATGTCGACAGAGTCACTGCAGCCAACAGTGTAGTCTTGCTTCTCGGGGTCGGAGAAGTCGATCCAGATGCCCCTGGTATCCTCGTCGTAGGGGTATCGCTCGAGGTTCCGTGGATGGCAGCTCACCAGGGCAGCGGCGGCTTTGTTGAAGGGTAGTAACCAAAATCCAAGCCTATGGGGCCGTCGGAGTTCCTTATAGTCGTCGTCCATGTTTGATGCTGGTTATTCGAAAGATCTTGAGAGACTATTGAGCAGTGCGGCCAAAAAGCAACTCATCACCGTCTCGCCAACCCCCCCTCTCGCAACCATGGGATACCTATATATCAAGCACATGCTCTCCAACAAAAAAAGGGTGTGGATATCGAAGGACCATCGTGACTCCCACGGCAATCATGCAAGACATGCTGGCGGTGCGGGGGACAGCAGAGGGTCAAATACCGCGAGGACCCCGTACTCCATCAGCAAACAATCATGCTGGCTGCCACGAGATGCGGTAGGTTAAGCGGGCCAAGGCAGCCATCAACGGGAAACCGCGTGATGAGTCTTTGTTTCAAGCTTTCATGTTGACTAAAATGACAAAAGGCCAATCAACGGGTGTCTTGGGCCTCAAGTTGGGCGCACGCCGTTGAACTTGGCTTTTTCGGAGTTTAGGCATGTGAGGCATGACACCAATCGGCGTTGGGGGTGGGTGTGGACGACATTGGATGCTGGGTTGTGGGTAGTTTCTAATTGCCGGTTGAAGCGCGGTACTTGTCGTTGTGTGTTTAGCATCGAGCTGGATTGACGGATTCAGTGTCATGGGGAAGAAGCTTGTCAACCTCTGAAATTCCCCCCTCCTCTGAGCACCTTGAAGACCTCAAGTGATACTGTAGCAGTCTCACACTGTAAACCCACTGTGCCCATCCACCCAACCCCGGGATCTCCCGCCGGCAACCAGATGGAAACCCCACCTATCTCCACAATGTCGGCCCCATTCCGTCGCAAATGGAACTTTCACGTCATTCAGCTCATCGGGCCTCGGAACAGCGCGACCGAAATTCAAATCGCGATTTTGCCTCTTTCGCCTTCAGTTTCTTCAGTTCCTTCCTTTGCAACCAACTGTCAGTCTCATCACCAACTTTGCGCACGGCAACCTCACAGCCATAAGGCGCACTCATAACCGAGAACCTCTCAACAAATTCTAATCCAACCCTCTACAACCATCGCCGGTACCACCGCGCATCCGCATTCGCATCCGTATCCTCAACCTCACAACACCAAAACCGCAACACCACCAAACCAAAACATCAACCCCAACGACCAATCCAAAATGTCCCGCCGCCTCCTCTCGCTCTCCAAGCCCCTCTCGGGCCTCCCCAAGTCCTCCCTCCGCTTCTCCTCCTCCTTCCTCCAACGCGGCCCCGCCCCTCCCCGCCTGCCCGCCGACCAACAAGCCGAATTCGAGCGTCTCCAAGCCGCCGCCGAAGCCGCTCTGTACACTCACACCACCATTCCCACCATCCCAACCAACCCGGCCACTGCTTCCTCGCCGGAAAACAACTCGAAGCACGTCACCCAACCCACTGGGGACAACAACACGGTGAAAGTAGCAGGAGTAGAAGCGCCGGTAATCATCGAAGACGCAGCCCAAACCTTCAGCGGCGGCATCCGCAAGGGCGCGCCGCCCGAGTTCGAAGGCGACAAGAACCCCAAGACGGGCGAGATTGGCGGGCCCAAGAATGAGCCGTTGCGGTGGGGGGCGGGTGGGGATTGGAGTTATAATGGGCGGGTTACGGATTTCTAAGTCATGGATGGGTACGGTACGCGTTTTGGTGACAGAGGAAACAAGCAGAAGAAAAATGGGCTGGTGGGCTGATTGGTGGGTAGAGGCGTGGATGGTGGAGTGATGGATGGATGGATGGATATATGGAGTGGAATGAATGAATGGGAAGGAAGCTGTAATCGGTTGCGTTGGTTGGTTAGTGGCTGATTGGAGTGGAAGCAGTGGAGGGTGATTGCGCAGAACCAGAACCTTGGACCGTCAGGACTACTGTTAAGACTGTCAAGACTGTCAGGACTACTGTTAAGACTGTCAAGACTGTCAGGACTGTCAAGACCGTCGATGCGGGCACGCTTGTTATCTGCTAGCTGCTAGTAGTTGATGGGAAAAATGAGAATTGGCTAGTGTCAGGAAGGACGGGACGTGGGCTTGGGCTGTACGATAGGAGTGGTTCTTATCTGTTTGGGTCAATAAATAGAAACAGCAGTATCTTCCATATGTTCACAAAACACCGAGGGGAACATCTTTGATACCAAAAAGCACCTTAACGGGCCAGAGTTGATGTAAATTGTTGTCATTGATTTGATCCAAGCGCGCGCGGGCCATGTAGTTGACCATTTCCTCTAGGTCTAATAACCATATAGAAAATTTAACCTCAACTTCACCAAAGTCCATATTCTAGTTCTCGCATCAACGAGCCCGGATAGCAAGATACACACCAAAACACAGCAATAACCAAGCACCATCAAAATGACTTCCAAAACGTTCTCTTCATTTAACTCAACTAAACCAACAGCCTGGTATCAAACATGCCCGGCAACACAACAAAACAGGCAATTCAATGCAACGCTTCTCTCTCTTCCTTACACAAGCAGTGATACAACTTTTTACAACCTGCGATTCACTCCTCCCACATCTCAGTGTCCCAAAACTTGGTATCATTCCATCTTTGACTCTTTCCAAATGTCTGCTTAAGCCTCCTTCTCTTTGACCTCCTCATCCTTAGCCTCCTCAGTCGAAGGAGTGGGGTCAGCAGCGGGAGTGGCGGTGATGGTAGCAGTAGTAGTCGTACTGGTAATCGTAGTGATGATGGCCGCAGCAGCGGCGTCAGCTGCGTCGTGCTCAGCAGCAGCCTGATCAGCATCTGCAGCATCTGCAGCAGAAGCGGCAAGAGCGACAGGAGCGACAGGAGAGGCAGCCTTAGCCAACTCTTCCGTGACGACCGTAGGAGGTACCGTAGCTTCCCTAACCTTCGTGATGGTTTCCGTGACCACAGCCTTTACCGCCTCTGGTTCGGTGGCAGGTTTAGCAGCTTCCACGACTTCCTCTGCCGGCTTTGATGGCTCCTCCACCGCCTCCTCCGGTTCCTCAACGATGGTATCGTCATTGTCATCCGCCGGTTCCGTTTCCGTTTCCGGTGCAGGGGTCTTTTCGACTTCGGCGGGAGGTTTCGCTGGGGCATCAAGGTTGGATGCGGGTGGAGACTTGGGCTCAGGCTCGGTTTCCTTGACTGGCTCGGCCTCGGGTTCGGCCTCCTTTGCGACCGGTTGAGGAGTAGCGGCTTTCTCTTGCTCGCGTTCCTTCTCCGGCCCCGGCTCGCCGGCCTTTTCCACCTCCTCATCTTCTTCAACAGTCTTTTCTGTTGCCTCATCCTCAACAGGCTTATTTGTCATCTCGACATCCTCCTTTTCACCATCAGCCTTCTCCTTCTCCTTTTCTTGACTCTTCTCCCTTGTCTGCGCCGGCTGAGCCTCCGGCTCCAGTTCCATCGTCACATCCCCATCCTGGTCCTTCTCTTTCTGCTCCTCAGGTTGCTTCTCCGGTTCCTTCTCTCCCTCTTTCTCCTTCCCCTTGGGCCCCTCGACACTCTCACCCGGCTGATGGTTCTCCTTATCCTCATCAGCCGCAGCCTTCCTGCCAGTCCCGGCTGACGGCCACCACTTGCTACTCTGCTGGCCCTCATCAGACTCCTTCTCACGCTGCTCCTGCGGCGTCCCGCTCAATCTAATCTGTCCCAACTTATTGAAACTCGAAAATGGCGGGCTTTGTGCGATCTCCCGAAGAGCCTTGTTTATTCTATCGCGTCTGGCCTTGCCTCTCAGTCGGTTCACGGGCTGCGCGCCATTGACAAGCCAGCGAATGTCCATGATGGCGAAGCTGAGGCCGTCGTGCGACGAGCGTGAGTAAATGCCATCGCCTTCTTCGAGGACGCTGCCCCATTCGCGGCTCTTGATGCCGAAGCGCGTGGTGGAGGCGTACTTTTCGAGCTTGGGGAGGATGAGAAGGGTAACGTGAAGATCGCGGTTGGCTGGTACAGCCATGGGGCCGTTCTGAGGGGGTTCAGAGTAAACCTCCGAGCCAGCCTCGTCTTTGACCGCCTGAGGACCATTACGCATGCTCGTAAGAATGTCGGAGGCGTTACTAACGGCCTCGTCCAAGCCCAAAAAGGTTGTGTCCACCTCCTCCGGCCACTCGCCTCTGAACCAACCAGCATGGATGCAGGCGGCGATTACATCCGAGTCGTCGGTGTAGATGTCGGTACCCCAGAGAGCTCTCCTGGAAGTGATCTCCTCCCGGGCTTCAGGGGTGAGATGGGCCTTGCTAATCTTCACCGTCAAGGTGCAATTTTCCTTGCCCTGGATCAAATCCCATGGCAGAGGCCGGGGGGTCGACTTGAAAGGTTGGCGAGGTGGCCGTTTAGTGCGTGAATCCTGCCTCCGCGATGGCGCCAGCTGAGGGTCGTACACAACCTCACCCAAGTGTGACCGCGGAAGATTGGCCACACTTTTCAGCACCTCTTTTGATTTGACCTCATGCTTGGGCTTGGGGAGTTGGACCGGAGGGGGACTCGGGGGTTGTACCGGAGCCGCTTTGGCTGGACCATTGTTGGGATGCGGCACCGATCGAGGAACGACATGATGATGATGGTGAGTTGTCGGCAAGTCCTTGGCGAGCATCGCGTTGGGCGGAGGCACGGATGTCGCACCAGTCACGTTCTTGAACGGAGTATTCCCCATGAGCGCAGGCCCAGGGCCTTGCTGGAGATCATGCCGATGATGGTGGTGGTGATGGCTGGGTTTGTTAGTAGCTCCCTGGGACAAGAATGATATAACATCAACGTACTGATGATGGTGGTGGGTATGATGGGTCTTGGCTTTTTTGCCGCGACCCCCCACGGGAGTCAACCTCCCTGTGCTATCCTCATCTATTCTGGACTCGTCGTCCTTGAGCTTTCTACGTTTACCACGGCCGGGGCCCTTGACTCCAGGCTCGGCAAGTTCTTGGGGCTGTGGGACTCCGTCGGAATCCTCACGGCGCATCAAGCTGGCTCCAGTGAAGGGAAGCTGCTGCATTCCAGTGGGAATTGGGCTCATGGCGCCAACGCCAGTACCGATTCCGGAAAACATACGTCCGAATTCGCTCTTGATACCAGGTTCGCCTGTTGGGCCGGCCAGCTGGGGTTGGGCACCCTGCACAGCTTGGGGCAAGGGCGAAAGGCGACCCTTGCGGTTTATCTCCTGAATGCCCAACAAGTTCCGCTGATGTCCAGGAGGAGCCAGTTCTTCCAAATGACGACTCCTTGGGGAACCGTACAACGAGCCCGTACCCACACCACTATAGGCGACTGACGGAGGGGGCACAGGCTGGTCTTCTCTGCTACGAGGGGGAAGCTGCTGGTGTTGCATGTAATAGGGATGCTGATGTTGCTGCTGCTGCTGCTGTTGCCGCTGCTCCATATGCATCATATTCATCCTTTGTCGGTCTGGAGACTCAAACTGCATAGGACCCGGACCATGAGCTGCCATGGAGTGTTGCTGATGGGGCGGGAGCGACGACGGAGGATACCGATCAGGCGGCGGACCCGTAGCATACGACGGGTGGCCATTGTACGGGGGCGCAGTGGTCACCGGATGCTCGTGCGGATGCCTGGCCATGTGTCCGGGCTGGTCGTAAGGGCCTCGTGGCTGTTCAAAGCTCGGCCTGTGCCAATGACCTTGCTCTCGTGGATCAGGAGGTCGACCAAACTGAGGGGGAGCTCTCTGGTGCTCCATCTGGCGAGCATACTCGGCTTGTTGCATCGGGTGTGGCCGTCCAGCGTCACTCCCCGACATGGTCCTCTCGCGGCGCTCCCTCTCACGCATCTCCTGATATTCTCTTTCCTGGCGCTCCCTCTCTTGTCGTTCCCTTTCAGTCATGAACCGCTGTTCCTCGTAATTGGGCACTCGAATGGGGCGCTCGGGGTTGTATTCTTCGACCGCTCTCCTGTCCTCCCTGTGCCCATACATGTCGTTTGGCGGCGGTCTACCCATTTCCATGGGACGTGGCGGAGGAGCGTTCGGGAAGGATTTGGGCTGACTGTTGGGCCGCGGCGGCACCCCGGTCCCAGCCATACGTGCCTGCTCCCTTGCTTGTTCTGCAGCAGTTAGCGGCGGTCCCCTATTGCTATAGACCTGCGGTGTACCATAACGCTGCACCTCCGGGGTGTAGCCACCCGAAGGCGACGCAGCGATGCCCGTCCTAGGGTCCCTGGGATCTCCTCTAGGATCTCGTGGGTCTCTAGGATCGCGCGGATCTCGAGGATCACGCGGGTCTCGAGGGTCGCGGCCATCAAACAGTCTATGACGGTCGGGTGTTTGTGGTCGGCGGAAGCCAAAGTCGGGGCCTGGACCGCCCATCGTGTGCATTCGGGGGGATGCATGCATGGGTTGGTTATACGGCGGACCTGACACACCCGAGGGGGGCCCAGGCGGGTATGGACCGGCAGGAACACCGGGATCGCGAGCTGGGGGAGGGCCGCCGAGCATAGAGGAGATGGACATGCTGCTGCCGGAGCCGGTCCTTGGCAGAGTCTCTAGGGCAGGGAGCTGGCGGTCCCTAGGAAACGCATTCGGTGGCCCAATCGCGACCGGAGGTGCTCGAGGAGGTGGGATGCCATAGGATCCACCCATCTGGTGCGCATTCGGCGGCGGACCTTGTTGAGAAGGGTGTGGCGGCTGCGGTGGCTGCTGCTGCGGTTGATGAGGACCCGGATGCTGTTGCAAGTGTTGCTGGGGGTGTTGTTGCGGATGCGCTTGAGGCGGCGGTTGTTGAAGCTGCTGCTGGTGCGACGGCGGCGGGGGACCCTGAGGAGGCGGCCCCTGCTGCTGCGGTGATGTGGGCGGCGGCATCGCGCGATTAACGGGGCCGGGCCCTGATGTAATCGAAGAAGCGCTCGGGTGTCGCGAATGCGCCGGGGGCATCATCGGGCCGGATTCGTGTCGCAAATGCCGGGGCGGACCAGCGTAGTACTGGGTCGGATCGGAGTGTTTGCGCGCGTGCAGATCCGCATGAAAAGTCGAGTGCGACGGGTGGGCAGAGGGCGAATAGTGCTGCGACTGCGGCGGGGGTGGTTGCTGATGCGCTGGTTGCGGCGGGGACCGATGCGATGGTGGTTGATGCTGCTGGTGCTGCTGGTGCTGTTGATGATGATGGGGACGAGGATGTTGCGCGTGTGGTTGAAGTGGCGGCTGCGGTGGTGGCTGCGATGACGCGGGCGGGAAAGGTGGGCGACCAAAAGCGGTGGTGGTCGTGTTTTGGGCAGAAGCTGGAGCAGCGTTCCCGTTCCGTGAAAACGGGAGCTGTGGCGGCGGCTGCTGCTGCTGGTGTCTTGGATCCATCGTGTTGAAAAAGTGGAATGCCTGCTGGGAAAAGGGCGGAGAGGACGGACGGACGCTCGGCTACAGGTACCCGCGGATCTCCAGTTAAAAAAGTCGAGAAGTGGGAATAAAAAAAAAACAATGACGACTTTTTTTTCCAAGTCCCTGCGCCTAGACCACCTCACGATCCTTGACTAGGGCTGCACAGCGGCTGGACACCAAGGTGAAGAGAGCACAGAGCAACCTGGCAATCTGAAGAGCCTCAACACAACTTGACGGCAGGACGAAGACTTGGGATTCGAATCTTTTCACTTTGTCGAGACGCCTTAGCTGGACTGACTGGAAGGTGGACGATGGAGCTGAGAAAGTTGCTAACCTGGCTGGGACCTGGAGTCGCCCTGTGACGGCGCGCCCAGACGAGTGACGGGGATGCAACTTGAAGAAAACGCGGTGCGATGGGAGGATCAGTCAGGACCCCGTCTCTGTCAACTGACTTGGCGGCACTGAGTAGTAAGTAGCAACAACCAACAACTGTCACTTGAAAGAGACGGGAGATTGTCAAGATGTGGTGATGATGTGTGCCAAACAAGGGAAAAGAGCACAAGGGCAAAGAAGTGGAAGGACGGGAGTTTGTTGGTTTGTTGCAAGGAAGGTGTGCCAGGCCAGGTTCGAATGATGGAAGTGATGAATGGATGGACAGATCGATGTGCCCGCGGTCTCAGCTTGGCTTGGGGAAAAGCATAAATTTTGGTGTGTGGTGCCTGCGGTGCCTGCTCCAGTCTCTGTGGTCAGGTCGTGCGCACTTTGTCGTGCGTGTACCTGTGGTGCGCCCAGAAGTGCGTCGTGCCCCAGTCACCCACCCCGGCTTCACAAGCTCATCAACTGCACGACTGGAACGGTCACCCCTGGACGTTGCCCACGGCTGGTCCCCGCCGCCCAGGCTAAGTTATTCTGGGGAAAGGTTGGTCGGGGCAAGCTGCGTGACGCGTGACCGCCCGACGAACCTGCATTCGGTTTTTTTATGCCACTCGTCTTTTTTTTTTGTTGTGTTTTTCTCTCCAACGATGGTCCAACCCCAGCGTCTGTTCTTGCTTCTTGTTCGTCTTTCCCCTTTCTCTTCGGTTCGTTGGAGACAACAAAGGCACAGTTGGCTCAGTGTGCGCCAGTCCCCCAGCCGTCTTTATATACTGTAAAGACTTGGAACCCAGAGACTGGATCGGTGGTGACAAGGAGACAACAACAAACAGTACGTGGTCTGAGCTTTATCTGTACAATGGGATGAAAGCCACTTGTTATTGGGCAGTTACACATGCGGAGTCGAGAAGCAGATGACCGGAAAGGAAGGCGGACAGCGAATTCGCGAAATTCGAGAGGTCGAGAGCGAAAAAAGAAGACGAAAATTCTGAACAGAAAAAGGAAAGAAGCCGAAGTACTCCGTACCACGATAGCCAAGACAGGGATTTGGGGCGGACGCTAGCGCTTTCGGTGGGTGTGTTTGACAGCCGGGACAACGGGGATGACAGGGATCATTTCTGTCATTGGATGAATTCTTTTCACAGGTGATGATGTGGCTTGAGCGCCTTTCCCGGACTTCAGGGTCTTTTCAAGATGATGAAAGCTCTTATCAACCTTTCTTCACCGGTTGGGTAGTGTGTTTATAAGATCAGATCAAAAGTCGGATCAAAGACGACATTCGGATGAAATGGAAGTTGGAACCCCCAACCCCAACCCCAAGGCGACGTCGCAACCGAAAGGCGGCATTGACAAGAAAAAACAATGTCGATCCTGTCACGACAATCAGGGCAGGCACGGCACAAGAAGCGGCCAACCACACCAAACCAAACACGGTAGGGCGCAGGGCCCAGGGGACCCGCTCCATCATATCGTCCACTTTCTTCTCAGGGGAAGAGCGCCTCCTCCACCAGAACAATGAGGGGTAGAGACTCGAGAATGGTCGAGGAATGCGGGCAGGTGCGGGCAACAAAGCAGCGAGACCCGAAGGAGGAGTCGTTGGGCCGTCAAATGCAACCTTCCACTTTTCCCAATTCATTCTCCCCTTGCTACAATCAACCCTCGCTTTTTGCGCCAAACATGAAATCGACAAACACCGTCAATCCCCATCATCCCATGCTCCCGTGATGTCTTCTCGGCCCCTACCTTGTATCATCATATCATCTCGTTACCTCTCGGGACTTGGCTGAGGACCACAGCCCCGATGCCCCGATTGTCTCGAATGCTCCCGCGATGCGATGCGATGTGATGCGTCACGGCCATGCCGCTGCAGTGCTCTGAGGCACAGATATACCGCCATATGGCATTTGACTGCACACAGTCGGATGCTACGGAAGAGGATGACCATGCCACCATCCCACAGGCTCGGAACCTTATCGACCGATATCTTATCAGCTGCCTGCTACTAAACCTCAGACACGAAACACACGAATCACGTTGACCAGGTAAACGGTTTCGGGAATTCTCTGTCATCTGGAATGCATCCATTTGCTAACAAACACCTTTCTCGTCACAGCCAAGACGGACTTTCCCCCGTTTCCCTCCCTCCCGAAACCTGTGGGGACGGCACGTCAGGCACAGCAATCCCATCTCATCCCTAGCAGCTTCGTACCACATGGGGCATATGCCAGTTCAACACCGGCCTCGGTGACGAACCAACAATGAAGAGACGACCGGAAACTCAGCTGGTAGGTGCCCGATTCAACAAGATGGAAGCTATCGAGCCTTGGCGTGGAAGATATCGACAGGCTTCGGTGCCGAGACTGAGGACTGAGGACTCGAGACATTAACTGGCCGTTTGCTCAGCTTGTATACACCTTGGAATATCTCATCTTGTTCTCGGGGAGGAAAAGCACGCTAAGGCAGGGCAAGATTGACAACTTGAAGGTAAGACTAGGTGGTGTAGGAAACATGAGGTAGGTGCATAGGTTCATGTCTACCCTGCGCCGTGTTACACAACTCACTCACACCTTGGAAGAGTGTGTGAGGAGCATAGTTAAACTTCTTCCACTTGGAAGGAGAAAAGGCCATGTTGTCTTCCAAGTTTCTGAACTTCGAGTGCCTTGACCAAGTGGGAAAACAGATACTCGGGGCTGCAACAGGGACGACATGAAGCACCAGTGCATATGTCGAGAACGGTGTACGCACAAAGGCCCGCTGCAAGGCAATGCATCCCCATCCCGTTGCCCATGCATTCTACCAACTCGCATCTTGTGGGAAACCTGCATAAGCAGTCATAGATACAGCAGTCATCAAGGTCGGCATCCTTAGGATATCTGATGCATACACAGCCAGGCCGATATTACCATGAGCTTCCCGGTCATGTATGTCTTTCCTCTCTATATCACAACCGTAAACCGGCCAAACAATTTCTCCCTTAAAGCTGGATCTTCCCCGTTACGTTTTCCTCCTGGAGACAATCTCGCGAAGTCGCAACCACTGGAAGGCCGGAGTTAAGAACGTACCTACCTGTGCTCTCCAAGTCTAAGCCTCATGAGGCACTTGAGCACCGCATCACGTATGCACATCAATCTGGGATATCAGCTGCCTGAAGTATGCACCCGTTACTTGATAAATGTGTTAAACATGGCATCGACACAAGGCAACTGGCCAATGTCAAACTCGCATCATGATCTCCAATCTTCGTCCATCGCTATTCAGTACTATGTCGGGCCCAAGAATGCATCCCGTGCATATGTTAGTCCACTGCGGCAGCAGCAGCAACTTTCAGCACCTCAAACTGCAAGCGATGCTATGTAAAATGCCAAGTTCCTCGGTCTGTACCCAGCGTGCCAGCTTCTCTGCAGTTTGCACTCTGGACTTCACCTGTTTGCGTGGGTGCTACATTTGCCTCTCGGTAAAGTTGACAAATTCACGTCAACAGCTCCATGTAGGTAGACAGGGCCATCCCCATTCTCGCCCGGATATCAAACATCAATTCCATCCTGCTTAACTCACAACGGCCAATTTTCCAAGCATCTGGTACCCTGGCACCGTCCATTGCTCGACCAAAACTCCCCAAGTCCTGCCCGTCGGGTTGCGTCCGTACAGGAGGTCTACACCCTGACCAGATCCTGACCAGACCCAGCCACCCAAGACATCCTAGGAGGCCCATCAAGACAACCTAACCTGATCCATCGTACCCTCATAAGACCAATGGAGTCCTTGACAACTTCACTGAGACACGGCGATTCGAAAGCCCATGCTTCCTTTCCGTATGCAATTAAATCCCCGTTTGCGTTTTGGGTAGTGTCTCATGCTGTGATAAGCGAATGAGGTATGCTTATTTCATTTTGAGATTTCGAGATTTCTCGATTTCGAGGGCGGGACTTCCTGGGCTTGGGCTGATTATGTTGAGGAGGGTAGGGGCGGGGATCTTGATCAGTCCCAGCAAAGAAACCTAGACCGCGCGAAAATCCACTTCCACTAATAATGGGTATTGTCAAACTAGGTATGTAGATGGGGTTAATCCCCAGTACATACCTTGGGGCATGCATCCATGATACGTCGAAGGTCTCGAGGTTGAGGAAGTTGAGCGGGAGTCCAAGTCGGGTCGTGAAAGGAGGCTCCACTACCTAGCGGGAAATCCGACCAATCAACTAACATGGTTTTAGGTTGACTCCGTCGCTCGCCGACTTCCTCATAAGGACAAAGAGTTCACGGACAGCAGGAGACGGACCACTGGCTGAAGATCGATCTCTTGCAAGATGAGTTCACCACAATCCACATCACAAGAACGCAATATAGGAGTATTGAAGTAGGGATTCAAGGTCATTAGGTATTACCGTCCACTAACAATGAACAAAATATCCTAGGTACTACCACTGCATTAACCCCTAATGGCTCATCATCCTCATCCCATCATTCGATCATTCCTCATCATTACACCACCTCTTCAACACCAACCCCATACGCATTTAAGCATTCTTAACCCCCGGCGCCGCAAGAGCCAACAACTTGTCAAACTTGGGCGTTCCCAACCCGGTAACGGGATCCCATCCCTCCGTAGCATTCCACTTGGCACTTCCGCCCTCATCAGCCGCAAACTCCGGACGTCCCTGGCACCCAGTACCCGCACCATCAACGATATCAGTGAAAGCGCTCGGGGCAGCATAAAGCAACGGGTTAATGAATCCCAAGCTCGGCAAGCCGCGGCTCTTGCGGGCAGCGTTGAGCAAAGCAACAACACCAGCGAAGGCCGGGGCCGAGGCAGAAGTACCAGACACGCCGGCAAGACGACCGCCGATGTACACAGCGTACTTATACGCCTGCGCGCTCACGTCGGGGAAGCCACGGCCCTGGTTGTCGAAGAACTTGCTGTACGTGTTACCGATCTTGCTGAGGTACTTCTTGACGGCAAGGTCCTGGTACATGGGGCGCTTGTGGTACATGGAGAAGCCACCGGAAGAGAAATAGACGGCCTTCTCGGGGGCAGTCTGGTAGGTTCCTCCGACGGCGGTAACCCACGGGCAGGCGCCGGGGAAGGTGGGCTCGAAGTAAGTGCTGTTGGTGCCGTCGTTGCGGATGCAGGCGTTGCCGGGGCCGGAGTCGCCCGAGCTAAAGATGACCGACACGCCGCGCGCGCCGAGCTGGCCGATCATGGAGCACACCTTTTCGGCGTACTCGCGCGGGACGGATTGCTCTTCTTCGCCGTACGAGGTGGAGAGGGTTTGCGGGAGCTCGGAGTTCGAAAGGGACAAAAGGTATTGGAAGAAGTCGAGGTAGGGCTCGTTGGAAATTTCCGGACCGGGCTGGTTGGCGTCGGGCACCAGGGGACCGCGCCCGCCGGTGGAGTACTCGCGGATCGGGATGGGGTTGGAGACGGCGAGGATGTATTGGAGGTCGAGGTTGGCCTCGACTGTTGGGGAGGGGGTTAGTGTGCTGTTACAGAGTGGAAGGGACAGGGGGCGGAGAAAAGCTTACCTCCGATCTTATCGGGAGACTGATCGTGGAGACCACCCTTGACGAGCTGGACGGTGTAGTTGCGGTCAGCAGCCTCGGGGACGAACGCCTTGGCGAACGAGGTGAAATCCGCATAGTTGGAGTACTGCTCGAGGTACGAGGCGAAAGCAACAGTGTTCTTCTCAGAGGCGGAAGGCTTGTACTTGATGTTGTACAGGGAGCGGATCTGGTCAGGGTAGATGCAGCCGGTGCAAGTGGGGTGGCCCTCATCAGCGGCAACCTTGACGTTGGCAACACCCTGGGTCTCGGGCTCCTCGTAGATCTCGAAGATGGTGGAGGCCTTGGCGGCGAGCTTGCCGAAGCGGGTGGTGGGCTGGATCATGTCGACGTGGACATCCAGCTCATCGGGAACGCTGTACTGGAGAGTGCGGAGCTTGGGGCCGGTCTTGTCGCCATCCTGCTGGTACCAAGCGAAGGTGGTGTTGAGCAGGTTGTTGGCCTTGGCGACCGAGGTGGTGAAGGAGACCCAGTCGTTGTCGACCTTGCCCTTGATGCCGTTGCGGTTGAGCCACTCGGTGACGGCATCCGTGGTCTCGTCCGAGGGGGCGATCAGAGAGCGAACCTCGTCGCTGCTCAGGTGCATGCCATACTGAGGGTGGTTGGGGGTAGACACGCGAAGGATGGCCGCCTCAAGAGCATCGGACTGGTGGGCGGGGAGGGCGATCTTGAGCGAGACGCTCTCGTCGGCCGAGGCGGCGCGAACCTTCTTCCAGCCCGAGGGGACGGAAGGGAGGCTGCTCTTGACATGGGCAGAGGCGCCCGCGGCGAGGAGGAGGACGGACCAAAGCATGATGGTGATGGTCGACTGGTGCCTGGTCTGGTTGGACTGAGGTGCGACTGGAAGGAGGGGGGAAAAGGGAGAGAGGGGGAGGATGGGAATGTTATATACTCGGAGCTACATTTATTATATGACCCGTGGATGTGTGGCAATCTGTGTGTCCACGCAACTCCCACTCTCTTGCGGACGGCACGGGTATTTTTTGGAGTGGCAGCCACAACGGATGGACCACTCGTCGTACGCCGTACAGAAAAAGCGGTAGAGACAGTCTGAGGTTGGTGATAAGGGGAACGCGTTGAGCTCCTCCCTTATTGGGTTAACGTGCTCCCTGCACATATTGGACCATTGAACCTGGCAAGATGCAAACCCGGTTCGGAAGGAATTCGTAGCTCAACAGCGATAATCCGGCACTGTCGTGTTTCCGGGCGGTGGATGGAAGGGTACAAGCTGGCAAGGTAACGTCAGGAACCAAAGAGGAACAGAGTGACAGCCAGGAAAAGGCGTGTTTGCTCCACACTTGGTAGTCTCTGACGACGATCGGAATGGGCTCCCCCCAGTCCCATTAACTGGATGTGGTTAACTTGGGGCGGCCTATTGGCAAATAAGGGCAGGTCGATAGGCCGTCACTCCAGAGTCTCGGATTGTTGGATGCTGGTCGATGCTAGTCGATGCGGATCTGTTGATGGAAAGAGGAAGGTGACCACGGCCCGGGGCGGGAGAAGGTGTCATTGGCCAATTGCACCAAGGTAGGTACACGGAAGACTGTCACCGTATGCCCACGCGCCATACGAGATCTCTTATGCAGAGTGCAAAGTTACAGTTTATGCAACAGAACAATACTACCATTGGACTGGCGAAGGCTGGTGTATTTTCTGCGGTGTGCCAGAAGACGAAGGTGGTAGTCATATGGGATGTTGTTGGTCTGGCTGTTGCTGGTCATAATTTCATTTGGTTAACAAAGTTCGTGATGCGTCATCTCATCATCACAAGATGGGTGAAACGGTTGTACGCCGTTGGCATTCTGTAACTGAGTTCACGATGTTTGGCCTCCATCGCATCAACTCACTGCCACTGGTGTGCCTCGGCATCTGCTTGGCAAAGCTTAGCCAGACGGGAGCAAGCTTGCTGTCAAGTGTCTTGTCAAATGCAATTCCCCATCGCAGCTTACCATTTCAGCGGGGACTATTGTCTCGAAGACATGAATGTCGATCTGAGATGTGCATATGTAGCCATCGTCGCGCGCGTTTTGGGATTTCAAGTCTTGCTGGTGTTTGCTGTTGATGACTGACAGAGGAAGATCTTCATATGTCCTCGTCAATATTTTGTACGACATGCCTCCCATACGTGCCGGCGCGCGATGAATGACATGCCAACGCTGACCACGGTCCCCACTTTGGTGATGGTTGACCTTCCTCGTTGGGACATGGTTCTCCGCCATCTCTTTTCGATTCTCAAGATTGGCTTCTTTTGCAAAATCGAATCGTCATGGTCGATGGCGCAAGAGACTATCGTATGGAAAGGCGGAATTGCCCGATGAAGAAGGAAGGGAGAAGAACGGAGAGTCGGCATCCGTGTCTAGATGAAACCGCCATCACCCAAAGTCGTTCTTGTCCCAAGTTTATACATTGCTTCCTCGCCCCTTTGCCTCCTCCTCACTCCGAACTGAGTGACGACCATATTTTATTCGGTGACGGTAACGGTTGGCTGCTTGGCTGCTTGCCAACTTGCTTGGCGGTCAGGGTTTGAACGGTGGCTGCTGTGCCGCGAGAATCGCAAACTCAAACATCAAGAACGGTTTGTTTTGTCCAGCTGCTTATTTTCAACGGTTGACGAAACCGATGCGATTTTCGGTTCCAAGGTCCGGAGAGTTATTTTTGTGCTCCTCGACCGTCGACGAGATGGGATGGGATGGCATGTCCTCCGGGCCGTTCGGCGGTGTTTTTCATTCAGGGACCAGGCCCACAGCAGTGGACACCATGGCTTGCAAGTGGAAACGGTCCGGAACGCTACCGGATCTTTCGGCAGCGGCCTGGATCTCGCTTCCCTCCGGATCGCGGTCATTTCTCCGATCACACAGCGGGTCACAACGGGCCGTCACGACTCAAGCAAAGTTCACCGCCGTCTCCGGGCCATCCACGGACGGACTGATGTCCGCAGTGGAGTCGGACCCATTAGCCCGGATGCGCACGGCTGAGAATGGGACAAGGCAATCTTGCGACGAAAAAAAGGACCGAGGCACAGGGCCGGGAAATGCCTGTCAGCCCCATCAACACGCCGCAGGGATTTTCCTGGACTCATCTGGATGTTCTTGACAGGCACAGAACCAGCAGCAGAAATCAGACACTGTCGCGAATGACGCCGGCAGCCGAAAGGAAGCTCACGAGAGACCGGTTCATGTGAGGACGCGGGTTGGCCTGTACGACGTCAGGGAGATGAAGATAACCATCTTGCTCCTCTCGCTGACCCTCACTGACCCCCAGTGACGAGATTGGGGAGATTGAGGCCGGTTTTTAGGGGATACAGGTAGGCGGTGTCTGATTGGCAAGGTGCCTTGTGGTCTGTGTGCCACAGCAGTTCTACCGTGACTTGTGAGGAGGCGGGAGAGCGTGACCTTTAACCACGCCGTCATGCCGCCCGTTCATGGTTGATGGTTGAATGGCTGATGGTAGTGGTGGTGATACTTGGTCTTGGTTTCTTTGTCCCACGTTGGACAAGCCAACTTGGATGCAGCAGGAATAAGATGGGCATGTGCTCACTTGCAGATGGAACTGATAGGGCCATGATAAGTACAGAGTCAGGTTCTGGGTTGTCAGTGGTGGAAATCTGGTCACACTGCTCTGGTGTTCATCTCCCTCTGGGTTCTGATGGGATTCAAGATATCGGACTTGTAATCCGGGCCGTCTACTGCCTGCTGCCTGCTCTTGGCCTGGTTGACCGTTGCCCGCGACGGGTATTTCACCGGATGTTTACCTGGCTCACATCGCCAACCAAACTTGTCAAAACCAGGGAGGACGAAAGAGATGGGGGGAATAGAGACCGAAGTGGTCCGTGCACATACCCCCAAGACGAACCAATCGACCAACACCGCTCACAGTCTCCGGCGAGGAGTGGGTTTGAAAAGGGATGATATGTACTATCTTTCAAGCTTATCTCCAAGAAGCGTGAGACGAGATTAGACGACCGACCGTTAATCTGTTACCCGAACCCTTTTTACCGGCTGTTATGGTGTTGTTATTTTCGGTTTCTTGGACATTCTCGGCGACTTGGCTTCTCCTATTTACGCTTTCGTTGGTATGTAAAGTACCTACAGCATCGGATCCGAAGAACACCACGGCTTCATCGTCAGAGGGAATGCATCAGAGGCTTGAGACTGAGAGAAAACAAAAATAGGAAGATCCTTGTTGAGGCATCTTGATCTGGTACCCCAATTTCTGCGCAACCCGGGACCAGCACTCTATACTTTAAATTTGGCTCTCCACCCGCTGCATCCACTCGTCTCGTCGGGTCCTGGACCCTAGGTCAACTCCAAATTGTCTATCAATCTGGTACATTTTGTACGCATCTGGCAGTGTTGTAGAGTCGTGCCGGGGCGGGTTCCGGCAGTCGCTAGTACGATGGACACGACCGACACCATGTAATGGAATTAAACGTGGTTTCGGTGTTTTACCTCCTGTGTTGACTCAATCTCAGAATTCGATTGTTTTCCTTGCATCTTTTCACCCTTTACACTCACCTTTGGCCATTTCGGTCTGACCCGACTCTCTCTTTGTCCTTCTTTCTTTCTTCGTTCCATTGTTTGCGCTCTGCCGTGTCCGGGGTCTAGATCAACCTCTCCGGTCGAGGAACGTAACCATACCGGAGCGGTACCTCTATCTCCGACCACATTCGCTCACGTCCCGTCACTCGTTATCCCATCCTTTTTTTCTTCTTTCAGTCTTAACAAGTCCGAGATACCACACCACACCGCACAACGATCGATAACGCAGTACGTCCTCACTCTTGGTCGTACACTGTATACCGCCCAGCAGGTACCATCGTGAACGTGCCTAGAGCCCCTAAAGCAGCAAAGACCCCACATGATTACATCCCACTTTCCAGCAACTTGGTCTCCTTTACGCTGCTTTTCGCGATATCGACGCCGTCATTCGCTTCCAGCTTCCAAGGCCCCTACTCGTGCCTTATCAACCAACATTCTTAGCTGAAATCGCGGAGTCGTCGTGGGAATTTCCAGCCTCCAGCCCGACAGGGTGAATTGCCAACACCACAGCTTCTTAGTATAAACTAGACAGAACCCCCCTCCGTCTTTTGGTTCATCACCAGGCTGAGGTTCCCGTTGGATGCTGGTGTCCCTCACGACTTGAAGAGAAAAGAGGCATGCCACCAAGTCTGACCTACCACATGACTGCCGCCTGACCTATTGCGTTCCTTGTCCCGGGGGTCAACCAACATCGACTGCATCACAATAGGGTATAAGAAGCAAAACACATCGCCAACACCAATACCAACATGGCCGTCAACTACAGCAACCTGGGCCAAGGCAATGACGACATCCAAGACTCGTTGGGCTATCATGATGCGGATGGGTCGACGAGTAAACAGGCTACAACAACTTTAGAGACCACCGAGAACAATACTCCGACTACAACAACCACTCCCAGTGTCGAGGTCCAGCAGGTATTATCTCCAGCGCAGTCTCCCAGATCTCCAGCCTTGTCCAACTCCACCGCCACCGTCACCAGCACGGCGACGTCAGTAACCATGGCCACGACACCGTCCCCGTCCGCCTTTTTGTCACTGGCCGATCACACCTTTGCTCCGCTTGAGGACAAGACAGTTCCTGGCGATCATGACGGAAATCATGGAAATCATGGAAATCATGGAAATCATGGAAATCAACAACTGGGCCTGGAAAGGGATCCTCCAACCCGGCTGTTGAGCCCGGCCGGAATCGTTAGGCGCGCCAGCAGCACGAGCAGCATCGCTAGCAATACTCCGTTAACCGCTGGAGCTCAGGCCCTCCTCCCACCCCCGGGCGCACCTGCCATCCCGGCACTCGCAGAGTTGGCAGCACGCGGCGCAACCACGGTCAGCTACATGGTCCAATCTTACGAGGCGCTACGAGCGGCCAGGATTGCCGCCGGATACGATCTGGTGCAGGTGTCGTCCAAGGCGAGTGGAGGTCCAGACCGTCCAGGTGGGAGTCAGTTGGGCGCATCACCATCACCATCGCCGTCGCCATCGCCGTCGAGATCCCGATCCTCGTCCATTGTCTCAATCCCCAGTCAACAAGATAACACCGATAACAGGGAGGATAAAGTTGGCTACGAAAACAGCAACAACGGGGCTGCAGCTAACGACGACCAATACGACATTAACGATCCCAGTCCCGATAACTCAGCCGCCGTCACGACAGGGGATCATGACAACCAACACGACCTTTCTACCCCTTTAAACAACTTTTCGCTGCCTCCGCCACCGTCTGCGACTGCAACAACCACCGCTATCGCCAACACGACCGTTGTCCGACCAACGCCCGAGAGCCCCAAAACACAGCGATCGCGTAGCTCTACAGTAGCGCTCCAGCAGACTCCGCCGCCGAGAACATCCTCGACCGCCAGCATCCCCCTGAGCCACCCCACACCAGACACTAGTAAGCGATCACGATCAGGTGCCTACGTTGGTAATATCGCTGCTCTCGAGGCCACCGCCGAACGCTTTTCTTTGACCAGCTCAATTGAAGAGGCCATTCGAAACGAACACAACGAGCTCAAGCGCAGTGACAGTCGCCGATCCGCCATCCTACAAGCGAACAGTCCGACGAAAAAGTCGCCAACATCAGACACCGGATCGTCCCCCAATCGACCGCGAGTTTCGACAAGCAGGACCAATTCCATCCGGGCATTGAACTCTGCGGCGCGCTTGGGAGGCTACTCGCCTGGAGGTTATGTTATGACGCCCAACCATTCTCTGTCGGGCGGCGCTCGCTCCGGAAGCAAGTCGGGGTCTATTGGAGAGCAGGAGGAGACCGCAAACGCCCAGAACCCCGAGTTCATCGAAGCCGGTACTGGAGAAGAGTTCCCATTTGCCCGTCATGGACCAGGAAAGAGTTCGGTCAGGGAGGCCTCAAAGAGACTCTCTCTTGCACAGATCGCCGAGTTGGACCACCCAATAACGATTACCCAGGATGCTATCGACGAGGCAGACCGTGCTGCGGCTGCTGGGGCGGTCCTTGATGACGATGAAGCCATCGCAGCCCGTGCCCATCAACAAATCGAGCCGCAGTATGCAGATGAGATGGATGACGTGGACCTCAATGGACAACACGACCCAGCGCGACAGCCAATGCTTGACCTTGGATTCTTCGACCAGTCCACTCCCCGGTTACAACTTCACCAACCCGTCGACTACCCGCCCTACGAGGATCACCATGCTCATCAGCAATATGACGGCAGGCCACTGACCTCCGAGTCCCGCAACACCTTCCAACAAGCACACGATGCATTTGGTGATTTTGATGGCGTCCACTGCGATCCAGATGTAGATAACTTTGCAGGGCTCTCGCAGCCGGCACAGCCGGCTCCTCAGCCAAGGAGGCGTCGCGAGACATTGCAACCACGACCAAAGTCCTACTTTGACCCTTCCACCGGCCAGGAGATGCTCTACTACCCTGCGCCAGTTCCCGCCATGCTCAACCTTCCGCCCAAACTAGCCAAGAACACCAAGGCTGGTACCCGGAACGTGCGTCGGTCTCAGGTCCTCAGCGTCATGCAGCAGTCATCAGTTTACGGTGGAAGCCGAGACAACCTGCCAATGATGGCAGGCGGTGCGGGTGATGCACCACCACCCCAACTTCCCCAAATTGATGGCTTGCCGTATGCGGACGGACCGGCTGAGACAGGCGCATTCCCGGCGCAGCCAGGGCGGGAAATTCGACGACCACAACGGTTGACCGAGACCGACAAGCGCAAGTCGCGCGCCACAATGCTCAACGGTCTGCCACCGCAGCTTCGAGCCAGTGCCTTTTTCGACTTGCCGTCGTCTACTACTACGCCTCACATAGAGCTGAAAAATGGGTCTGCCACGGCGACCTTGGAAACCATTCTGGATGCCTCGGCTACAGCACCCGTTAGCGCGTTTGGGGCGTTTACGGACCACGCCTTTGCTGGAAAGTTGGGCACCGAGGTGTATGGCACAGAGAGGAAGAAGATTAACAAGTCGGCCACCTCTGTTGAGGTCCCCACAGCTCCCGCCAAGACCCGCAAAAAGCTGGTTAAGAGGAACTCGAGCGCTGGTCTGCTTGACGTCAAGGCCAACAAGGATAGTGATGAAGATGAGGGATGGACGAGTGTTGGCCTTGATGCCGACGAGCCTGGGCCAAGCAGTCGGCGATCGCCCGAGATGGGCCAGCACACACCGATGGGCCAGCGCACACCGAACCCCCAGGAGGAGGAAGAGGAGGAGGAACTTATCGATGGAGAGCCTGTATTCAACGGCCCACCAACGACACTCTTGGCCGAGTTACAGATGCGCAAGCAAAGGAACCAGATGATGAGGCGTCCCGCACCAGCTACCGGTTTGCACGCCACTTTGCTCGAGCTCAATGCCGTGGCTGAGATGGAACGCAAGCAACGTATTAACAAGCGCGTTAACCTTGCTTGGGAAGATTCCGCCCAGAACCCGACACCCGAGTCTGAAGATGAAGACGTCCCTCTTGGCATGCTGTACGCGGCCAAGGCCGTGGGCGTCAAGGATCCTCACACTGCCGACATTGCCGTCCTCATGAGCGAGGTTAACCGCCCTCTCGGCTTGATGGAGCGTCGCGAACTGGAAGAGAACGAGCCGCTTAGCCAGCGCCGAAATAGGCTCAAGGGCAGCGAAAGCCAACCGTCCATGTCTCTGAACCAGATGCAGAAGCGCATGTCGCACATGACGCTGACTCCCCTCGGAGGTCCCAACGCCCTCGGCAACCGCTCACAATCCAAACTGACCCTGCCTTTGCAGCGCGTGGGCGGTTCCGGACCTGCATCCGTGGCAGGAGGTCTCGAAGCAGAAGGCAGCGACGGCGAAGGCGAAACCCTCGCGGCTCGCAAGGCCCGTCTAGCAGCCGAGAACCCTCTCCCCCGCGCCCGCCCCGTCAGCGCCGGCTTCTCTTCCGAGCTCCTCGGCGAGTTCGGCTTCGGCCCCAACGAAGAGAACCGCCCGACCTCCTCATCCAAGGACTCCAAGGGCAAAGCGCCAGCCTCCGGCGTCCCCGAAGAAGAAGAAACCCTCGGCCAGCGGCGCAAGAGAATCCAAGCCGAGCGCGAGGCTCGCGAGCAGGAAATGGCCGCCGGCGCTCTCGCCGGTGCTACTCAACCCGCCATGCTCGCGGCTCCTCCCCAACTGCGTGACCGCCGTGACTCCGCCACCTTGATTCCCTTCGACCCCAACGCCAACAACGCCCAACTTTCCCGGCGCTTATCCCTCTCTGACGCGCTCAACTCCTACCCCGTCGACACCGGCCTCAGCAACATCAGTCCCCTCGAACAAGAACGTCTCCGCCGCGAAGCCGAAGGCCTCCGCCAGCAGCGCGCGCAGGAAGCCAAGATGGCTGCTATCCGTGCGCAGATGCCGCAGACGCTTGCCGCGCCCGCTGTTGGCGCCAGGACGGGCGGGTTCATGGGCGGTATTTATAATGGCCTCGCGAACCGGAGTAATCCTGCGCTTGGCCAAGGGTTGGGGATCGGGTTTGATCCGAATGCTAATGCTATCCAGCCGAGGGGTCTGTTGGCGCAGCAGCACGAGATGGAGAAGCCGATGGCTAGGAGGGCTAGTACCATGACTGTTGGTGTGCCTATGGGTGGTGCGCAGTATGGTGCTGCTGCTGGTGCGCAGTATGGAATGGGAATGGGCGGTTATATCCAGCCGGCGCCGCAGCAGTACGGCGGTGCTCCTGGTTATGCTGCTCAGCCAATGGCGATGAACATGAACATGAACATGGGCATGCCGATGGGTGGAGTGTCGAACTATGGCGCTTACGGCGCGCCGATGCAGTTCCAGACGGGACCGGGACAACAGATGGGACAGATGGGAATGGTTCAGCAGCAAGGGGGCGTGGATATGGTTGAGAGGTGGAGGCAGAGTGTTATGCCTTAGGATACCTTAAGTGATTTTTCTTTTCTTTTCTGGATGGACACCGTTTCTGAATAACAACATACACATTGCATCTCAGCATATTGGCGTGCGTGGGTTGGGAAAGATTGGAATGGAAGACAAAACTGTCGTTCTTTTTATATAACTTCTTTTTGCTTTTTCACACCACTCCTTCGCTTCTTGGTAAAAAAAAAAAAAGAAATACCTTAAGCTGTTGTCATCATCAGATCCATTACATAGTATAGTCATAGTAGTTAAACTTGGTGGTGGGAGGGGGGGTGAAGAGATAGAAGAGGAGGTGGAGGTGGAGACGGAGAGTGAGAAAGAAGTTCAGAAGAAGACAGCGGAGGAGGAAAAGCGGTCGTTTTATTTGCATATAGATAGATGGCGGAGAGGGGGGGAGGGAGATGTAAGCGGAGAAGAGAAGAGAATAAAAATATGATTGAAATATTCCGAGCAAAAGAGCGGAATAAGTGTTATCTCTGTGTTGTGTACGTGATTCCCCGAAGTTCTTCGCCAGTGTTATGTTATTTCCCTGGCTAATGGTCCCAAGTAATGTGAGATTGCGAAGTTTCAACAAGTCTTTTGCATCCATTCATCTGATGACTAGTATCATTGTTAGGTACTCACTCTCCAGTCTCTAGTCCACAAAGCCATGAAAGACATGGGAATTGAATGCTAACCAAGGAAGTGAAAGGATCATTTGGTAGCTTACCATTATTGTCAATCTCGAGTTAGTCAATCAAGGTAAGGTAGAAAGAACAGAACACTTGATACCAAGACACGACGGAACACAAGATTAGGTAGAATTACAAGTAGTGGTCAATCAATGAAAGGCACGATGGATGTGCTTGGGGCGATTATTGTTCGATATGTGTGTCTAGTAGTCTAGCCGAGTAACTAGTACTGAGCCAAGGATGTTTGTTGAGCATGATGAGAGTGTGAAGACTGTGTCCCGTTGGTTGGAATGATTCGATGAACACAAGTGTCTATGGGCGATGTTGACATATCTCTATTTTGCCGAGTAACTATTTCACCCAAGGTATGTTTAACACCACTAGTTGTTACTCAAAGTCCCCTTTTTACTACAAAAATACACAAAAACCAGTATAAAACAAAAACACGATTATAAACTCCTTAACCCCAAGGATGCGAAACCTGACGGGATATGTGACGACGACAACAAATGGCCCACCAGCTTTTACCTTTACTTGGCTTGACAGTAATACACCTGATCGGAAATCTCCTACTTCCTCTTTGCGAATTTCGATGACGTCTTCTGCACCTTGGCTGGTGGCGCCTCGTCCTCCTCGTCGTCCTCATCATCCTCCTCATCCTCATCGCCCGACTCCTCGACATCATCATGATCAACCTCATCCTCATCAAGGCTCTCAGCATCATCAAACTCCTCATCGTCCTCCTCCTCATCCTCATCATCATCACCCTCCTCCTCATCCGACTCGCCATCAGCACCAACATCTATAAGCGCAAAGTCCTCCTCGTTGCCGGCGCCATTGACAGCCTTACCCTCAGTCTCCTCATCACCCTCCACATATACCACACCCGGCTCATCAACATCATCCTCCTCTTCACTCTCTTCACCACCATTCTCCTGCTCCTCCTTCGCACCCCCGCTCTTGACAAACTTCCTCCACCGCATCTGCTGATCCAACATATCCAGCTTTCCCTTGAGCGCCAACAGCGCAGGCAGCCCCCTCGCCCGCTCCTCCAGCACGCGGTTGAGCTCGCCCAGCCTCGCCACGACCTCGGGCTGCGCGACCAAGCTTCCGCCGTGCGCGACGAGCGTGGTCTGGATCCACTTCATCAGCCCAAAAGCGCGGCCGGGACGGCGGTGCATGCGGGCCGCGAGCTTGGACAGCAAAACGCCCGCGAGCGCCGAGTCCATGCGCGTGATGGTGTTGGTGATGATCTTGGGATCCGAGGTCTGCAGGCACGATTCGAGGAGGTCCGAGTCGTCGGTGCGCAGGGCTTGGTTGAGCACGGTGCCGAGCGAGGTGGCGGAGATTGTGGTCTGGCCGCCGTTAGGACGCTGGACGGTAATGGTGTTCTTGGTAGAGGAGGCATTGGCGGCGGCAGCTTCTTGGGCGGCCAGGGCGGAGGCAACGTCGATGGTGGCGTTGCCGCGGGCGAGGTCGCCGAATGTGGGGGAGGCGTCATCGTCGTCGTTCTCGGCGTCGGAGGCTTCGTCTTGTTGAGCAGCGGGCTCGGAGGTCTTGGTTTCGGTGGTCTGCTTCTTCTCGGGAGCGGCCTCAGCCTCGTTGTCGCTGTTCACGTCTTCATTGTCGGAGTCGCTGTAGTGGCTGGAGGAGTCGCTCGAAATCTCAATGGTCTCTGGGGCGGCCTTGGTGGCCGACTTCAGTGCTGGGCCGGTCGAGACGGCCGTCCTTGTCTCGTCGATCTTGGACTTGGTTGCGACTTTGGCGCTGGGCTTCACCACCGGCTTGACCAGGGCGAGCGCTTTCCTCTTGGTAGACATGGTTGGTAGTGGTTGTGTGTTGTTTGTGTGTTGTTGAAGGAAGGAGAGGGTCGAAGTGCGAAGTGGAAGTCGAGGATGTCGCGTGGGGAAGAATCTCTTCCTTTTTCCTTATCGATTGAAAATTATATGGACCTGATAAAGGGTATCTGATGCTGCCAATTGGTCGGATGGATTATGATAAATAGGTGAATTGTACCACAGCAAGGGTAAGTCTGTATGGTCCTTGACAATGCAAGATGCAGGAATGCAAGATATTCGAGTGAATCGGTGATTTCACTTTTTTTTACGGCTGTTCGAAAAACTGTTCGAAAGCTGCTGCAAAAAAATTTGGGATCGCGGCCAAACTTTTTTTCAAGTGGAAGTCGCTGCAGTCCACCGGGCCCCTGGTACGCTCCCCCACTTTGGGGTACAAGGTACCTTGGTGATTTCTTGGCATTTCGGTGAAGGAATGGTCTGTGCTTCCTCTGGCTCTTCCGCGTGACTTCTCATGTGACATCAGCTGCGACGCACAGTCCATCTACTGTGGTGAGTCAGGACCTGTGTGGCTGCGTGGCTGTGCGTTACGGAGCGGATTCCTGCGTGATTAATTTGCCCTGAGGCTGCACGACACCGTGACGCTGATTGCGGCCACTGGCCAGAGCTTCAACAGCACAACAGGAAACTGTTTGGATCAAACTCGAACTCACTGTTGCCTTGTTGCTGCCTGTTTCATTTCCAACATTCAGCATCATCGGGGTTTTCGAAAACAGCACTTTCACACCACAACACTTTCAAATCTTCAAACCTCGAAGGATATCGTTGGGACTTGCAACCCATCATTGCAGTGTTCCATCTGCTTCGACATGCGTCCTTCTGTCGCGGTGTGAGAGAAATGGAAGGTGAAATCGAGCTGGACACGCGACGGGCTGAACAGCAGCTACCCTTGCACCCAGAGTGGATTATGCCGCATGCGATTGGTCATTGTGGGCTTGTGTTGAAGCCAGATCCTTGTCATCGATTTTGCGACTCTGTTGACCCTCGAGCTTCTTTTCGAGAAAAAGAAGAGTCGAGACAACGGAAATTCGACGACGAAGGGAACGCCTGGAGAATGCCACAGTGGAAAGCAAGCGCGACATGGCCCAAAACGACAAGACTCGCTTGTCCAAATAGCAATGCTACGATGGGAAAGGGCTCGGTCGGTCTGATTTCGCACCCCCTCCCACGAACCCACCTTCCCGTCTTCTGCTTCCACTTGCATCTTCCCCTCCGCGGCCGCCTTGCACTTCTCCGCCAAAACAAGAAATTCAAAAGGCATGCACTTGCACATAAGAGTGGTCTTGGACCTGTTCATTCTCTTTCTTTGGTCGACTTTCCTCACCTTGAATTTCAACTTACACAGGTAAACAGCGGCTTCATCATAATCATCAAGCTCGTGGTGTAAGTCGTCGCGTCATTGTCGCGTACCCCAAATCAGTCGTGGCATGCCGTTTGCAACCGAGTTGCAGTCGAGTGCAACAAACGTTACACATATCGGAATGCTCCCGTCACAACATCCAAGGTTCAGTCCCGTCCGTCGTTCAAAGAGTCGGCCGTGGTTGCTACCGCAGGCTCCCATTGTCCAGCGACAAGAAAGATGCCTTTTTTCATCGTTCCGTTCGTTGCCGTTGCCGTTTACTTGTTTTGCTTGCTGCAATTTGCTGGGTTCTCTCCGGTGACCTTTGAACTTCCATACGCGAAACCAGGCAGGAGGAGGCTGTGTGCTTTGTTGCTTGTCGACATCTTCCTCCTTCGTGAGATTTCCTTGACACTTTTCCTTTTCTGAAGCATCATGGCGACTGAGGACATCAATCAGTCGTATCCGGGCTTGTACTTGCACCAATGCAATATCCCCGACGCGAGTCTGTCCGAGCCCAACCAGTTGTTTGCGCCAGTGCTTGGACATTTTTGAATCCAGGATGGATGACCTGACGAGGGGCGGCGATTCTGTTGAGACGATGAAGAGAAAATGAAGCAACGAAGAGGATGAGGACAACTGGCCGATATATGTACCACGATGGAAAGATCAAAGGCGTCCAAGGTCTTCGTGATACGGACGCTTGTTCTTGCAACTCCAGAGTCCCTGGTGTCGATCGCGCACGGCCCACAATGCGACAGAGTGGCCAACCAGACGCTCGAAAGCCGCCTCCACCGACCAAGGGAGCCAGTCAGAAGGCAGTGCCACCCGCAGGGCCTCGTCGCTGCTGGGGAGCTCGGACAGCTTCATAAATAGCGTCGAGCTGCCGACCGGGACTGACATGTGTTCTCACCCCCGAATTTTTGGAAAAAAAGGGAGACTGCGACGCGCAACACAACAAGACACCCCCCCGCTACCGACCATCCGGCCAATCAGGAGCCCCGAACAAACACAGAAGCCACGACCCCCCTCACAGGCTGCCTGACTCTGACGCGACGCCAGCCGCTTTCTCCCCACTCCCCCTCATCCGGCGTTTCTTGTGACTTGTACAAGAGAACCTGCGAACCCTCCGTCCAAAAAGTTCCAACCCTTGACTAAAAAATATCTTTTTTTGCTGTTGCCCGCCCAACCAGCCCGCCCAGCCCAGCCACACCTTTTAATCAGCGGCCTGCACCACTGCACTCCAGCCCCGACCGTCTGATTTCACGACGTTTTTCCACCCCCGACATCGTCATCGCGCACATTGCAACGCAAGGCTGAAGGCCCACTTCTGGACTTGATCATTTCAGCCTCGAACCCCCCTGGCCTGCGCAACTTCGCAAACTTGTGAGTGGTGGCAACTTTTTTTTTTTTCCAGTTATTTTCTTTCCCCCTTCTTTTCCGATTTTCTTTCCCCTCATCCCCCGACCTGACCCGACCCGACCGACGCGTGTGCACGTACCACCACTCGCGCCTCTCGCAACCCCAACCCTCGCGCAATTCCGACTTTCGAGTACACCTTCTCCACCTCAATTGTCGTCGCGCGCGCGCATCGCAAACGCCACTATTCGCAGTCGCATCCAGGTCGCAATTGCGTGCACTTGCGGCAGTTTAACAGTTGTTGTCGTGGCACACAACACTGCAACCACACTGCACCCGTGCAATAGCACTGCAACATCCATTTGATAAACTTATATACCAACTCTGGCTATCGAATCAACTACTTTTGCATCAAAGTGCACGGCGTTCGCTGACACGGTTTTTTCAGTTGTTTTGATGCCCCAAATCGTTGCTTAGATACCCCCTTTCAGTTGCGCGCACACACAGGCTCAGACCATATCCACGTGGATATCCTTTCATCTCGTCTTCTAGCTTTTCCTCAATCTTACTGTATGGCAGTTATGACAAGTCAACAAGCTGACGGCGGCGCGGTTCTCCCCGAGAAGCCCGTCACCATGGCTACTGAGGCTCCTACCACCGCTCCAGATGCGCCAGTGGCAGATGCACCCAAGAGTGATGCTGCTGATGCTACTGCTGATGCGGAACCAACCCCTGATGCGCTAGTGAAGGATGTTGCAAATGGTGATCAGAAAGAGAAAGAAGTGAATGGGTGAGTTACCTTACCAGTTATCTTACCAACCTTGTCTCAGATTCCCTTCACCTGAAGATGACGCATTCACTTGCGCCGCTTCGCACCCAAACCTTTTTCTCGCCAACCCCTCCAAAACCTAAACCTTGAACGCTAATTTCTCTCCGTAGTCACGCCGACGACGCCGACGTCTCCCCTAAAACTCTTGTGCCAGAAACCAAAACCGATAGTCTTCCTAGTCCTAAAGACGAACCTTCGTTGGAAGAAGCACAGACCACACCAGCAAAGAAGGAAGAAGACGCCCCCAAAGCGGAAGAGTCAAAGGAAGGTGAGGGGAAGAGTGACGAGAAGGGTCAAAAAGAGGACGCAAAGCCCGCTCCGGTAGAGGAAGAAAAGAAGGCCGAGGAACCAGCGAAGGAAGAGGAGGCAAAGGACGAGGGCGACAAGATGGAGATCGATGCGCCAGAGGTACCGGCGGGCGATGCGCCCAAGGAGCCGATCGCATCGCCTGCGGAGGACAAGGTTCCTGAACTGGCCGCCGAAGAAAAGAGCAAGGAAGAGAAGCCTGCCGCTGCCGAGGAGGCCAAGGAGGACAAGCCGGCCGAACCAAAAGCTGACGTAGCCACGGAAGCGAAATCGGAAGACGGACCCGCAGCAAAGGAGGAAGCCGCTGCTCCTGCCGCAACTGAAACCCCCGCCACCGAGCCCGCGTCACAACCTCCTGCATCTCCTGCGAAACAACAAGAAGACGTGGAGATGGCTGATGCACCTGCCACCGTCGAGGAGCCCGCCAAACCAGAACAGGCAAAGCCCGCCGAGGCGACGCCCACAGCAACCCAACAGGAGACACAAGACACTGCTGTCAGTGACGTACCGCCCCCCACACCCGCTGAAGATGAGAGAAAGGAGAAAGACGCGCCTCGGCCATCCCCAGCCGCCCCGGTCACCGCAGACACTAGCATGTCGGACGCGCCCCCGCCATCGTCCAAGCCCTACAGGGAACGCGAGGAAGACAGCGAAGATGAGCCCGTCTCCAAACGCGCAAAGGTGTCCCCTGTCGCAGATCAGGCCAACGCTAAGAGCGAGGCCAAGAGGGAGGACAAGATGGACGTCGACCGTAAGCCTGCCGCGTCATCTGCATCCACCCCGGTCCACGACAGGAGCGAACCCAAGTCGCTGGCCGATGACTCGCTCAACAACTTGCCCATCTCGGACTACATGAATCGTCAGATCCGTCAGGTTCTGGCTGGCGTCAAGAAGACCAAAGCGGGCTATCACTTCCGTCTCCCCGTGTCGGAGCTCTGGCCGGGTCTGTGGAATGAATACTCGGCCAAGGTTAAGGACCCTACCGACATTCAGACCATGGAGAAGCGGCTCCGCGGGAACTTGGCTAAGTACCAGACCCTAGGAGACTTCAAGCGCGACCTGGACAAGCTGGTGCAAAACTCCATCGCCTTCAACGGTGAGTATCACGACGTCACTAACGCGGCTCGGTCGTGTCGCGAGACTATTTTGTCTCGACTAGGTGGCTGCTCAGCCTTTGAGCCGTCGAGGCCTGAGAAGAAGGACTTTGCGAAGCAGCACCCGACCCGTCATGCGGAACCGCGAGCGGCTACGCACCACTCTTCTCCCTCGGCACCTCTCCCCCAGCGCCCCCAGCAGCCCCGCGTCAATACCGCGGCGGTGCCCGCTCCCTCGTCCTCAAAGCCCATCGAGTCTCCTGCCTTCGCCATTCCCGCCAACAACAATGGCATGCCCTTGATCCGCCGCGACTCAACCAAGCCTGACAGCCGCGCCAAGCGTCCCGTGAAGCCCACCCATTCAAAGGACCTTGTCTACGACACGAAGCGCAAGAAGAAGCTCATTCCCGAACTCCGTTTCTGCGAAGAGGTGCTCACTGAACTCCGCAAGCAGAGATACTACGAGTTCAACGAGGCCTTCCAGAAGCCTGTTGACCCCGTTGCCCTCAACATCCCGACTTACCACAAGATCATCAAGAAGCCGATGGACTTGTCGACAATGCAGAGCAAGCTCAACGCGGGCGACTACGCCAACGCGAAGGAGTTTGAGCGGGACTTTGAACTGATCATCAAGAACTGCAGGCTGTTCAACGGCGAGCAGCACATTGTGTATGAGCAGGCCCTGCGACTGCAAAGCCTTTACCGCCGTGAAATGTCTAAGAAAGATGAATGGCTGGCTAAACACGCGCCTGCTCCTGCGCCGCATCATTCTTCGAACACTAGTCCTAGGATGAAGGATGAATCGGACTGGGAGGAGCCCGAATCGGAGGGCGAGCCGGAGGTGGATGAGGAACTTAAGGGGGCCCAACAGCGACTGGCGAGCTACATGAAGCGCTTGGAGGAAGAACAAAAGAAGATCAACGACATTATGCTCGAGATGAATCCGAATATGGCGGACGTCGAGATTGCACAGTCTGTCGTTGCTATGCTTCAGAAGCAGATCATCACCGAGCGGTCCAAGATTGCCTCTATGCAGCCGACAAAGAAGGCCGCGCCTGCGAAGTCGCATCATGCTAAGCCTGCGGCAAGCAAGCCCAAGAAGGCCATGCCCACCGGTGGCAGCTCTCACCACGCTGGTGGCAATCCTACCAAGAAGGCTAGCGGTGGCCATTCGAGCATGGGCGGCCATGGAGGTGGTATGGGAGGTATGCCCAAGAAGGCGGCGGCTCGGAAGCCCGCACCGAAGCGCAAGATGGGTACGGTCGAGAAGGAAGTTATTGCTGCCGGTATTGCCGAGCTGGAAGGCGCCCAACTTGAGCGTGCTATCGAAATAATCAAGAGCGACACCGGCACGGGTGAGAACGACTCGGGCGAATTGGAGCTGGATATTGATCAGCTTTCCCAAGAGGCCCTCACTCAGCTGTACGACCTCGCCATCAAGGCGTTCCCCCACCTGCAAAGGGAAAAGGAACGCACCATGGCCGCCCAGGCGCCTCCTCCCCCACCTGCCGCGCAACGGTCCAAACCAGTCCAGAAGACCAAGAAGAACAAGCCGATGAGCAAGATGGAGCAGGAGCGTAGACTGCAACAGTTGAACGAGCTTCGCGCCCAGGCCGGCCGCCAAGGCTCCGGTAGTCAAGAGCCTCTGGAGTCGATCGAGGGTACGGGAAGGGCTTCTGTTGACCCCGCTCCGCAGCACCATCGCGAGGAGGACAGCGAGGATGAGGAGAGTTCCGAGGAGGAGTAGAGGGATCCCGTCCACTTGGTATGCTCGCTCTCCAGCCCGACACTTGCCCCACTCGCCTTCAAGGTGGTTTCGCTCACGTTACCAGGGCTCAGAGGGGTCCGATGTGCTATCTTCTTGCTCGTCATCCATACTTTATGGATAACCTGTGTATGTCATGCCATGCTCTCGCCTGTTCTCTCTTCAGCTTGCCCAGGCATACCTTTGCGGTGGGAGCACTCACCTGAGGGCTTTATTTGCTATCGCCGTCCTACGCCCAGAAAGCTTTGAGACTTTACCTCAAGACCTTGACCGTTCGGGTTTGGCACCCCGTATGAGTCATTGTCGTCTCTTTCCCTCTCCCTTTCCGTAGCAAAATCAGTTAGCATCGTATTTTACCAGCGGCCGCGTTTGTGTGTCCGCTTGGACTTGGCAAAGAATGATGGCTATGGTTTGTCGTTCGTCTCTCGGTTGGGGGCGGAGAGAACGAATGGATAACGCCAGTCCATTGTTTTTTTTGCTTGCTTACTTCCAGACTCATAACAACATGGGGTAGCGGAGGATGAATTAGGAGTGGCATGAAGGAAGAACATGGAAGGGGTTAACGGGAAAAAACAGAGACAAAATAATAGGAGGACATGGCAAGGAAACGGAGTTTTTGCTGCGTTGTGCGTGCTGCTTGGTGATGATGGAATGATTTGTGATGAAGTTGCTTTTTTTCCCTCGGTCTTTTGCTTTGCGCCTTGCGCTTTCAGCAAGATGGGGATGGAGAATGCATGATGGTTTGGGGTGTTAGTAGGTTAGACAATGGAATGCTTCTTACTTGTGAATAGGACTCGAATCCTCGATGTTTGTCGCTGGTCGTGCGTGACTCATGATGCTGTTTGTTGGCCATTATGTGTTGGCTCTCGTAGAGGAATGACATGTGATAACGTCGATCTCGTCTTCGATGGGTATCGATTCCGCCCAAGTCGATCGAGTCATCGATGATATTCGCTGTCATTGTTGTCGCTGAAGGCTCGTCCATTCTTCTCGAATCCTCATCATGTCGTGTCTGTTGCACCTGGAGGCCATAAAATTCTTCCAGGTGTTCATGACTTCCTGAAATCTTTTCATCGGCTCCAAACCTTTTCGCCTCTTCGACCCCAACCAGCCAAGCCACTCAGTGGATCGATCAGATAAGCGCGAAGAGTAGGTGGGTCACGACTTCCAGCAAGCCATGTGTGCTGGTGGATCAGCTGCCCTGACTAGAGATGCCCGCATACAGAGGATGGGTGCGTGGTGATTCCAATGGTTCCAATGATATTCCGATATCTCTCAACCGCCGGGTAGCTGATGAGGATCTGTAAACTGTGGAGGCGAAGCCTCGGAGAGTGCTGCTACGCACTGATCTGCGCTGCTCGCGGCGTTGAAGGTAGCTGCCAGAGAGAAGCGTAGAGCGCGTGCCTGTCTTGATATGTTGTCGGCTTGTGAACGAGATTGGCAAGTGGTTATGGGACAGCTTCTGCTTCGGGCTCCGGATTCTGGAAAACGTCCAGGCGAGATTGTCCTGATGTGAGTCGACGAAGATTGTTGAGTGCTGTTGGGATGAAGGGTGAATGAAGTGATTATCCGTCACTGGGAGTACACATTTCTAGGGCGGATTAGCAGCGTCACAGTGCCCATGGGGAGTCGAACGTGGGGGACTCGTGGAGGACTCGTGGACGACACGCCCTTGGGTTGGTTGCAGGAACCCCGCTGCATTAACAGCGGCTCATGACACTGACGTCCGGATACCTGCCAGGCCTTTACGAGAGCCTTTTGCGCCGACGAGGGTTGTAGGATGTCAAATCACTCGTCGTGATTTCGCAATTGTGTCTTTGGCGGCTTTGTGCCCTGGTGAAAGCACGTTTCTAAAGTGTCGAAGATATCTTGTCTTTTTCGGGACAGCGACCTCGAGCCAGCTTACACGAGACGGAGACGAGACCCGAGAGACGGCCGTCAATGGAATATCCTCCGTCTGGGCAATCGCTAGATCGTCTCGGAAATATTCGACTGTCAAATCCTGCTGGAAAGCGTTCCAAGTCAGCTTTCTTGTGTATCAAAAGCCATGATGGACGAGGTGTCGTTGGGATACTCACCGTCGCTCTTGCTCCAGACGGGTGCCCATCTTCGGCGCAGCCATCGAGGTTCTTGCGCAGAAGGGAGAGGCTGTGGAAGAAGCAGCAGAAGGGAATACATGCAATGAAGAACGGAAACGGATATCAGACGGCCTGTAGATCAATCCATAAATAGCAAAGGCGAAACTTTCTCGTCTTTTTTTTTGTTGGTTGTTGGTTGTCTGGTGGTTCGTTGTTGGTCGGTTGGCGGCGAATCCAGTGTGTGTTTTGGGTTGGTTTTGGACTTTTGCGGGGGTCCAGCAGGAGGAAGGCGGCACCGCTTCCATTTCAGCCTCCAGCGGAGGGGCTGCCAGCCCACAGCGCCATCAGCCCAGGGGCATTTTGTGGCAGGCTTTAGGGCTTCACGCACCATCTCCCGTTCAACATATGGGACGAGGTCTTGTCCCACCTCATAGTCAAAACCTTGATGACTCTCGTGGCCCTACTTACTTTCTGACCGTGGATCAGATCAGGGAAGCCATTCACTGTTTCTCGCGCAGTTCAGATGGATTCCTCGCAGACAATGCCTTCCATTGTGTTCAGCCGCCCGGCTTGGGGCATCAACACCACGCCGAATGCCTTCACTGGCCATCCCGTGAAACTGCTAAAGACCCAGTGCATCACTCGGTATAATGTGCTACTTCCGGTGGACTCTGGACGGGAATATGCATTATTAGGTACTATGACGGCATGAATCCACCGTCAGTTGCTGGTTTGCGGTTTCCATGTTCACGTTCTTGCCGAGTAACCGGACACAGAACTCGACGACCACCATTGTACTCGACATCGACGTGGCCGATACAGCTTCATCCTCTTTTTAACAGCCAACTACCAACATAGACCACCTAGATAAACAGCATCTCCATCATCACCATGCTCGGCAAGATCCTCCTCACCATCGACGCCCTCTTCCTCCTCTTCGCTTCCCCGGCGGCCGACTACAGCAAAACGCACATCTTTAACCCGGCCTGGACGCCTCATGCAAAGTATGAATCACCCACCACTATTGTCGCACACTTATTTGTACATACTAAACCGGCCTTGACAGATTCCACTGCGGCCAAACCATCACCATCTCTGTAGTCATGGGTCTCGCAACCCTCCTATACACCTGGCGACCATCCGGTCGTGTTCCGAAATCAGGCCCGGTCCCCATACCGGCCGTACTCGCTGAGAGACGTGAGCGGATGAAGGAGTCTTTTCGGACGGCTGGCTTCCTCGGAAGTGTCTACTGGCTGGCAGGTATGGCAGCCATCTTGTATCCCAACACTGCAGGAACAGACCCCGAGTTCGGCGACATCACGGATTTCCCGCAAGGAAAGCTATTCCCGGTATTGGCTGGTTTGGCGATCTTTGGGGCATGGCTCGAGACGAGCCGTCTTAGATGATCAGTGGAATGCAAGGCTGATAAGGAACGGAGGACGGAGAGTGACGAAGCCCGTGTTTCTCAAGTTTCACGATGGAAAACAGGATCGGTATAGCGCTGCGCCTTGTACATGGCGCTCTATCCATGCGGAGTCACTTACGCGGCCTTGACCCTGGCAAACGATACATGACGCGTCCGGGCGCCGCCGGTGTGGCTTCGAGGGGGGTCCGGGAATAGGAGAGCCATGGGGGTATGGATCCGCTCGCGAATCCTTCATTTCACTTACAAGCTTGACTCGTGCTTGGACAGTGCATTGTATGTGCCTACTTTTACTCGGCTTTTCGCCGATAGCATTTCACTTGTCATGAATGCATATTCCTTCTCTTTGTCTTCTGGGATTCCGAATTCGTCAGACTTGGAGTTTGATCACCACTAGCCCCCGGATCTACGCCGATTTCCAGGACTTGGCGACCGCTGAAGCCCCGTTGGTTACCCCTGAAGCTCCGTCTTGGCAGGGACTTGGCACCGGCCGTTCCCCCGGAGCACTGATCCAGACCCGGACCTTTACGTCACAGACACTCGTATCTCACCGTCGTTTCAACCCAACTTTCAGGTCAGCTACCGAGTGAATCGTCCCGCTATACAAGCGCTGTGCACGGGACATTCCAACATCTTTCAGCAGAACCCATCTCGTTCCCTACTAGTACTTGCGCCCCTCCGGTGCCTCTCGGTTTGGACCGAACCTTAACGCTATCTCTCTTGTACCCCACGGTGATTCCTCGCATTGACACCACCTTTGTTTTCTGTATCATAAGTACAGTATCGCTATTCGAAACTTGCTTGGGGTAAAAGTCATCTATACCCAGCAGCGCACCACGACTACGAATCCTCGAGGACACTCTGCGACCATCACCCACAGCGGCATGGTTCATGGCCAGCCCTCCGGCACAATGAAGCCAAGTGGATTCCAGGCGCTCCTCTCTTTCTTCTCAGCGCGAGTGCTACACAGAGGACCGAGACTTTTACTACAACTTATCGTCGGGTCGACTCTCATCTTCACCACTCTACTCGTCATCAGGAGGGCCTTTGACGAGAACCTATCCTCAAACGATCTCTTCCGATACGAAAGCGAAGACATCAAGGACGAAAAGGTACACTACGAGTTCCAGTCGCAACAACACGCTGGCGGACTCCGCGTGATTGTCTTTGGAGAGGACGATGTAGCGACTCCTGCTTGGACGCGGGGAGAGAAGGAGATGCGGTCTTCTGGGTGGACCGAGGTTATGTGTCAGGAGGTCAGTCTGTTTCCAACGCCAGTTCTCCTTTTCTTCTCCGCTAACTCGTATCTTTGCAGTTGAAATGCTCCCACTACCTCTCTTTCATTCCTCCCAACCTCCACCCGCCGGCACACACGCTCATCTCGAACGATATCTACGTAGAAGCCGTCAGACAGACGATCAAGAACACGACAAAGTTGAAGAAAACCCAAGGCCCTGGCTACGATTACACCTTTCAACCTCGGCTGTTCCCCGTTTCCAAAGCGTTGCCTGACCTGAGCGCCCAAGTGACGGCATTCCTCGAATTACAAAACTGGACTACTTTTCCCAAAGCCAACGAGACACTCTGGGTCTTCAACCTTGGCCAATGGGACGTGTGGTCGCTAGCCACGCTCCCCATTGCCACAGGCAAAGCGGTTATTGACCAGCTAACCAACCACGTTATCGAGCAAATGGAGCGTCTCTATCAGAGCACCATACTAAATGACACCACGGTTGCATCCAACAACCCCGAACTCCTCCCACGCAAGACCAAGCCGGGCCCGATGAGGATTATAGACCCCGAAGTCTACAAAGCCAAATCCGCTGCCACCGCCGGCGCGCAGCCTGTCTCTGGCTCCGCAAAAGAAAAGACAACCAAACCCAAACCCGAAACCTTCCGCGTCTTCTTCCCCGCTCTGTTCGACATCTCCATGACGCCCGGGTGGAACTCCAACCGTCCCGAAACGCCACCCCCTCATTCGAAAGCCGAGCAGATGCGAAATGCAGCCAAGTTGACGGATACGTGGAACCAAGTCATGGGGGGTAAGCTGTATGCGTGGGCGGAGAGGTCGGACGACCCTGGGGTGGAGGAGCTTTATTTGACCACGGACACGGACGTGGATAATACATCACTTGATGGTGGGAGCGCAAACGGTGGTGTCGGGAAGCGAAACCCTACAGGTCAGCTCCGCAAGAAGACAAAAGCCGCCGCCGAAAAAGTCGTCGACGAGCCAAAGCCGAAGCCTACTACTGAGCACAAGCAGCAGCCGCCAGTCCGTGACTTCATAACCTATGACATGGTCGGCTACATTACCTCGGCCTTGATAGAAGGGCAGCTACGCAGCTCTGGACTCAGCGATGGGAACGGCCTCGGCCAGAAGCCGATGACTAAATGGTACAAAGAGGTGTGGGAGCCTTGTATTAAGCCGGTCAAGTCGGAGACGGAGCTGGTGGACTTGGAGGAGGAGGGGTTGGTGCAGCAGTCGAATTCTACGGATTCTTCTAAGGAGAAAGCTACTGCTGCTTTTGCTGCTGGTGTTCAAGCCGAAGCAGCCTGGGCAGGTATCTCTAGGAAAAAAGAAAGAAACACAGCAGAAGCGACATCAACAGAAGAAGAAGAAGAAGATAGGACATCGACGACGGTTTGCAACATGCCGGATGATTACCTCTTCTATACACCCTTTACTCTCGGGGAAAGAGCCATTGGGGAGATTGCACGAGAGGCGGCGGAGAAAGTAAGGAGGGGAGAGTCGTTTAGGGCAGAAGGGGAAGATGAGGGGCTTTGGGCGGGTGTTCAGGGGCATACGGGGTAGATCTAGGGTTTGGTTTGGACGTTGGTCGTTTTGTTGAGCGAAGGGTGGTACATAGGATAAGTGGTGGATGTGACAGATGTAGGATAATTCATAATTTTGTTTTTTGTTTTGTGGTTTGGAAACCTCGTCGTCGTTGTAATTTGTGTTCATGTTTGTTGATGTTGATGTTACAGTCAGTTGAGGTAGTGTCGTTAAACCCGGGCAATCACCGACCAGCCAAGGAAGGCCAAAACCGTTGGAGGCGTCGGTGTCAGGGTACCTGACCAACCTGACCGACCAACCGACCAACCGATTTCGGGAAAGGCTCGGGGTTCGATAAATGGGACGCGTCATACAAGGGATCTCGCCGATAGGGTTAGAGGTGGTGTGAAATATTGTAATTGGTGATCGCCGGTTCGGCTCCGAGCGGAGAAGGAAGAATGTGGATTTTCAACGTCGTTGAGTCAACCTCGTCTTTGCTGATATATACCTACGTCCTTGCTAGATAGTTTGAAACACGGGTTGCTTTTGCTCCTTCATCTTTAGCCATAACCTTGTCGATATCCACTATTATCTGCCTCAACTGGCTCACTTTTTCGGTCCATTATTGACTTCAATCTTTCACTTCACCTGGGTCACGCTCCGGTACGACACCCCAACACCAACATCAACATCGACATCCCACTGAGTCACCAACCACCACCATCACAAGTTCGATCACCAACCCCTCAACAAAACCAACTACCAACTCCAAAATGTCCCCAGAACCACCACCACTCACAACCACAACAATGACCCACCGCCAACGCCTCTTCGCCCTAACAGGCCTCCCCTCCCTCCTCTCCACCCCCTCCGACGCCCTCCTGATAATCCTCAACCGCACAACCCGCATGCTCTCCTACGGCGCCTCCTCGCTGATCCTCGCCCTTTTCTTCTCCTCTCTACACTTCTCCGACAGCCAAATCGGGTTATTCATGAGCCTTACCCTTATGGGGGACGTCGTCTTGTCGTTACTTTTGACGCTGGTCGCGGACCGGTTAGGGCGGAGACGAACGTTGTTGATTGGGGCGGCAATGATGATTTCCTCTGGTGTCATCTTTGCAACTTGTGAGAATTACTGGGTGCTTTTGGCGGCGGCGGTGGTGGGTGTTATCAGCGCAACGGGAGGGGATTTTGGGCCTTTCCGGGCGATAGAGGAGAGTATGGTATCTGAGCTGACGGATAGTGAGACGAGGGCGGAGGTGTTGGGGTGGTATGTTGCTATGAGTAGTGCGGGGAGCTGTGCGGGGACGGCGGTGGCGGGTAGGGTGGTGCAGTGGTTGGTTGAGACGCAAAAGTGGGAGGGGAGGGAGGCGTATCATGCGGTTTTTTGGGGGTATGTGGCTATGGGGGTGGTTAATGTTTTGGGGGTTTGGGGGATGACTGACAAGTGTGAGTTGGGAGGGGGGAAGGGACGGGGAGGAAGGGGGGTCAATGGGCCGGTGGTGCAGGTGTTGGAGCCGGAGACGGATGGGACGAGGGAGACGGAGCCGTTGTTGACGGCGGAGGCGGGGCCGTCGCGGGATGTTGTTGTGGGGAGAGAAGAGGAGGAGGAGGAGGAGGAGCCGAAGAAAAAGGAGAAGGGGTGGTTCAAGGTGGAGATTTCCCGGTCGACGCTTTCGGTCATGCTCATTCTTTGGGCTCTGCTCATGGCCGATAACGCCGCCGATGGTATGGTCTCCATGTCTTTGACGACTTACTACATGGACCAGAAGTTCCATCTGCCCAAGTCGATGCTTGGCGACTTTTTGTCGACCGCCTACTTCCTCGCCGCTCTGTCGTCCGTCTTTGCGGGCCCGCTGGCAAGGCACATCGGTCTTGTCAACACCATGGTCTTTACGCACATCCCATCCTCGGCTGCGGTACTCTTCTTCCCCTGGCCCAAGAACGTCACAGCCGCGTTTGCTCTCCTGCTGGTGAGAGTTGGACTCAACAACATGGATCAGGCGCCAAGGGCGGCGCTGATTGCCGCTGTGGTTAAGCCCGAAGAGAGGACGGCGGTCATGGGCATCACGAGCACTTTGAGGACACTCGCATCGACTATGGGACCGAGTATCACGGGCCTGTTGGCGGACGGAGGAAGGTTTTGGGTGGCGTTTGTGGTGGCAGGTGCGCTGAGGTTGACGTATGATTTGGGGATTTTTACCATGTTTATCAATATCAAGTTAAACAAGCATGAGGAGGAGGAGCAGGTTGCGAGGGAGGGGGACGAGGAGGAGATTGATTGAAGGAGGGAGTGATCGATATGGCGACTTGAGGAATCTGAAAAGGCATCAGGCCGACGACATTAAAACAACACGAAGATCGTTCAACAGCATCTAACCCGCAATCCAGCCCTTGTGGTAGGCTATATGTATTACTTCCCCCGTGATTACTTCCGTGGCAAGCTGGTAGGATGGCGCAGCGGGCACACCCACAGGGCGCTCCCCATCCTTTCCTTCCCCCGGCTCTCATGTACGCTGCGCGTTCGAACCCGGTAGCTGTAAGTCCACATTTTTTTTTAATCTTTTTTTGCACCTTTCTAGGTTGTTATGATCGCTGTTACATGCGCTTGCTCACTTGCGAATTCACTTGCGAGATAGGTATGGGCCGACCCCGTTGAAGGCCGTCGCTGTTGAAGTTGCCTGGAGCAAAAGCTGGGCGGCCGTCACCTTTCTGTGCCAGGAGCAACAAAAGGACAAACTTCCATTCACTTGTGGTTAAAGTTCTCCATGCTACTAGTTCGGCCGGTTGGTGTGGTGATGGTCTCTAAGATCTTTCTCCCATGTCAATCCGCCTCTTTCCTAGACACAATAGCGCCGTGGTAGGGTAGTAGTAGACAATACACACTCGAGCAGTAAACACATGCTTCTGGGTATATAGCTGGAGGGTTTTGTCGTCTGCTTCGTGGCCCGTTAGTGCAATTAGAAACATCGTGGAGAATACGTTGAGATCGTATTAGTACTGACACCAGTGAGTTAGAGGTTCGACTCCTGTGCAGGTTACTTTATTTGCCCTTTGCCCTCCTTTTTTGGGCGTCTTACATTTGGTCTTTTGTCTACTTCCCAGTCAGTGTTCCTTCCTTCCTTCCTTCCCTTCGCTGGAGATCTTCTGTGTCTCCGGTACCCTTATCAAACGTGGCGTACTCGTCCTTTTATTCCCTTTTTTCCCTATCTCCATTCCTCCTTCACCTGCAGCTAACGCTCAACTTTATCGCCGGCGTCTTTTTTAGGCTCTTATACGCCCTCAAGCTCCTCGTCGTCCACTCCCTCAGCTCCAGGTCCGCCTTTTGATGGGGTCTGTCGTCTACTAGCTCCTACCCTGCCGCTTCCCACCTTCTCATTCAAATTTGACTGCTGATTGCTGAAGTAGACGAAACCAGCTAAATTTGACGAGAACTGTCTGATCACCACCAGTCCACTAGGCTTGAAGTCCAGCTTCAAACCCGTTCGTGGTTTGATATCCCATCAAAGCTCATCTTACTCTCTCACCGATCTTTCCCACCTCCGACTCTCGGGACCAAGGGATCCTGCATAACCCACCTGCCGTCTTCCTTTGTCCCACTAACCCCGACTGCCTACAAACCCCTTGCTGTTTGCCTCACCTGCGTCAGTCCACGGGCGTCGCACAAGGGACTTGACGCCTTTGGGGTTCACAATGTGCACCTCGTTGAAAGGGTTGATCGAGACATAGGCTGGCGGTCAGGCAACTTGCATGATCCTGAGCGACGATGCCATCAAGGACACGTTCATGTTGAAGAAGCCGGTGGGCCCGGTGGTGGCATGAACCGTGGCTCGAGGGTACAATGTCTTGCCTTTTGGGATAGGGGTTGGAAGTGCAAAAGAAATGCAGTGTTCCGTGTGCTGGTTCGCGGCTAGTAGGTGCAGCTGAACGGGAAAAAGACACCTATATAGACTCTCGGTGTTCACTTTAACCATCACTAACATTATCACTTCCAGCTCCATCTCTACACTTGACGATAGCTCACCTCAATTCAGGCCCCAATGAACGGCTTCCGCCACCTCGCCCGCGAAGCAGCCGGCCTCCCTGCCTCCAACCTCGACCTCGACCGCAACCTCGACCCCGAAACCTGGCCGCCTATACTCTCCTTCAACAACTCCTTCCAACCCGAACCGCCCCTCCAGGAGTTCGGCATCGTCTCCCGGTCCGATGGCACCTTTTCGTCCTGGGGTATCTCCACCATCCCCCAATCTCTCCTCAAAACTCGTGCCGGCGAGGAATTACTCACGAAGCCGGTGCCGCTTTTACCCCTTTCCACCTCCACCCCTTCCGGCTCCTCTACCTCCTCCCGCCCTGGCTCTGACTCCGGCCCTCGACCCCCCTTGGCTTCCAGGCCCCCATCAGCTTCCAGCACCACCACGAACGAATGCAGCACCACCACCCCCTCCCCCCAACCCCAGCCCCACGCCTTCCTCCGCCTCCTCCAAATCTCCCACTCCCCCCGGCACGCCCTCCTCATCAACCCCCACCACCTCCTCCTCCTCTTCCACCTCCTCGACCTCGATCCCCACGCTCTCTACCTCTACCACACCCACACGTCCGGCTTCCACATACTCAAATGCGGCCCTGCTGCTTCCACTTCAAAACTCGCTCCTCTCGATGGACAGGTATTGAGGTTTTACTTGCACTCGAACGACGTCACGACCATCTGGTCATATAATGTCACGAGACGAGTGACTTTGGGGGTTTGTCTTGTGGATGAGAGGATGGGACACAAGTTTGCGGTTGTCAAGCATCATGTTTGGGGGTTCAGGGGGGTGTTGGCGAGTCCGGTGGGGGTGGTGGTGGCGGATGTGGCGAGGGGGTGTGTTTGGAGGGGTGAGGGGGAGATTGGCACCTCGATGATGGAAAGTGATGGGTTGCTGCCTTGTCAAGGGGGGAAGGAGAAGGGGAGGGAGGTGGAACGGGAAGAAGGGGCAAGGGCTTCGGATAAGATTTATACGGACTCGATGGAGCTGTCGCCGGTGTTGATGGAGACGCTGTCGAGACGGTGTCGAGTGTTGGGGAGGGTGGTTACGAAGGCGCAGGAGGCGAAGTCGTCGCTTAGACTGGCTTTGGGGATAGCTAGACAGATTACTGGCAGGAAACTTTGGCGGAAACTAATCACCGATGCCGAGGCCGTCGATCCTGTTACAGAGGAAGCGAACGCCCAAATACGTCTTGTCGTTCGCGAACTGATCATCCCCCAGCTCAAAGCTCGTATCTTTGGCTGGACTTGTCGCCAGAAAGAGGCGATAGTCTGGACCAACGTGCTTATGGCGAGGATCTCGCGTACCGACGCATCTACAAACCACCGGGAGGCCTCCTCTATGCGTGTCATAGCCGTCATGACCATGGCGTTTTTGCCGGCGACGTTTTTTGCTACGCTTTTTGCGCTGCCGGCTTTCAAGTGGGAAGCTGTTGATGGTTATGACCCTCCGGGTCGAGGGGGGGGAAGAGGCGGAGGTGGAGGTGGTGGCAGAGGAGGAGGAGATGGGGTTATTCAAAAGAGTTTCTGGATCTGGGTGGCGTTTTCGGTGCCCATGACGGTGGTGGTGTTTCTAGTTTGTAGTGTTACAAGCTCAACGTGGTGGCTGGAATGGCGGAAGGACTGGTGGAGGAGGCTGCGGCCTAAGAGACGGAGGTGACTTGCTATGTAGGACTGTGTGAACACTCAACCGTATAAAGCCTTTACGTTCTTGAAATATCTCGATATGGGCAAGATACCGCTTCACATGCTCCAGACCACACTTCCGCTATCACTTTTCCCAATGTGTCAAATGTAGACGCCATGTCGGTGTCCAACGAAAGTGCACCCTATAGCCAAATTAGCGTCATGTTCGGAAGCATATCCCTCGCTTCATCTTCTGGATTATTGGAAATTTAACCTCATTCCCGAGCCAGTGTTGGTAACTATGCCGAGCAGCGACGTTGGGATTCCGTGATCAATGGATACCTGAAAGTGGGCATTTGTGAGGCTCAGCTGCGCCAAGGCTTTAGTAGAGGCTGATGAGTGAAAGCTGACTGGTCCCTAAAGACACGTCTTGTGAGTGTGTCACAGCGGGGTCCTATGAGATTTTGGGTTGTTGGCGTCCCTATAACTAAGGTTGAACCGAGGCATCCCACATGTTTTCCCAACACCTTACAATCATACCACCACTTTGGGTCTACACTGGGCCCCTTTCAAGCGCCTCCCAAAGCTGCAACTTTTCTATCTCACAACTCACACACCGCTCATACCTTCTCTGACCCACAACAATGCCACTTTCCTATATAGCGAGGGACATCGACTATGTTCCTCCGCCGGGTCAAGAGGTCACTCGACTCGAGACTCACCACGATGATCTTTTCCAGACAACAGACTTACCACGTCGAGCATGGAATCGGCCGTTGAATCTTCCACCAGAAGATCCGACTCTAGGTCTCTGCGCCCGGCACTGTCTCATGGACCTCAAACGCTCAGATTTCGGACCTCGACCGTTTAGTCAACAATTCCCTCCGGATTGGTATCTTGGTACCTATAATGAAGTGGCGGCACGGGGCTCGTGGTGCAAGATGTGTCAGCTAATCGCCGAAGCTTGCGATGACATTGCTTGGCCAGATCAGGCGGATACAGTCATGAGCTGGGTCAGAGATGTGCGGTGGAGGAAGAAAGCTTCGCCCGATAATGACCTGGATAATGGAGTAGAGAGCACGGAGACGTGGGAAACGTTGAGGCTCGCGGTTCGGTCGACTATGATCGGAAGAGCGCCGGCCTTTACTCCTTTCGATCTCGTGCCACTGGGCAGAGAGGGGGAACCGTTCCAGGGGAGACGTCTCGACGAGGGTCAGATCGATATAGATCGTGTCATGACCTGGCTGAAGTTTTGCAGGGAATGGCATGGAACGGCGTGCTCCCGGGATGAGACAGCAGAGCCTATCGGAATCGACCACTGTACCGACATTCGGCCCATTTATCCGACTCATTGATCTCGAAGAGAATTGCCTGGTCGAAAGAAACGATATTGTACCGTACGTGGCACTGAGCTACGTCTGGGGTCGGGTGGAAGTCTTCAAGACCCGTGAAGAAAATATCGACGAGCTGAGAATCCCTGGTGGGATATTGGAAAAGGAGTTCTTGTTCCCGCGCTCGTTAAGGGACGCAATGACGCTGGCGCGAAGACTTGGATACCGTTACATCTGGATCGACTCCATCTGCATTATTCAGAATGATGACACCGACACCTACAAGAACCTTGATAAAAGGCACCAGATAGGGCAGATGGGAAAGATCTACCAATACGCGGACCTCACCATAGTGGCTGCCAGTGGAGAAGATGCGAACGCTGGTCTGCCTGGGGTAGAGCCTGGGACGCGGGAAGCCAAGCAGAAACAAGTTAAGATATCAGAAGACCTCACCATTATGAATCGCTCTCGCGCCTGGCCGGATGCGCTGCTTAGAACAACATGGGAAGAAAGAGGATGGACTTACCAGGAGCGCATCCTGTCCCTGCGCTATATGTACTTTGTCGATGACACGGTACACTTCCAGTGTCAACAAGCCGCTTGGAGCGAAGACTTTGCGGCCGAGTCCCCGGACCTGGACTTATCCGCCGCTGACCAGGTGGTTAACTTCAGTATTGTCCCTACTGAAGTCCCCCCCACGGTTGACTTGCGGCCAAATTTGAAGTTTCAGCTCAAGCGATATCCCGAGCTGGTCGGGCAATACACCTGTCGCAATATGACATTCATAACAGACCGCGTGAATGGGATCCAGGGTATTTTGAACGTGATCAAAGATCATTTCTTTTCCCAGGACGTCGAGTTTGTCCACGGGATGCCAACGGGCGAGCTCCTGCATCCGGGGCTTCTCTGGCGACCAAGACTGGAGCCGAAGAGAATACGTTTGGATGAGAGGAAAGGGAGACCGCTGTGGCCAAGCTGGGCATGGGCCGGTTGGACAGTACCAGTCTACTACGACTATGGTGCTGACTTTTCGGCCAACAGCACTGGTAGATATCAGACAGATATCAGCCTTGGCCCGGACCCATATTTCCTACATTTGAAGGCTCGCGTCGCCCGTTTCAGACTCATGATTGAGGACCGAGGCAATGAGGATGCGGTCCCCCCACTACCTCGGGTCCGGCCAACACGGTTGACACGGTATGCGATAACGCATGCGACGAATCCTGATGGAGGTGAGGAGGAGTGGATAGGATCAATATGGTTGACGTGGTCCTATCGAAGGAAGTTCGTTGAACATGAGTTGAAACTTATTTCGAAGGTTACACAAGAGTTCATCATTCTTTCGGACGCAGACGGGTTCGAGCGAGAGGAACTGGTGCAAGCTGCAACAGCCGAGAAGAGAGCCGTTGTCAACGTGATGATGATAGAACGGAAGGAGGATCCGGGAACAGACGGCCGAGTTCGCATTGAGCGTGCAGGTGTTGGTCGAATGTACAGAGATGCGTGGGATCTAGTTGAAGAGGAGTGGGAGCGGTTTGAGCTGGGATGAGTGATGGAAGCCGGCGAACCCAAAAGAGTTGATTGGTCGGACGTCCTAAATACTGGCGTCGTGACCCAGAACTGGAGTGGGAATTTTGATGTGATCGATGGTTCAGTTCCATGAACAAAGGGGGAAATGAAGTGAGCTCACTTGGAGAAGAGGATGTTCAGGTGTGAAGATCTGCCATGCTAGAGAACAACGAGAGTGAAATGAGGGTGAGCCTTCGAGGTTGTGAAGTTGAAGTTCCAAAATCAGAACGAAACGTGCGAGAAGGACAAATCGAGGTTCACTAAATTGTGGCTCAGGTGCAGGTGCTCCACTCACCATGTGTGGCTGAGCGCCCAAAATCAATTAACCAGCCACACGAGGGGCCTGTTGCCTGACGCGTCTAGCTTTACGAACGACGCGTTTTCCTAGATTGACTTTCCAGCATCACCAAGTCAAAAACACCAACAAAACACACAAAGTTCACGTCGACGCAAGACCTCCAGCATCGATTCCTGACCATATCAGCCTCGTCACCGCCAAATCAGCCTAATTCCACCACCATGTCGGATTTTGAGGATGAAATGGACATTGATGTCCCAGTGACCAAGGACGTCATGTTTGCTGCCACGAACACGGCCAAGGGCAAGCGAAGCGCCGCCAACCTGCCTGTCGAAGCAGAGGACAGCCTCCCTTGGTAGCCATTCCCCACGATTTATTTCAATTGACTTATCCAATGTCTAACCAGTTTGTGACAGGGTCGAAAAGTACCGCCCCGTGTCGCTCGCCGATGTGTCTGGCCACCAAGACATCCTCGCGACCATCAACAAGTTTGTCGACTCGAACCGACTCCCCCATCTCCTTCTCTACGGTCCTCCCGGTACCGGCAAAACATCCACCATTCTCGCCCTTGCCCGACGAATCTATGGTGCCGCGAACATGCGCCAGATGGTGCTCGAGTTGAACGCCTCCGATGACCGTGGTATCGACGTTGTGCGCGAGCAGATCAAGACCTTTGCTTCCACCAAGCAGATCTTCACTCTCGGCTCTTCCGCTTCCCGCTCCGGTCTAGCTGGCTTCAAGCTCATTATTCTCGACGAGGCCGATGCAATGACTTCCACAGCTCAGATGGCTCTCCGTCGCATTATGGAAAAGTACACGGCCAACACTCGCTTCTGCATCATTGCCAATTACTCCCACAAGCTCAGCCCCGCGCTTCTGTCGAGATGTACGCGGTTCCGTTTCAGCCCTCTAAAAGAGAAGGATATTCGTGTCTTGGTGGACAAGGTTATTGAGGAGGAGAACGTCAAGATCATGCCAGACGCTACCGATGCGCTGGTGCGGTTGAGCAAGGGTGATATGCGTCGTGCGCTGAACGTACTACAGGCTTGTCATGCGTCTAGTAAGTCGCAATCACCTTCATTTTTGGTCCGAATTGAAACTAACCCTGGCAACTAGGTACACCACTCCAACCAAAGGACGGCCCCAAGGTCGCCGAAAAGGATGTCGTACGGGAAACCATCACCATTCAAACCATCTACAACTGCGTTGCCGCGCCACCACCCGACGCCATCAAGAAGATTCTCAGCACACTTCTTAGCACGAGCGACGTCACAACATGTCTGTCGACTATCAACACACTCAAGGTTGCACAAGGTTTGGCACTTGCCGACATTATCACCGCTCTTTCGGAGGAGATCGTCAAGCTAGAAGTCAAGCCCCAGGTTATGATCACATGGCTTGATGCACTTGCGAATATCGAGCATCGGGTAGCGAGTGGAGCGGGAGAGATGATCCAGACTGGTGCGGTAGTGGGTGCGATACGAAATGGTGTCGAGTTGATGGGGTAATGTCGTTGTTGTGGGTTAGGAGCAAAAAGCTACTCGGTGATGTACGGTCTGCATCTATGGTTCGGAGTTTAAGCATCTGGCGTTTGGGCAATTGATTGATGTTCCACATTCTTTGAAATTATGGGCTCCGGATTCTGGCTGTTTGATATGTGTCCGTTTCTTTTTACGCAAATCAGGATATCACAAACGGATCGCTACAATGCGGCCAGAAATATGGACGGATAAGTAATCATTGTTTCTCTCAGCACTAGCTAATTCTTCTGAGCTCAGTAGATATACCGGAATCCAGCGACTCTCCTATCACCGGACGCCGCAACAGCCGCAGTCTCCGGGTTCTCAGCCTCTTCCGCCTCGGCCTTCTCCAGCTTCTTGTTCTCCCACTTATGCAGATACCGCAAGAACAACGCCAACAATCCCACCAAGAGGCAGACCACAGAGTTCGCACTGCCTCCGGGGATGTACTGTGGCGCCGCCGATGCCGGGTACATGTACGACCCGTAAATACTTGCCGTGTTTCCAAACATGTTGGCAATAGCGACAGCAGCCGAGCGCTTGACCATAGGACGAGGGAACGAATTGGCAACCCACGACAGGATGATTTGATCTGAGTTCTGTTAGTCCCATTTTCTTCACCGAGAGGTGACATGTTCAGGCATAACTCACAAGCAGAAACTGCTCCCATAGGCATCAAGAACATGGCAAAGAACCTCGCCCCCAACTTCGTCGTGCCCGTCGCAACCGCATTCCCCACAGCGGCCAGCAACATCAGGAAGAAGATATGCAAGCTGCGATCGCCCGTCTTCGAGCTCGTCCACGTCACACAGACCGAGATTAAGAACGTCGCGAACCATACGGGAGCCGTCAACCACAGGGTTTCGATCTTGCCGTAACCGAGAGTGCTCACGATGCTTGGGAAGAAGTATTGGAACGTCTGACTGAGCAGTGACAAGTGCTGCAGGAGCACGAAGAGGTATAGCCGGTAGTCCTTGAGGGCAAGCTTCAGCCCGTCCCAAACCGAGCGAGTATTCTGGTCATCGGACTCGTTGATATCAGCCAACAAGCGCCAGGAGGCGTAAGCCCGCTCTTCTTCGCTCAGCCAGCGCGTGGTGTTGGGGTAATCGGGCAAGACGAACGCAGCGGTGATGGCGACGGCGATGGTGATTGTTCCTTCCTGTTGGTTTTTCAGTCAGCCCTGTCCCTTCAAGTTTTCTTCCTCCTCCCTTAACTCCCTCCCTCGCCCCCCCATGAATCGAATCATCAACACCAACCGGTCAGTGACGAAATCAATACTCACAATAATAAACAACCACCTCCACCCACTAACCCCCCTCGCCCCCTCCAAGTTCCCCAACACCCCCGCCCCAATCACGCCCCCAAACATATTCGCCAACGCATTCCCGCTATAAAAATACGCCATCCGCTTCGTCAGCTCCGCCCTACTATACCAACTACTCATCAAGAACACGGCCCCCGGAAAAAACGGCGCCTCCACGATCCCCAGCATGATCCTTACCACCAGCAAATGCGTAAACTTTTGCGAAGCAGCATTACAAGCAGACACAGCTCCCCACAGCGCCATAGCTGAACTCAAATAGATGGAAGGTCGCAAGCGCGTGATGAGCATGTTGGAGGGTAACTGCATCAACAGGTAAGCGACGAAGAAGATGGATGTGGCCAGGTTGAAGTCTGTGCCGGACATGCCTAGGTCGGCCTCCAAAGTGCCTTGGCGGGCTTGGGCTAGGTTGGAGCGGTCGAGGAAGTTGAGGAGGTACATGAGGATTAGGAAGGGGAGGAGGTGGAGGTCGATTTTGCGGAGGAGTTTCTTTGAGGTGGTGCGGTGCCATTCTTGGGGCGCTGATGAAAACTGGGTTGCCCAGGGGTCAAGGGGGGAGGTGCCAGTGTGGGAGGGTTTGGAGGCGAGTATGTTGTCGATTTCGTCTTTGGAGGGCTCCATGCTGGTTTTGGGGGGAGGGTTGGTGTTGGCGCCCGTCATCGTCGTGGAGGGCTTTTCGGTGGTTGGGAGGCCCATTTTGGGGGTTTGAGGCGGTAGTAGGTGAGTTTGACGGAGGAGGAGGAGGAGGAAGAAGAAGGAGAGAAGCTGAAAGGTGTCTGATGATGAAGTTTTGGTTGATGCTACACCATCCCTATAGATTCGCTAGAGGTATCTTTCTCTCGGCTGTCTGTCTATCTCGAGTTGTACAAGGCCGCAAGCTCCTCAAGCGAATGGGATAGATACTGCGGTATATGTAGCCCCCGTCATTCCTATCCTCCCCATCCCCTATTCTTCCGACCCAGCCATCTGGCTCTCTTCACCCGGATATCGTCCGGCATCATACTATACAGTGAAAAAGCAAGGTTTCACCCAGTCATACGACATTCAGGGACGCCTCTCTGTTCCCCAAACGAGATGTTCCCCCCAAACCAAAGCCTCCCCTCAAAGCCAATAATGACAACCGGTGCTGATCACTTCCATGTGCTCAAATGAATGGCTTCCTTCCTTGGTCTGTCCTTTCTCGCCCCCCACCTACCCACCCAATTTCCCCTCATCGATCCTCCCCCAACCTTTACCCCAGATTTTACCACCCAAAGCAGGGCAGCCAGCCAGCCAAGTTTGCCAAGCCTGGGGATGGAAGACGCTATTGATTCTGGGGAAGTTCACATTCACATTCACATTCACAGCTTCTCGTTTCTCGTTTTCTCGCTTCTCGTTCGTGGAAAAGGACGGTGGTGGTCGGACACGGGAAGGCAAAAAGGGCGAAAAAGGGTAAAGAGTGGTGGAGTGTCTTTGTTTTCACGTGGCTTCCATCTTTCTGGTTGACGTTTGATGTCTGAACTAGTGTAATGGCTGAGGTTGGAACTTGGAAAGCATGGCTGAACTGTGGGGATTACCCCGGATTTCGCTTCCCATAGCTTCAACACTTGACTCGATTGGGGAACCCGAGGGTGAGGTTGGTGATTCGTTCGGGTGTCGTTCACAACTTCATACTGTCTCTGTCGGGTGAGAGACTGCCGATGCTACTTACTGCGTTCGAGCCTTCGAGCTACAGTGTGCTGTCCCACTCCCATCCGAACCATCTTGCCGGGTTCCCAGGTGTGGTAAGACAGTGTGCTCGATTGGTTGAATGAGATGAGACGTCGATTTTGGCTACTTTTGGCCGAGTTGCTAGAGTTGCCCTTTCTCCGCACGGTTGGGACATCTGGGACGGCATTTGTGTGACTGGGTAACATCTTCCTGAATGGGGGAACGGTTGGGGTAAAGTGAAGACAGGTTGACAAGATACCGAGGAACTTGGAGAGGTGAGATGAATCATTGGGGATCTTCACATTACGTTCGCTGGTTTTCTTACCATGATACGATTACTAAGGTAGAGACCTTGGGTTTCTCATGTGTTGAAAGCTTTTGACGAAGGTATTGCATGGATTTGTTAGTACCTAGAGGCAATGAAATGTTTGCGGTTGGTATGTTTCCCTGTTAACTCTGTCCAAAAAAGTGACCATCACTCGCAGTTTTTGCATGCTAATCAAGTTGCAATGCTCTTCTTCTTACTCATTCAACAACTCTTATCACCTCCTCAGAATCCCCTCAGCCGCTTTACCAAGAAAACTTGATCCAAACCTCGGAATGCCTTCACCCTTTCGTCCCCCACCATCCTAGGTCGCACTAACACTTACACTTCCACCCACTGTAAACCTGAAGTGCACAGTGGCCCCGCCACGCCTTCAGTACATAGAAACTTGGAACCCTCAGAACCCCACAGCGGGTTCAGACGGAAACTCCACAGCACATGTTTTAGCGGAGTCAGCGCCAACAACGAAATCCGGGGCCCCGCAAAGATCGTCGTCATTCGTCCCATCTGTCGACAGGGGAGCAATCGCGATTCGAGATTCGAGATGGAGTCCGTTTTTGTCGACGTCGAGTGTTACCAACCACGGGTGGCCGTCTGTCCACAAAACAACATTCCCAAGTAATCACAACTGACGGTTTGACAAGGGATTCCGTGAAAAGGTTGGGGATCGTATGTTCTTTTTTGACACATGGAAAACGAAAAAAACGAAAACATGGAAATCAAGAGATGAAAACCCGGAAAAAAGCTAAGATCAAAAGACCAAAAGAAAAGATGATTCCCGAAGGAAATCCTCTCGCATCAGAGACGAGCCTTTCGGGAACATATCCGATGATAAAAAAAGCGAAAGAGAAGCCAAGATAAAAAAAGAAACCCCCCTCCCAAAAAAAGAATGATTCCGCGAGAGTCCCTTTTGCCAGGAGGGAGGATTCCGGGAACCTTGAGAATCTGGTCGAGAAATCCTCTCTCCTGGCAAATGAGGATTCCCAGGAACTTGTCCGATAGGAGATTTGAACTCCTGGCCTTCGTAGGCAGTAGTACATGTTTAGTATACACACCTACCTACAACGCTCTCCCAGCTGAGCTAATCGAACGTTATGCGGGTTTTGTTATTACTTTGGCTGTGTTTTCTGCCTTAAGAACCTGTATTGAGAGCTCAAGGGGCTGTTCCAGGGCAGAGGGAAACGAGGGGGTGGTGGTGCATGCATGTGCATGTGCATGTGTATTTGCATGGCAAAAGTTCTGTACCTGGGGCTGCATCATCACGGAATGAGACCAGGAGAATGTTGAGAACTTGTCATTAGCACGAAGGGGAAGATATAAAATTGGCATGTTGAAGCCATACACAAGCGAAACCCAGCCCGGGAAACAGGGACTGCCTCTCTCAAGTCCACAAATGGAACCTCGGATGTCTGTTCCCCAGTTGTTCCTGTTCCTCCTCCGTCAGACCCTCCAGCCTGTGATCTCTCTTGCCTGCTGCCCTGGCGCGGTTCTCCCATGCGCAGTAGAGGATGCCGAAGATGGACAGACAGACGACGGCAATCTGCCCGCCGAGGTTGATGGTGTGGCCGGTGTGGTACTTGGGGGCGTCACTTGGGACGTAGGTCCAGCTAAGGCAAGGTATGTCAAGTTAGGTCCATGACCTAGAAGAAGGGGAAGTGTAGAGGAAACTCACGTAGCAACGATACCGCCAATAGTCCCTAGCGTCACGACGTAACCGCTGGTTACCGCACGAACAGCTGGTCCAGCCGAATCTGCTTGTCATTAGCTTCCATCCATCACCATAGCATCAATCATAGGCACTAAAGGACGACTTACTATTGATAGCCCAACTCAAGAACCCCGGGCCACCAGGAAACGCGCCAACCGTAACAAAGAACACAGCCATATACCTTATATTCGGCTGACTGACCCACCTCAAAATCGCGAACCCGATCAACGCCAGCACCGAAAACGCCGCCAGCCAGATGCCCCTCTGTCTGCTCTTATCCGACCCATACGCCACCGCCACCGCGACCAGACAAGCGCACACATACGGCGGCACGCTGTACAACTGGGCCTTGGTATTCTGCCAACCCAGATCCTTCAAGATAGTCGGCAAGAACACCGACAAGCCCTGAACCGTGATATTAATCAGAAAGAACCCGATCGCACAAGTGTAGTTATGCACGTTCATCACCGCCAGCTTGACATGTCGCCACTGGACCTTCTCGGCCGGATCAGCGCGGTGTTCTCTCACCAACCTCTCGGCCGCGATCCTCTTCTCTCTTTCGTCCAAGAACCACGCCGTCTTCGGGTCGGTAGGCATCCAAATCGGCGCCGCCAGGCCAATCAGGATGGTGATGATCCCCTCGAAAAAGAAAATGTTCTTCCACGTGTGGATCGTGTGACCCGCCACCCCCCACTCGGGAATCTTGGCCAGGCCCGTGGCCAGCAGTCCACCGAACGCGCCGGCGATGGAGGACGCGGAGACGTAGATCCCGATTCGGAACAGCAGCTCCTCTGGCTTGTAGAAGGTGCTGAGGAAAAACGCCATGCCGGGCATCGCGCCGCCTTCAAAAACGCCCAAGATCGCTCTGGCGGCCATTAACCCGCCGAAATTCGTGACGAAGGCCGTGCAGAGACTGACTAGTCCGAATCCGCAGACTAGCAAGGGCAGGTAAAACCGGGGGCCGATCGCTTTGAGGAGGACATTGCTCGGCACTTCGAAGAGCAGGTAGATGATGTAGAAGATGGACAGGGCCCAGTTGAATTGCGTGCCTTCAAGATGCAGGTCGGTGGCGAGACCTTGGATGCGCGCGTTGCCGATGTTGACGCGGTCGAGGAAGCAGAGCATGTACAGCACCGTCACGATGGGGACGCAGTGCCAGTCGATCTTGCGCCGGATGGCGGTCTCTTCGGCGTCGGTCCAGGAGAGCTCGGGGAGGGAGGTGTTGGAGGAGGCGGCGTCTTTGGGGGCTTGCTCGTGGTGGAGGGCTGGGATGTGTTAGTGAGGTTGAACGATGATGTATGTAGTGTGAAGAGGTGAGTAGGGGTTAGCGATTGGTGGTATGAAGGGTTGACGTACCAACTTCCTTCTCTGGGTCCCCCATTTTGATGTCGTTATGTGATGAGGTCGATCTGAACTTTGATAGTCGAACGTTGACGGCTCAAGGTGATGTCGATCTTCGAGGGTATATAAGACAAGACAAAGACGCCCGGAGCAGGGACAAGGGACAGGTGGATAGCTGACGGCGGGTCTACCCCTTATGAAGAACAATCGGAGAGAACCCAAAGAAGACAACGGATATCTGCTCCGGTTCACGGGATGACTCCCGTTGCCAACCCGCTAGACGAAAAGCTTTTTGCAACTGCAACGGTAACCCGCATCAACTAGTGACAAGATTGGGAATATGTCAAAATATCCTGATCGTCTTCAGTTGATAAGAGGCAAAGGAGAGTCAGTATTAGAGCGTGCTTTTAGCTTATATATCGACACCAGCTTCCTTCTCTTGGGTTCCTTTCTGTCACACCTTGTTGTCAACTTATCTGTCAGTTGCCGTCTAGCGGCTTTCATGCCAGATTACCTGGCGGCCGCGACATTGGGAACACGCGGCACGCAGCGTGTGTAGCTTTGCATTGTCACACTCTTTTCTGCCGTCCGTCTCTTCACACATCACAGGCTAGCTGGATTCACTTACAGTTTCTTCGTCTCCTCCCCGCCTCCATGTCCGCTTGAGAATAACCAGTAACACCCTCCATTTCTTGTTCGTCCGTCCAATCGCACGAATGAAGCATTTTTGGAGCATTTTCGGCAAATGCATTTGGGTGACCGTTCCCCGCAGCGGAAAGGAGCTAGCAGTCAATGCCAAGGCGGGTTGGTGGTGGATGCATCGACGGAATGGCTGGCCGGACCACGAAGCCATCTCGAGGAGTTGGAGAGTGCGGGGGCCTTGGGGTCTCTGGTAGCAGTCGTTAAGAAGGATCAACGCCTTCGTCTGCAGCTCTTCTCCGTTCTGGAAGCAGACGGGTGTTCATGCCTAGCGAGGTCTCGGCGGCCATGTATGACGCCTTGGATACCCTTTTTAGTTTCGGCAGTGAGTTGATTCGTTGAGTTGATGACTTCAATGCTCTCTTGAATCCTTTTTCCCTTTTTCCTCGTGTCTTTCTGTTGGTGCCCATTATCACCTGTAATTGAGAGGCTGGAGCTGGCCTACTGGCGGAGCGGATAGGTTCCGTATTTTGGTATCCGTGGGCTGATTCCTTTGTCTCATTTGCAAAGGCTGGATCGCAATCGACAGCTCGAACGTGGTGGGGACATATGTAGACGGCGTCCTTCTCCTGGGGATGGTTGGGACTTTATCCCATTGGTGGCTGTAGCTATGGGTCTAGACCTTGGTCCAAACTCAGTTTTGACTTCATTGAACACATGCTGCTCATAACCAACTGTCACTTTTCTGCCGATGCTGTGTTCCGGGCAGTGGGTAATTTTGATGTCAAGACTCCAGACATCGAGTCGAGTCCGAAGATAACTCGCATCTGAGATCGGCCAAGGTGATGACTCATGTCATGGAAATGCTGGCAAAGCTTGCGAAGCTGATTCAGGTCGCAGACTCCGTTGGAAAAGTTTAGCGTCTTCGCTTCATGCCAGTTTGGCAGTTCCCAACGGGCCAACATCCTGAAAAAACTAAAGCAGCATGCTATACCAGATCAATCGCATGTGCTCTTCAGGCTGTAAACCTCGCAGGAGACGGACACTCTTGGGATTGGGCCACAGAGTCCTGAGTCGTAGCGCTATGTTGAAGAGTTTTAAAGCTCGCCGTGTTGTCCAGCGCTGCTCTGACCTTTGTATCGTGCTTTGCTGCTTTGCTCTGATCTCGGTGTTGTTCACCCATCTCAAGACCAGCAGATCTCTTGGTGAAGGAATGATCGTAACTGCGTCGGCCGCCAGCATACATGGCAGCCAGAATGAGATCCTTGGGTATTGGAGATTCGGCCCTCAATTTTAGTGCCGGAATGTTGTGTGAGTGATGAGTGACATCGTCTTGTTGGTGAAGACGCTATCATGATGACCCTAACCCTGACATGTCCCTTGGGGGAAGTGAGTGGCTAGTGAAGTCTGTGGCTGGTGGTTTTCCGTGGCTGAACAAACTGCCTGTGAAGAGTCATGTGACTCTGGGACAAGCGTCAAGATGATGCCGCACAACCGTGCAAGCGAGGCTGGCGCGCGCCTTCAAATTGAAGTGGGTGCATAAAAAGCGGTGTCAAGGTCATGATCATTGTCAAGTGATGAGGTTGATTTGTTGATGTGGAGTTGGCTGCCTGGAGTCTTGCGCTGTGGCAAGCAGTGTTGGACGCGAACCGGGACGTATCGCTGCAGGCCAAGTGGCTCGACCCACCAACATTTGAGCGTTCCATCTCTAACAGAGAAAGCAGAGATCAACAAGGAAACCTGATAGTAACCGCACACTCCTTTCATAGGTGAGCCGACAAGTGGATCCAAAATGAGCCAATCACACCCCAATTTCAAACGAGCAGCGCATATAACATGGCTGGGCTTCCCCTGGGGCAAAATGAGTTGGGTTCTCCAGGTCTCCCCGTCTCGCCTCTCTTCAGTTCCCACTCAATTTGCTTCCGTCATCAATCCCACCCACCTTTTTCCATCTCTTCCATCGACCTTTCATCCCGGCCCTCCTCCTCCTCCTCCTCTTTCCCATGGCGGACTCGGTGACCCACACTTCACCTCCCTCTTCTTCTTCTCCTTCTTTTCATTCTCTTTTTGGCACTTCTCCTCCCTCGCACCACTCCGACGGCGACGCGAACGATCGCGACGACGATGAACCGAGCCCAACACAACCAATCTCCTTCCCAGGGTCAGTGCTTGATAGTACCGGTGCCGTGAGTCCACGTTTGCGTGGATGCATAGCCAGTCCGTTTCTCCTCGTCGACACACTGAAAGTGAGCGTCCCACGATTCGAGAGTCATACCAAGTTCACCGACTCCTACCCATCAGGTACGCCTGGTGGAAGGACGGGGGTGCTTGATGGGCCATCGGATCGTGGGAACCTCGCAGACAGCTGTGTCGGCTAGCCAGAGCGGCGGGACTATCATCACCGACACCAGGTCTTTCTATCTCTCTTTTATTACCCACCCACCCCTCTCGCCTCGCCTTCCCTCACCTTCCATCACTTCCCTTCCCTCCCCTCTCCCCGTCACCCCCCTTTCCACTCCTGGTGCTGTGTGTACTTGGGCACACAGCCGTCGCGTTTCTTACTGGCAATAGCTGGAAGGATGCGTCCCACGAGTCGAGAACCGTAAAAACTTGCCAACTCCTACCCACAGGCTAGCCACCTGTTGGAAGGACTGGGGTTCTCGATAGGCCGTGGATGCAGATGCTGCTGGCCGCCCAGTAGCACTCTTCCACCTCCGATTGTTGGGAACCCTCCGACAGTTCAATGTCACGCAAGAGCGGCAGGATGATCACCACAAAGGCCCCAGCCCCGAGTTCATGTGTCTGGCAGGATGCATGGCCGGAGCGTTTCTCCCTGGCGATGCACTGGAGTTCCGTGCCGCACGAGTCGAGAAGCACTGGATCCAATCATCAGGACAACGCCTGGTGAAAGGACTGGGTCTTTCTTGATAGGCCGCGGGCAGAGACGATACTGGCCGTCGCGTTCTCTGCTGTCTTGCCTCCGTTCGTGCGGAACCGTTCGACAGCTACATTGTCACTCGAGAGCGACGGGACTTTCCCTTTCAAACCCAGATCTGGTGCTGTGTGTCCGGCAGGGCACTTGGCCGTTCCGTCTCAACCGCGCGATGCTTCTGAAAGTATGTGTAACCCGGGTCGAGAAGCCTTGGATCCAACCATCAGGTCAATTCCTGCTGAATGGACTGGGGCTTCTTCGATAGGCCGTGGATGCAGATGCTGCTGGCCGTAGCTCTCTTCCACCTCCGTCTGGGGGAACTGATGGACAGTTGCGTCGTGACGGATGAGCGGCGGGTCTGCCCCTTCAAAACAACAGATTTGGTGCCGTGTGTCCGGTAGGGCACTTGGCCGTTCCGTCTCAACCGCGCGATGCTTCTGAAAGTATGTGTAACCCGGGTCGAGAAGCCATAAAAACTTGCCAACTCCTACCCAGCAGGGCTAGTCACTTGCTGGAAGGACTGGGGCTTCTTCGATAGGCCGTGGATGCAGATGCTGCTGGCCGTAGGCCCGTAGCACTCTTCCACCTCCGTCTGGGGGAACTGATGGACAGTTGCGTCGTCACGGGTGAGCGGCGGGTCTGCCCCTTCCCCTTTGTCATGTTCATCGTGCGCCTAGCATAGCACCAACACAGCACCAACACTACACCAACACTACACCAGCACTACACCAACACCAAGACTATGATGTTTAACCGCGCTTGCGGCTAACAGTCCAAGGGAGGGGGGTGGTTTCAACGGCGGGGACAACCTTCGTGACGAACTAATCAACAAATGCTTCAACCGCGATGACGACAACATGTCGGCCGTATTCGACTCGAGCGACGATGAAAGGCACTGCAAGATCGACCTGTTGAATCGGGGAGGTGTGGTTTCATGGGAGGACGCAGAACATGTCATCCAACACACATCCAACTTGTCAATGGACTTTCACGTCGATACTTCGGAACAACGAGCTCTTTTCGTTCTTCATACTCCTGTGTATCTGAAGGCCAGCATGCCCAACTATCTGGTTTTCCGTCTTCTCATGTATCCCGAGAATATTCGGTCCATCGAATTTGATCCGAAAACCCGTCCACCTATACCTGGCATGGAAAACGCGCCCAATAAGTTCATGCGTTTACGCTTCCTCATGACGCAACCACCCAGCTTGGCGGTCCCCAAAGATCGCCCTTTGGAACCAAAGCCACGATCTCGAGACCTGTTGGACACTCTGAAGACCCTTGCTACAGTCCAGGAACTCAACATCTACCTGGACAAGCTCTGCTTTGTACCGGAGGTTCGGTTCCAATTAGCTTTGCTTCCGGCTGTCTTCCCATCCACCAATCTTGGCGATCGACCAAAAACGGATCCCGATCGGTCGAATCTCCAAGTCTTGCACAAGGGTCTGGGCGCCGTGATTCTTGAGATGGGTGCAACTGTTGCTGGACCCGGCGCAACTTTGGCAAATACCGCGGCAAAGCAAGTCGTGCATGAAACGATAGAAGAAGTGGCGCCGGCATACATCAAGGATGGCTCTCTCCAGAGTCCGGCGCAAGTGATAACCCCTTCCGGTACGTTCTCTACGCTCACTTACATCATCATTCTCCCTTGGCCACTAACACGTTGCCTCTCAGACCGCAAACGTCGGCGAACAAGTGAATCCCTATCTCCCTCAACCACCGACAAGCGCATCCTCACTGCCTTCGCCGATCTGAAAAGTCGCTTCGAACACCTTGAAAAGAGACTGGCCGGCTCTTTTCGATGCGATCACACTCCATGCCGATACGATACGGAGGAAATGGAGCACATCATCGGTCATGTGAACGATAAAATCGACACTGACATGGAAAATGTGCAATGGGAGTTGGAGGACAATTTGTTTGGCGAGACGCAGCAGCTTGTGGTAGAGAAGACGGAGGAGCAGCAGTCGCAGTTGTGGGCCGATATGCGAGAGGGCTTGATGGACGAAATGCGACGGGAGATTAAGGAGGAACTGAAGGCGGAGCTGAGACAGGAGCTGGCGGCAGAGGTTAAGATGGAACTGTTCAAGGACATGGCGCAGGCGATGATGAGGGCGGCGTGCGGTGACGGTGGAAAGTCTGGGACGGGCATGTCACAAAGCACGCAGAGCACGGATTCGACACAATGAGGCAAGCCATCGGCTGGTCCGATATCCTCATTTCACGATCTCACGAATGAACATGATTTCTTCCCCCCTCCCCAATATCATCTTGACTGCCCAACACTGACTGACGTCCCTCATGTGCATGCATGCATGTTTTGATCAGAATGGTCAACAGTCTGTCTTGACATTCGCCCCAACGGGTAGACTAACCGTGGCCGTAGAGACTTTGACCGAGAATGACCAACCTGTCTTGCCCATTCACCCCAATCAGTAATCTACTTATCCTTCCTCCACAAATCCCTCCAAAACTCCCTAAACCCATACTGCGGCTCCTTCCTCTCATAAACTCTCTGCCCCTTTCCATCCCCCGTAAACCGACTCATTATCCCATCCGGTTTCTTGAACGCCATACTATCAGCAATATTCCCTCCCGCCGGCCTCGTCGCCCTCTCCTTTATCGTTTGCGCCACAAGCGGTGCCACGTCCGCGAAACAATTATTCAGTTCCCGCTCCAAGTTGAAGTACGGCTTCTTGGCTAGCTCGGGCGCCATCAAGTTGTAGGAACGCGTGATGGTGTTCAGGTTGGTGATGGAGAGTTCGAGGAAGGAGCGCTCGGCTTCGACCCAGGAGGGGTCGCGGAAGGGTTTTGTGAAGGAGATGTCGGGTTCTTGCTGGGTTTTTGGTAGTTCGTCAGCCGTTGTTGTTGTTGGTGGTTGAGCATCAGAGGTAGCAGATGGAGAGACGCCCGGCGTCTGCTGTCGTATTTTGACCATCACTGGGTCCTCTGTCGAGTTTGTAGGTACGGATATCTGTTCGACGTTTCGCCTTCGGGGGTTATGGATTTCTTCGGCGCGGGCGTACTCGTTCGCTCGACGGATTTGTTCCTCTAGGGTGCCGCCCCGACTGGATATCGTCCGGGCGGCGTGGCGTAACCAGTCGTTGCGTAGTCGCTTGCGGAAGGACTCGGCGGTTTTGATGAGCTCTTGTTGTTTTTCGATCCAGGGAGGGACGATTTCTTGGCGTTTGATCATCTTGTTCATTATGTATTCGGTCTGTGTGTTTTTTTTTCACATCTTCTCATCAGTCTCGGCACCCTGACGTTGACAATAGCGAAAGAGTAGAAGAACTCACAGTATCAATAAAAGGATTATCAGCCCTCGTATCCCTCTCCACCCCCTTCCCCCTCGGTATATTCTTAAACTGTCCCCTCGCAATCGCATTCTCAATCCGTTCATTCGCCAACGCCGCCAGTCCGGTAATCGTATTCGGCATCGCCCTCGCAATCGGCGTAAACCGTTCCCTAAACTCCCTCCTCAGCTCCTCCCTCTCCTCCTCCGTCAGTCCCACCGTATCTGCCTTCGGCAACTCCATATCCACATACGCCTGCGCCTTCTCCCTCGCGCTCGCCATCCTCCTCCCCGCACTCATCTGCGGCGCTCTCTTGATCCTCATATCCACCACAGGCGTGGGAATCTTCGCCTTCCCCCTCGCTCCCACGCCCAGCTGTTTATGCTTATCATTCAACATCCTCAACACCGCGTCCTCCGTTGACTCCGTGCCCGTCCAGTGCTGCGAGGAAGCGATCGATCGCGTCCCCTGCCCCGCCGATTCCGGGATGCGGCTGTGGCCTGAAGAGGTAAGCCCGGCTTCGGAGAGAGCGGAGGCGTGCTCGGAGGCGAATTTGGCAGAGGCCACTTTGGCCAGGAGCCGGTTGCGTAGGTCTTCGTCGAAGCCGGCTTCTTCGATGGCGCGGAGGCCGGCGCGGCCGCCGGTTAGGAGGGCGTCTTCGGTTGCTTGGGCTAGGCGGCGGGTCATGGGGCCTTGTTCTTTCTCCGATTCGGGTTCGGGGTCGGGCGCGGGTGAGGGAGAGGGGTCATTTTCGGGGGGAGAGGGTTTGGTGGCATTTTGGGGTTCGGTGGGTTTGGGATCGGAGGGGGTTGGGTCGTGGTTGGTGTTGGTATCGGGTTCGGACTTGGAGGGCTTGGAAAAGGTATCGGCGGCGAGGCATACGCGGGAGGAGTGTGATAATGATCGTGCGGAGAGGGAGGAGATTGGGTTGCTGGTTGTGCGCACGGCGCGGAGGGAGCGGGCGCAGAGCATGGGGTTGAAGCTCATGGCGAGGGCCCAAGGGGGTTCAAGGGAACGAAGGTGCTCTACCAAAAGGAGGAAAAGGGAAAGAAAACAAACGGGAAGATGAAACCAAATTTTGGGTATCAAGAGGCAACATTCGCGGTTATCGGAGGCGATCTCAAGGGGAATTTCGGGCGGGTCGATGACGAACTGCACGATAAGGCACAGTAATCGCGACAGTGCATCGGCGGCAGTCTTGACAACCGCGGCACGCAGCACTTCAGCATTGGGAATGCCCTCGTTCCAGTTCTCCCATTATTTCACCTTAGTAAGGTTGGATTTCATATGATAAAGACCTTTGTTTTGGAATGTGTGCGGCTGGGCCAAACCCGAATGCATTTCGTCTACTCTTCTCATGTTTTGCAGCACTTCCCAAGGCTTTCCTGGCTGTTTGGATGTTGCTTATCAGGCCTTTGTTCCAAGCGGAACTTCAACAATAGGGACCTTGGCGCAGTTGGCTAGCGCGCAGGTCTCATACTACAGTATGATCTGGTTTAACATCAGAGTAATCCTGAGGTCGGGAGTTCGAGCCTCCCAGGTCCCAATTGTTTTGGCTTTTTTTTTGGGACTTTTTATCTCTCTGAATCAAGTTTTCGTAGCGGGTTGTCATGTTTTTCCTTCTTATTTTTGTCCTCATGTTCACGCCTTTTCTGTTCATCCACATGTCCTTGGATAGATGCGGACGCACAGTAATGTGGTTGACATCTTGAGGCTGACATCGTGAATGAAAGTGCAGGTGTTTCTTTGGGATTTTTGACCATGAACGGTTTATAGCGTGAAGTATATCCAGTTCCTACTTGGCTTTTACTCGAACATATTCATCTTGTACCTCCGAGTTCCAGAAACAATTGTCCCAACTTTGGGACCATTCATATGGAGCCATGAACAGTTGCAAACCCGCAAACAAGGTATGTTCCTCATAACAATCTCAAAAATCCTGACATCAATCATCCCTCAAACAAGGGTGAATTCTTGCGTCGGTGGATTCGTCCACATGAACTCGCCCTCCATCATACCATACATGTACGCTTCCCCTATGAGTTCATAGTGTCCCTGTCTTCCGTCCTCGACCGGACGCAGTAGGAATGGAACTTTGCCTCCGTATAAGATAACGACAACGTCCCCTTCTTCTACATATTCAGGACCGAGACCAATGAACCCCCGTGCTGTAGAAAATATTCTTCGCCCCCAGTGGTAATGACTTTGAAAACGACTGAAAATGACGTGAATAAAATCGGGTATTGGACGCGCATACTGTGCTCCCATCGACACCTCGAAGTCCCAAAGAAACTCGGCGAACCCGTAGTTACCTTCAAATATTATTTTTGGCTCGAGGTTCGCATCAGGTATACATACATGGTAGAGAGCTTCGAGGGTATTCATCTTGTTTGCATAAGACCGCATCGGATTGGAAATATGATGCTTGATGAACTCCATGGCGGACATCATGAACTCCTGTATTTCTCTCGCAGCTGCGCCGTCAAACATCTGATTGCTGAGCGTAGAATAAACGGTATCCACTGACACACCAGTTAGTATCAGATTGTTACCGTCAACGCGAGGATTTTGACTTGTTTGCATCAGACACGCTCCTGACTCCTCCGGACGGTGAAAATGGCGATAGAGAGGCCAAGCCGGCAGAACCATTGACCAGTCCGGTGCCCAACTGGGAAGACCTTCAATCAGTTTTGGTACCTGCGTAAACGAAAGGAGGCTAAGTTCTCCGTGAAGCCGCAGAATAGAAGAAGCTGTTTCCGTATAGATCTCCTTGACCCCTTTGGAGTAATCAGGCGTTAGTCCTAAGTCCGGTGCATCGCCGGCAAGGCCCAGTAATGCAAAGATTCTATCCTCAGGCTTAGTTGACTGAAAATGAGGAGTCGGATCCGAAGGTTGTGCCTCCATTGTGTCCACCAGCATATAGAACAAACATTGTCTCGCAATCGCCCTCCCGACAATACTAATTGCTCGCAAAGGCTTGACCGCATCTTTCATGCTCCATATGTGCAAGGGACATGTAGGAATAAGCTGTGCCTCACACAGTCCATCATGCCACCAAAAAGCTGCCTTCGTGATACGACAGAACAGGTCCGCGTAGCGAAGATCTAAGGAATTACACCCGAGATGTATTTTGACGGGTGAGTAACTTGATATCTCCTGCAAGATCCATATCCGTTGCCAGTACGGATGTCTGCACAACCCGATAAACTCATTAAGCAGTCGTACATGTCGAGGTCGGACAACTTTAGTCATAAATGTACGGTAAACATCCCTGATGGGTGAAGGCGATTGACTGAGCCAGGCATAGTTGCGTATGTCATGGCGAAATACTCGGTCGGGGTTATTGCTCTCATACCGTGAGGTGACTCTGGCCACCGACCTTCTTATCCACTTGAAGACCGGGATAGTTCGACGTGTTGCTCGACCGAGCCAGGCAAAAACTCGAGTGGCTCGTTTGTAAATGTCCCCCATCATTTGCACCTGACGGGATTTCTCAGAGTTGTCTTTCTGGTTGATGCAGAGGGCATCAACCCAAAATATGCGGACACCCAACCGACCGCGATCGTGCTCTATGTGCCTCAAAGCGGTAGCGAGATTCCTGGTCACCTGGACCACCTTGTTATTGAGTATAATGGGCAGAGTATCTTTCTCATCACCCCAAACGTAAGAGAGTCCCGTAAACGGCTCGGCGGTGTCAAGTTGTTGGACAACCGAAAAGCAAGACACCAGTTCACGGCCGGTCACGGATCTAAACTCGCGTGGCATGATGAAGAGGAGTCGGATTTCGCGTCTTTCATGTCTCAGGGGCCCGTATCCGTGCGGATCGATGCTTGCCAATGCCCTGGGAATCGTTTCATGATTAGATATGTATTTCAGAAGGATCGGGAGGGACGATAGGGCTGGAGGACTGATAATGAAACTGCGATGTAAAGGATAGTGTCCATCTACTCACCTATATTCTTCCTGAATATCTTTGAGGTAATCGCTGTACACACGATCCTCTATCATATCCATCTCGATGTCGCCACAACCACTGTCAGATACCTCAGAAGCAGAATCGGAAGTACGAGATTCGTCATCAGATTCAGTGTCGGACATGCAATGCCCATTACCAGACCAACTCGGCCCGTCACTATGCGCATCACCGCATTTCCTACTTCCCACCCCCTCAGACTCCTCATCAACATGGTCGCATGTGTCGTTGTGGGTATCGTCGGTCATGTCCTCGATTTGGTGGTCCGAAAGGCCATCATCGGAAACATCAGCGTCGTATCCATCGCTTCGGGTGCCACAGTTGGTCGCGTGCCGATATTGTTGCTGTATCTGACGGATCTTTTCCAGCTGGGCAGCTATGCGGGTACTGGTGAAGGCAAGATCCATAATGCTCGCCCGTCTCAATGATCTCTTAGATACCGCTTAATGGCCGTGATTTGAGTTGGGCCGATGACTGGTGTGATAGGGCGCGAAAAAAACAGACGACGAAGATTGAATAGTGCAGCAATCGATTTCAGAGGAGAATCCTTGGATTAATGTCGCTTGACGACGGTATTGCCGAAGAACCTAGTTTGATGACGAGGCTCTGAGCTGCGAGGGATGGAAATTAGTACTGGGCTGGGGAAGAGGTGTCACGCCAGGATATCGATCCTCTCCTTCAGGGGACTAGGCCGTGGCTCAAGCGGACACTCCCAGGTCGAAGTCCAAAGAATATCTCCGTGAACTGAGAGGGAGAAGGAACGCCTTGGGCTGGTACTGTAGAGGTACTTACGTATATGTATTCACAGGGGCAACTCTTCCAACATTGATCGCACTTTCCAATTCAGTCAATTCTATCCAGATGAATCAAGGTCAACGAGCGCCATCCTGATGGGTCGCCTGCTCCTGCTTCATTTTCTCCGAGGCCTTGGCTTAAGCACAGCCGCCGCTTCGTGATGCAAAACCCCTCATTGTGCTACGTCTCCATCAGGAACCAAATGAACTGAGTGGTCGTAAAAATAGGCTGGATATGGGCACTCAGATACGTTGTGGCTGATTCGCATGCTTTGACGACCACACGTTATTGTTTTGGAGGCCCTCGAGTTTTCAAGCCAGTTAACACGTCTTAAATCTGCTCGTGGAAATCGTTAGCTTCAATCGGAATTCAATCGTGGTACAAGGTGGAAAGGTAGGCGCAATAGGGACAGGGCTAGTGGAGGGAAATTGCACCTTCCTAGACCGCATTGAATCCGACATTTCCTAACCTCTGGCTCTCTTGAGTCTGGATCAGGCACAGGTATTTCTAGGCAGGGAAGGTTCGACTGCCATACCCCAATCTGCTTTCCTCGTCCAAAAGGCCAAAGAATGAGACGCCACTCGAACATTTTGGCCACGAGTCTCCTCCATGCCATAAGTATTCCGGGAGGTAAGTGAGTGTTAAGATATGGCAGCAATTTGTCCTCCTCATGAATTTGTGTTCCTCGCAACCCAGAATCCGAACCCGAAGAGACTGAATTCTGCTGACAGCGATATCGGATAGAACACTTGAACGCAAATAAGGAAAGTGTCTCTGCGGTGCACGACCCGGGCGTACCTGCCAGGTATTCGATTCCAACTGGCCAGGGGCAGTCATCCAGAATGGAAAGTGCTCTCCGGGAACTCCAATTGTCCGACCATCCAATATGGCAAGTATTCCCCTTCCAAACACCTGCCGTGCAACGGATCACTGGCCGTTCAAGTCACGCTGTTGATGTATTCTGTGCAACCGCCAACCGGTGTCCAGTGACGTCGAGAATGGCTCAGCGTCTGCTAATGCTCACCGACGGGGTGTTTTACATACTTGTACATACTCGGCAACGGCAGTTCCTAGCGAGACATCAACTTGAAACAGTGGAACAAGGACGTAGGGTTTGACGTGGAACACTCGCTTCTCGAAGTCGGAAGAAGGCCATCAAGTCAGAGCGCCGGACGGCGGGAGAGGCGAAGCTCGGGGTGTTAGACCGAAAAGATGACAGGATGGGTTCGGGGCTTACGGCTCGCGCCTCGGATATTGCGGTTCTTCCAATGCCGGAAATTGGAGGCTGCCGCTAAAACTCTCAAAAGGACTTTTGATCTTGAAGGGACCGCGCGAACAGTAATGACTCGGAAAGCCCGAAAGAAGTGGCAACATTGCTTCCTTGCTGGACTGCAATGCCCAGACTCCGGCCCACTCCAGCCCAGCCCGACCCGGCCCGGATGGAACTAGAATCCTTTCCACTTTCATCCGAACTCTCGGGATCCAACAGGATTCCAGATCTTCGGACTCCGACGCCTTCAGACCCGACAACCCGCCGAAGCACGCATGGGACGCGTGGAACTCCAATAGAGGCTCCGCCTCGGGGGATCCCGTCCCGGGCGGCTCGATGGTCGAGGATCAGTGACAGGATCGATCGCTCCCGCTGGACTCACCGCACCCATACCCCACAAAGCTTAGTATTGAGCTACACTGTAAGATTAGGGGAGATCTGATGAAATACCTACTAGGGTGGACTGCCTGGATGTCGAATTGCCTGTCGGGTTTGTAGATTTTCAGGACGAGTGTAGCCGGCCGCGCTAATGAAGACTCTGAGCCTCAGAAGCCCGAAATATGAGCAAGCGATAGCCGCCCACGTCGATGCTGCGTCCACGATTGCTAAATGTTGAGAGAAATATGCCCGAAATCATATGGGAGATGTAAGACAAGCACAAACAAATCAGAAGATTTCGGAGGGAAGAAAACGTTGACACTCGTGTAAGGGTTCAATAACCAGGGGAAGAGGTGTCGGAATGAATGCTGAAGAGTTGGATAGTCAACGGGCCCTTAACGGGCACCGCTGGACCCTGAAGGAAGTGGAAAGAAACATAGATCGCACGCATGCTTTCTTGATCTTCAACGACGCAACGGCATATTGGTATCAGATTCGGTTAGAAAGGGGCCAAGATACCCAGAGGGAATAGCTTCATTCAAAGGAAACTGAGCCAAAATATGGCACGGGACACGGTAAAGAGAGATGTTTCGCTGGAAGGAAATAATACAGCACTCGGCTGTATGTACCGACCAAGACCAAAACAAGACACTTTGTGTCGTCTCCGTCTTGAGGTGTTAAGTAATGATCGAGACCAACTAGGACCAGGACACTCGCCCATGTCATCGCCCTGACACCTCAATGTCTCGCCATGTATTATCCTGACAGGCAGAAAAAAGAGCGGTCTGCTAGGAAGGTCTAACAAAAGGTCACTCGCGAAAGGTGCAGTGATTTCTGTTCAATTGGTCTTGCCATTGGTGCTGGCTGGTTCCTGAATGGCAAAGACACACACCTTTGGTTAGTTTTCCGCCCAATGAGAAGGACTGGGAGACATCACGAGAGGATCTCATGCTGCGTGTGGCTTGTGTGTGCTGTGTGATACGTAGGTACGCTGAGTTCACGAATTGGTGCAACGATGCCCTTTTTCGGTCGGTAACGCGACACAAATAGGTAGAGACTCGTACGGCGTCCTTGGTAGTGTTCGTGACCCATTGCACTGGAACTCGACCGACGTCCGGTGGTGGTCCGGTGGTGGAGGTGGGATGCCGGGAGATTATTTTCCAAGCTTGGCTGAGCCTGGCTCACCTGAGAGAGCCAAGGCTTGGGGCCGAGGTCAGCTTCATTGGTGGTGCCCCCCTTTTTCATATACCCAGTAGCGGGATGTCCTGAGGTGATGGAAATGGCCGATTCCGTGATGAATATCGAACACCTAACCACAACCACAAACCACAAACCACAACCACCCGGCGATACGGAGAGAAAAAGTGGGGGGTTCCCAGCACACACCAGCACGGGGTGACCCGACCTGAAGCGAGAAAAGGAGGCTGTTAAAAGTCTGGTGGTTGACGTTGCATCCCGGCTGTTTTCCCGAGACCTTTCAAAACCCCCACGAGGCCATCAGACTTTGGGGATACCTTGCCCTTCACGGTAGCTGCTCTCAATGTCTCTCACCGTAGCGAGCGTAGCACAACGAGCCGCCCTCATTGATTTGCCCGTGTTTCCCCAGAAATATGTTAAGCCCCCCTTGTCTCGCTCTTAGACCTTCCCCAGACCTTCGGCTTCCTTCACCGATCATCGACGCTTGTCAAAGACGACGAACGAACACTCGTTAGGCTGGCGGCAAGTTTCGTCCCTCCCGTCTTTTTCAACTTGCCACCCATGGTGCTTCTGAAAAAGAAAAGAAAGAGATTGGCGTCCAGATCAACCAACGGGCCCACCCGATGTGACAGTGGTTGACGAATCCGTGGCTGTTTGATACCGATAGGGCTGCAATAGGCTTCCAGAAACGAGAGATTAGCGAGCATCACGGCCCAGGCGTGCCGGTGATAGTGGAAGTGTGATTCTGGGTGATAAACGCCCATATTGCCTCGGGAAAGTGTGAAGAGGCTTTCTGAGGCTTCTGAGGCTTCACGTTCACAAATCTCCTCATTCCCGTGGCGAAGCACTCAGTGTGAATAAGATGATGGATGAGAACTTGCAAGGGCGCTTTGAGAATTGCGGAATATGCATCGCCTAATCTGATTCCGTAACCAATGTGACCATGTCCCGAGTCACTTGATGGGAAAAATTGCCCACTGGGATCACGACACATTGTCGGTTTGAAATGGCGCTTGAGTCGGCCTTGTTGGTACCTGAGCTGGCCATCAAGGTTGACAAGCTAAAAGGTACTAGACCGTCAGTACCTACCGTAGCGTAGGCCGCCATGATCCTTCGAGGAAAGGCTGGAAGGTCCAAGAGAAAAAAAAAGTTTTTCTTTCTTGTGGTTGACGTGCTTCTTCACGATGTTACGGTTGGGTTTCTGGTGTGTTGTTTACGAACTGTCACTGTTACGGTAACAGTGGAAAGTGTAACGGAAATCCCACTGATTGCTGCCCAGTGCGTGGGATTCTTCGTTGACAGGAATGCAATTCGCTACCAGAAACACGAATTCCGCTTCCGAGGAGTCTGATGATGCAGTGGCGTTGGAGAGTCCAAAATCCAAGACAACAAACCCATCACAAGTTGCGGCCAGATGCAACACGAATGCAGCGGAAATGCAGTTTCCCTCTGATAATGTGAAAAGATACGGTAAAGATACGACAGTCCCCGCCTGAAAATCCATGGTGCCGTTGTTGCCCTGCATGAGGGTTTTGGTGATCACAGGAGAAGAAGGAGCACCGCACTGGCTGCAGCAGGAGGCGTGGAGGCGATGGCATGGACGGGAGGCACTCGAGAAGACTGCAACGAATCTGACTGTGTCAAAGTAGCCGCCATGTGTGTATTCCCCATAACACTGTAGCATGGCTCAGATCCGCTGCTGGTTGACCGCCTTCCCTTGGCCTAAAGCTCTTCGGAACAGGCCTGACCATGCATGATTACGCCGGTCACGCGGGATAGGTCTAGAACTACCTTTTGCATTTTGCACTGTGAGGAAACATTGGATGACGACAGCGAGCCCGCTCCATCCCGCCCGTCACTTCCATCTGTGTGTTCGTTATTTCCACCTCCAATTGCGCTGATATTTCACTGTCGGCAGCATTCACCACTGCAGTCTGCACCCGACATCCATCTGTACTGCAGTGCGACACAGATGTACTTTCCATTATCTTGAGTCCCACAAGTCGTCGTCGTTGCCGTCTCTTCTCTTCTTTTCCTTCCATGAGTCAATATCAGACAAAGGTCGCACAACGTGAACAAGTGAAAGCGATCTCGGCTCCCGCGGATGATGACCACCTAGTAAGTTACCTTACCTTACGGTACACGAGAAAAGTGTCGGAACCTGAACAG